AAAATAATTGAGCTCAAAATTAAAGGTTTGGGCGAACTCATATTAGAGGAACTACGGTATTTTAGACATTTCACTTTTTTCTCAAATTTTTGTTCCAAATCTAACAAGTCAATTTTCATAGAAACAAAAGTTTTGTGAATCTCCTTGACTTATTAATACATGATCCATCGTAATTTTTACATGATCTTGTACTCATCTCCCCCTTCTCTAATTTTCTACCCTACAGTACCCCACGCATCCTTCTTCATTTTCTTGTCACCCCTGCACCACATCCGTCGTTCCACCTATCTAGATTTCCCAGAGATACAGTCTCACAGAAATGATCCATGGTGTGTCACCAATTATATGCACCCCATGCTAATCATGTCCTCCTATTTTGAGTTTCCAACCCAATCCAACAACACGAGATGGTTATCCGAGTTCATGTGGTGACAGATTAGTTCTCAAAGCAAGCGACAGGTGCCTCAGCCTCCTCCTCTATCGCTAGCCTCTAATTGACACCCGCAGTCGAGAGTCACTAAAAGTTTATTCAAGTTGATCACACCGAATAGCACACCTGACTTCTTGGAGTTTTCTTTGCGCCGGCGGGCCAAAAGTGCCGCCGCCGATTAGAAGGTCATTTTGTACAACGTTTGACAAGGGAGAGAGAGAGAGAAGGAAGAGCCGGTGAGCCAATTAGCGGCTGGACGAGCCGCCAATGACAACTGACACTCTCGGGAGTGAAGAAGATCCGGTGAAAAGTGGTGGTGATAAGAGGAGGGAAAGCGACTCACTTGTTAAGAAAACAATCATGTTAATGCTTGTCACCTACACACACCCCGGTGCTAGTCATTTATCATCTGTGAAATGGGTTTTTAAATGTTCGGGATCTTAAAAGCATTCCAGGCTGTACTAAAGGATTGTCGAAAAGATTTGGGGGGGGACGTATTTATGGTTGCGGACTCTGAAAAATAGTATACATTGTCATTTCCTGTATTAGTCAAAAAAGAGAAGACAGGAATTTTTTTTCGAGTTACAGTAAGGAATCGGTCGGCAGCGCAACTTCCGCTACCGTAGCTCAGACGGTAACGTCGCGGAATTATAATTGCTGAACGCCACAAGTTCAGTTCATCGATAGGCTAGTGTCAAAGAAATTTCGAGAAAATATTTTTCTCATGTCACTCCCCTTCAAATAATTATTTTGATGCGATTTTTCAGAAGTCAAAATGAAGGTAAATCATTTCCCAGAGAAAGAACTTCTGAAATGAGTGATGACCATTTTCAAAGCTACTTCCAAAAAATCTAGGATTGCGTTTTTGATTTCTCGAAATTTCTTCCAGTTTCCAAGTCTATAATACTGATCATATGTTGAAAATTCAGGTACATGATGATTTTGTGATTCTTAATTTCTCAACTTCCTCTTATCGTCAGCAATAATCAGCAAAAAATCCATTTAGCACGAGACAACTGTGACTTTTCGCCTCGGAATTTCCATCGTCCTCCCTCCTCTTCTTTCCTGGATATTTGATTTATTTTCTATTTCATCTAATCGTTACACAGCCAATCAATCACGTTAAAACAACAATACAACAAATTTGCCAGTGACGCGTCAGGAGAGCAATCGACATATCTCTCATCAAAGCTCACTGATTGAAGAGGAGGAAGAGAGAGGGAATATTTGGCTGGAAATGATGGGACTTGAAATTAGAAAGGGAGAGAAAACTGGAGAATGACCCCACATATTTCTATTTTTGAAAATTGGGGTCTCGGAATATTCTAAATTTTCCTCAAATAGAGTTTTGGAGTATACTGGAGTTTTGAGACAAGCGTTGTCAAATCCTTTTCTCAAATCAATCATTTTGAATTGAAACATAATTTAGGCACCAGAGATTGTCGTATGCAGGTGAATATAATGAAAATGAGTGACCTGAAACTTTAAACAATTATCAATTCATATACAATACCGGTCAATAAGATATATGTTGGTGTCAATGAGTCCGCTTTTTTTCAAACTGATGACTTCCCTATTATGCGATAACGGTCAATAAAATATTGTTAAAAAACGTATTTTTCAGTAGATAACAATGTGTGCTATCGGTACGGTTTCGGTGAATTTACCGGTAATTTTACCGGTATCTTACCGGTAATTTACCGGTAAAATACCGGTAAATGTTTACCGGTAAAATCACCGGTAATTTACCGGTAAATTTACCAAAAACTACCGGTAATTTCTAGGAAATTTTTCTGTTTTTTTTTTCAAAATTTGGAACCGCGACGTTTCAGAACCGCGACATTTTAGAACTACGACATTTTAGAACTACGGCATTTTGGAACTGCGACATTTTAGAACTACGACGTTTTAGAACTGCGACATTTTAGAACTACGACGTTTTAGAACTGCGACGTTTTAGAACCGCGACATTTTAGAACTGCGGCATTTTTAAACCGCCACGTTTCAAAACCGCCACGTTTTAGAACTGACCATTTCAAAACTGTTGCAAACTGTCAAAAAACTAGTGAAACAGATAACTTACCGGTAATTTACCGGTAAAATACCGGTAAATTTTCGGTAGTTCTCAAATTTACCGGTAGGTTACCGGTAAATTTCGGTAAATGTTTACCGGTAAATTACCGGTAAAATTACCAAGAAAGCCGTTACCGGTAAGTGACAATCGGTAGTCACACACTGGTAGATAATCACCATTTTCAGGAGTCTGGAGCTCAAGTGTCGGACCACTTTGAAAATAGATTGTATTAGAACGGTATTTATGTTGGATGGGGACAGTAGCAATTCTCCTGCTCCGGCGACCGTAGTTTTGCTCATAATGTTTTTGTCCACTTGGCGAGAAGCTTGACGGACCTTGTGAACGTCTGAAACTGAAACTTACGTAGACCAAACGGCAGTCACCAGCAAAAAATACCTGAAAAAGAGAAAAAAGAGTTATCATTATAATTTTTATTGAAATGAGAAAAAAACACGAATTTTGGGAACATCACATCTAACATCAGTCAAACAGTGAAATCTGTAATAGAAAACGTTTTAACCTTCAGAGCAGGAACTTTCAAGTTTGAGCCAATTTATTTCGGTTCTTGTCAAAGATATGAAAAGGCTGTCAACTAATAAATTGGTAACAAAGTATCACAAAACTTTTGCATATTTTATATCTCTCGCAGGAATGGTTATAAATTGGCTAAACGTTGAAAGTTAGAGTGTCATTATATCAGCGTGTTTACCGTAACATAATTATCCAGCTTCTCTCAATGCGGTAAGATCTTTTTCCAATTCACAAACAATATAAAATTTTCTGTCAGTCCATTTTTATGGGAACTCCAGTTTTATGAATTTACTTAAGACATGAAAAACGTTGTGGTCTTAGTTGTCACACTTTTGATATCTTTAGAGCAAAGAAAAATTAGTTAAAACTTGACAGCGTAGACTTCTGTTACAGGTTTTCTATTTTCGACTTCATCTCTGCTCCAGACTGCAAATACTTGGAAATTCTCAAAGTGATTCACAAAATGTCTGATTCTATTTATCCAGTTTTCAAACTGATTTGATTTTACATCATCTCTAATTCATCGTTTGTCTGCAGTCTTTTCTTTTTCTATGAAAAGCTCAAGAAATGTATTTTTCATGGCATGTGCAACTTCTCGCATGTTCAACCCTCCAAATTCAAGTGTTCCTCATTTAGAACCTTAACTGTGAAAAATGAAGGAGAAAAGTTATGGCTTTATTCTCAATTTGTCCTTTTTTATGACCCAATTTTTCTCTGGACTTTATCCTCCATTTTATAACCTACCGTATGCGTTTTGACGCACTCAATTTTCCTTAAAAGCTATCATAAAGAAGAAGAACTCGTAACTTCATAAAAGTACCCCATAAACATAGTTCTCGAGAAAACCAATTCGTCATCTAACTCCTCCTATTTTTCTATATGACCTGTTCAGTGGATACCTGGAAAGAAATTCACGTGGAACTGATCGGGGTGGCTGTTTTGTGTTTTTTTTTCTCTTGTTATTATCAATGACCACATTTTGATCACTCTAAACTTGACCAATTTTTGTTGTCTCTTGCCATTTCATTCAGTTTTACATTCACTTGTTTTGAAGACCCCTATCCCTTAATTGGAGAATTCGTAGTCCTCCAGAAAAGCAATCCTCTGAAAAAACGAGCAACCGGAAGGCTTAATTGTCCTTGTTTTCTCTTTTTTTCCAATTCTTCCTCATGAAACATTTTCCAATTCGATGTTGTGTAATTGGGAAATTTCGAAAATCTAAGGAACAAAGTGTGATGCCCCATTTCAAACTATGCACTATGACTCAAAAAGGGAATATGATCACCTGACTGGCGGGGTTAAGTATTTGCGTATGCCCTTGAGTGGAGTGTACTCTACCAACCCCATACGAAATTTACACTTTTCGAAAGAAGAAACATGCATCTTTTTTACTAACAAGATTTTATCGATGAAGCATCAAAAGTATTTCGTAATATTCCTCGTTTCAATGTTACGTCGACTTTCACTCCCCATCTCTTTTCAAGTTTCTCGCTCATTCTTTCATTCCTAATGTTCCCTTTAGTCTCTATTTTTGGCTCTTTCCACAAAAAAGAATTTCAAACAGAAGGGAAAAATCGGATTTCAAGCTTTAAATTTATTCGTTTCCTCTTCCTTTTTCACAGCACTCCTCTCGTCTTTTCTTCCCCCCGCCACCGCCTGACCGGAGACCCCACGAGGGGAAACAGAGCAAACGCGCCCCACTGAGAACGAGTGTCCTTTCGTCGTTTTGTGTGTGGCTGCCACCCCATCAGATGGATGCCAGCGCATGTTAATCTAATCTCATCCCGTCTTATTCCAGACGTTTCTTTCTGTTTTTTTTTTGCTTTTTCAACATTTTTTCAACGCTGAGAAAGTTTTTTTTTTGGTCTTTCGCAATAAGCCAAAGCATTTTTTGAATTTTTTTCTACCGTTTCCCATCTAAGCGGCGATTGAAAACGTCTCTAACAATTTTTTTTTCAGGCAACCATGGGCTCTTCTAACAAGGACGGCCCCTCGTGTCTTCCAGAAGTACATAAAGAGCCGAATTTAGCCATTTGTGAGTCAAAAATTTTTTTTTTTGAAACTTTTTCCAAGTAAAAATCGATTTTTCAGCTGAATCTACACACTCGTCCGATTGGTATTCTGCAACATCATCTGAAGATTGTTGGCAAGGAGCTTCACAGTCATTTTCCGGCGGCAAATCCAACGGGTAGGCGAAAAATCAACAATTTGGGTCGAAAATAATATTTCTTTGTTTAGAAAACCAATCACACAGAAGGAAAACTCGGCGGCGGGAGAGAAGATGAGTTGTGAGATGAGCGACCCGAAATCTTGTTCATTTGTGCCGGAGAATAACGAAAAAGATAGCATTCATGTAGGAAATTTTGAGCTGAAAAAAGGAAGATCGTATTCTAACCCGGATTTGTTGGTATCAATGAGTCCGCTGGCATACAGAGGCGAACAAGGAAAGCAGGAGATGATCGCAAGCAGACAAGGTAAGATTTAGACAGATGATCATGCAATTTGTTAGCTAGAATAATATCTAAAACCAATTTTTTCGACAAGCTGACTTCACAAATTTATAGTACCGGTCAATAAGATACCGTAAAACCTGTATTAGAAGGGCCTTTCAAGAGGGAATTGAAAAATTGAAAGATCTCTTTCAAAATGTGTGAATTGAAAATGAAAACTTACGTACGTTTTCAGTAAAAAACATTCCGGAAATTCTAAAAATTTCTGTGAAAAAAATATGTTAAAACACTCTTTTTTTGGTCGAAAACAAGCTAAATTTGGGCAAAATTGATAGATTTTTATGGAAATGACTGGATTTTTCGATGACAATGTTTTAAAAATTATTGGAAAAATTAGAAGAGGGGCCCTTGAAATAGAAAGGGTATCCCAAGGTACCTCAGAACAATAGGAGGGCCGGCCCTTCTAATACAGGTTTCGCGAAATGCAACAGCATGATTTTCAGTTGATTTAATCTATTTTCAGGAGTCTGGAGCGAGTTTATCGAGTGTCCGATTACTTTGAAAACCTTATAGGTTGTAAAACTGACCTAGACTGAAAAATGCATTAATAAAACTTTTTAAAATAGCAGTTTTTTAGCTATTTGTCGATTTCTTAAAATCCCCGTTTTGACCCGTTTTTATTCTGTAAACGCGAAAAAATTTCGATGTCTTTCAGAAATCAGCAATTAGGTGAAAAGCTAGGAATCACTGAAAAATTCTGTGAATACGAATTTTTCAATCTGGGTCTGTTTTATACCTTACAACATTTTAAACGTGATTAGAAACGTGACAGCCGAGCTCCAGGTTCCAGATAATGGTCAGAATCAACTGAAAAATACGTTTTTTTACGTCTTATCAACCGAAACTGTAGCTGACTTCTTTATGCGCAAAATGAGCAATTTTCACCTTCAAAAATGCAATTTTCCTTGCAGATCTCAAAGAAGAGACTACAGAAATAGTGGCGGTTGTAGAGACTGTTCAAACTGATGACACTACCACTACAACAGCTGTGATCACAAGCACCACCATGTCCGGAACTGCATCGCAAGACGATTTCATTCTGGTAGAAGCGGAACAGGACGAGCACATTGGCCTGTGCGATGATACCATGCCACTGGTTGATAAGAAGTGAGTCTAGTCATTTTGATTTCTAAATGCTAGCAATATTCAGAGACCTTTCAACAACAAGTGCGACCAGCTCACCAGCTCGTCAAATCACACCACGTGTCGAAAGTGGATTGAGCTTTGAGAGAGTTGTCTCGCTGGTGAGCGTCTTCCCAGCGATGATCAACAAGTTGCTCAATAAACCGTGGTATCCATCGAGATGTGACGAAGTGATTCAGTTTCCAAAGGAAGAGCTTCATAACTATGAAATCGTTCCAACTGAGGTGGACGATGAGCATTTTGTAATCGTCACCGGGATCAGAAGCGCCGAGGGACGACTTCCAGATAGCATTTACCATTTGGTGTTTGCTTATGACGGATTCTTCGAGACGGATTCAACTCGCCCATTCAGCTTATTCCGGGCCACAGACAAGAAGGATCTTATGGATCTTCTCCACTTGTGTGATGAGAAATCTTTTCTATTCACTTCTCTAGACACCACCCGTACCGATATCCGGTCCAAGATTGAAGAGCTGGTGATTCAAATCCGACTGAAACCCCACTACCATATGATCCACGTGGCTATTGCAACCGATCGTTTGGATTTCTTCTCGGATGATATGATCGCTGCGATGAATGCTTCAATGGAGCCGTTTGCAAGGTACTAGCTTCTACTTTTGCTTCTTTTTTTCGAATCCCATACAATTAATGTTTCAGTCAACTGCGATGCTTGTGCCACACTGAAAATTGCTACCCTGTGCATTTGGCGCTGGCAATGGACCGGCAGAAAATTGTGGAGAGACTTCTGGAACTAGATCCAACTTTGTTCTGTGAGACGGACAAGGCTGGAAACAACGTGTGGCATCACGCGTCTAGCAGCTTTTGTGCTCAGGTGAGCTTTTTTAGAGTTTCTAAGAAGTTAAAGAATTAACAAGTTGAACTTTAACAAGGGAATGTCGTTAAGAAAGCTCTTCAGAATTTTCTCTAAATTTGCTCATTTATAGAATCGAGTATGGGCTTTTACGTAATAATAGTCTCTACCTGCAAAACTCGCTGAAACTCGATAAAAATCGATCTGAAATTATAGCGTTTCCACCAGTCTCGTCGCCTCCTTTCTCCTTCCCTTTCCTCACTGCGTTGCGTGCAAGAGTAAAACATGCCTCGGTAGCTTACTGGCTAGCAGGGAGGACCACAAAAGCACACATGCAGGTTCGGGTCCTCCTTCTTTTATTTTTATTTTTCTTATTTTTTCAATCTGAAAAAGTCGTTTTCGAGGGGTTTGGCAAATAAGAAACACTTTTTCGAAAATTTTCTATGATCTGCAATGATTTTCGAATAATAATAAAAAAACAAAATTTTTTTGAAAAAAATCACCATGCATCACTACACACTTTTTTTCATGAATTTTGAAAATTTTTTCAGAAGTGCAAAATTTGGTGNTATCTGTTCAGAAGGGTTTAAAACATGATTCTTACAAAATTTGGTAGCCTGATTTGGTCTGTGAGCCCTGATAATATGATTATTTCTCAAATTTTTAAAAGTCGTAAATATTGATTAAAATCGACTGAAAAATACAAAAAAAAATGAAAATTTCATCTGTGCGGGATTTAAATAAATTTCCACTTCAAAAAGAGCAAAACGGACCAATTTCTGGAGCCAAAAGTCTCTGTTTGTGTGCTATATGATACCAAATTTTATGAGAACGATGTTTTTATCCCTTCTGAACGGTTGAAAAACTTTTTTGCACTTCTGAAAAAATTTTCAAAATTCATGAAAAAAAGTGTGTAGGACTGCATGGTGATTTTTTTCAAAAAAAATTTTGTTTTTTTTCAATTATTCGAAAATCATTGCAGATCATAAAAAATTTTCGAAAAAGTGGTTCTTATTTGCCAAACCCCTCGAAAACGACTTTTTCAGATTGAAAAAATAAGAAAAATAAAAATAAAAGAAGGATGGCCCGAACCTGCATGTGTGCTTTTGTGGTCCTCCCTGCTAGCCACTAGGCTACCGAGGCATGTTTTACTCTTGCACGCAATGCAGAAAAGAAAGGGGAGGAGAAAGGAGGCGACGAGACTGGTGGAAACGCTATAATTTCAGATCGATTTTTATCGAGTTTCAGCGAGTTTTGCAGGTAGAGACTATTATTACGTAAAAGCCCATACTCGATTCTATGAATGAGCAAATTTGCAGAAAATTCTGAAGAGCTTTCTGAACGACATTCCCTTGTAAGATCAATTTAGATTTTTAGGATTAAAATCTTGATTCTTGCACCTTCAAACACTCAAAGCACACTCTTCGTTTCAGATCATTTGGGATAAATGCCCGGAATCAAAACACTTCATCGACGAGCGCAATATGGACGGCCAGAGCCCATTAAACGAGGCTGTAAGCGCCGCCAAACCTCTGGTCGCCACTTTTCTCATCTCGAAAGGCGCCAAATTCACCCGCGGAGATCGGAATGAATTGTTCGTCGCGATGACGTCAAAGAATGCGCAAAGTGTGGTGGAGGTGGTGTTGATGGACAAACCAGAACTTGCGCACGAGCGTGACGCACTCGGAAACAGTGCGATTCATGTTGCATTGTACAAGGAGTCGTTAAATGCGTTGCTCAATAAGAAAGTGGAGTTGGGATTGGATATTGATGTGACCAACAATGCTGGAGAGACGGCCTTGTTGTTGTTTATCACTACTAGGAAGCCCGATCTACTCCCACTTCTGGTCACACTCTATGCTCACGGAGCCAACATGAATGCCACGGATCGTCATGGAAACACTGCTCTTCACAAGTCAGCTGCTCTAGTAGACGCTAGAAGAATCAGTCTTGAGGTTAACGACCAAAACTTGCGAGTTGAACTTATTAGAATGTTTTCAGTGCGTCAAATTCCTCATCTCCGCCGGTGCGGACTCGAACAAAGTGAATCTCCGTGGAGAGTCTCCTAGACATTTGGCAGCGTCACTTCAGAAGTGAGCATATCAATATCAGCTAAACACCAATTATCATTTTCAGCCAAGAAATGCTGACGATCTTGAAAGCTGCTGGTGCTAAACGCTGTCCAAAAGGATACAAAGGCTGTAGAAGCAACTGCAGATTCAACGCAGCATCTTTTGATGAGGAGTACGAAGAGACGATTCAGAACATTCACATCGGAATTGAAACTGATTATGAGAAGACTGAGCTATCGGCTGCCGAGAGATTGAATATTGAGCAGAATCTGGAGAACTCTGGAAAGTGCAAAAAAAACAAAGTCAACTTGATCTCTATGGATGGAGGCGGTATCCGTGGATTGGTCATTATCCAAACTCTTATTGCTATCGAAGAACGTCTGGGAGATGATATCTTTAAGTATTTCGATTGGTCGGCTGGAACGTCAACTGGATCTCTGATTATGGCAGGATTGGCGACTGGAAAGAGTCTCCGGGAAATGCAGCAAACTTATTTGCTTCTCAAAGACAAGGTCTTCGATGGAATCATGCCACCCTATGATACAGTTCAGCTCGAGAAGTTCATTCAAGATCAATTCGGAACTGGAACTGTCTGGGACATCCCGTTCCCACGACTAATGATCAGTGCGGTTAACTCAGAAAAACTTCCAGTGCGATTGGAGATGGCTAGAAACTACAAACCAGCTGTGGACCTTGCTCCGGAGACACCAAGAGAGATGCCACTATGGATGGCGCTTCGTCGGTCAACAGCCGCACCAGTTTTGTTCAAACCTTCCGAGGATAGATACATCGATGGTGGTATAATTTCAAACAACCCAGCGCTGGATCTCATGAGTGAAGTTCACGCCTACAATCGCCAACTCCAGTTAAGCGGACGCAAACAGGAAGCGGTGCAGATGAATGTGGTGGTCTCGTTTGGAACCGGACAGATACCCAGCACAATTATTGAGACGCTGTCGATTGATAGTAACTCACCACTTCAATCCATCAAGACTATCAAAAACTTGGCAGCGATGTTCATTGACCAGGCGACGGCTTCTGAAGGAGCGCCAGTGGCAAGATCGAGACAGTGGGCAGATTCGTTGGAAGTTCCGTTTTTCAGATTTTCGGCTCCATTGTCTAAGGTGAGCTGGAAAATGTGTAGAATAGGAGTTTTACTGGCCCTTGCCGGGCCTTCGCTGGCCTGGCCATTGTTTCTTTTAGAATGAATATGTTTGGACAATCCGAGTTATAATAGATAGAAATGAACCTGAGAAGTACAACAAAATTAAATTGTTTCAAAAATTGTATCTCGTATACGAACTAAATTATAAGGCATAGAGTGGCCTTGCCGTGTTTGTTTTTACTTCCGGTTTGTATCGGCTGTAACTTTTTTCATAAACAAGATACAGGTTTTTAAAATGTATCATTTTAAAGCTTTCGTTAGGCTCTATTATGTCTTGTTTGATCTAAAAATATTAGTTCTCAAAGAAACTATAGCAAGGCCCGCGAAAGCCCGGTAAAGGTCTTACAAGTATTCTGACTGAAGGTTTCCACTGAAAAGAGAATCAATCGCGAATGCGGCGCGTCTCCTAGTATGTACACCTTCAATTTGCGTGTTACCTAGGTAACCAGCGCTCAGTAAAGAAGCGTGAAAATCGAAAATCGCTCGCCCGATAACTCATTTTTAAAAAATAAGAATATCAATTCCAGAACATATTCCTTTCCTCCACTAGCGACTTGGACGTCTGTACCATGATGTGGGACTCCTTCATCTATTGTCGTCAACACCGTGGATACATTGATGAGCTCGTGAGACTTCTCAAATTCGACGACGCCCATCCATACCAAAAATCTCCATTTGCAGAACTTTAATCTGGGAATCCCGGATGCTTTGTAAAAATTGTAATACTTAATTGTGCGATTTTTGTAAATAGTGCTTTTCGGTAGAAATGTATTTTATATTGATGATGATAATCTCGTTCACTTCCTTCCTGGCTGAAGAATCTTGTCCCCCGATGCATTCTCATTATCCATTTTATTTTGAATTTTTTAGCGTTTTCCCTCCTTTCGCTTTAAAATGCCCTCACACTGACCTGAAATCAAAAATCTCTTTTTTTCGAACAACTTCTGACAAAAATTGTATTGAATTTCACTTTGCTTCAAGAAACACTATTGCATTTATGTGTAGAAATTGAATAAAGGACGTTTTTGCGAAAAATCAGATGATGTTCGTTGTTCTCGAAAGAGAGAGAAAGTGTCGAATTTTTCGTTTTCGAAAAAAGACATGTAATACGATAACATCGAGAAATTGAAAGGTGTCTGTGTGTGTGTGGATGTTTCGAGAATAATCGCCTCCCGTGATGTTGAAATGAGGCCATTTGAATGGATCTCCAATTTAATCTGGAGAAATTGAATTTTTTTCCTTTCTTTGAATATTTTTAACACAATTTCTATTTCAAATCTCAGTTCCAATCGTTTATTAAATTTGAGAATTTTTAAATTTAGTGGTCTTCCTAATTTCATAGAGCTTTTTTTTTAAACAGAAAGACCCCAGTAACACAGTAGCAATGGAATATCGCCGTTGGACCTATAGAATCATTTTCTGTCGATTTTTGTGAATTATATGATTTTTGGTGAATTATACGTTTTTCTATTTAATGTGGTGTTGTGTCATTCCAACCAGAGCTATAGTACTGCTCAATAAAATGGCCCTAGAAGCAGAAGAACTAGGAATGTTCTAAATAGTCTATCAATGCAAAATTTGCAATCTATGTCTGTTTAGGCCTTCGAAATTTTCAAAAAGATCGGAAAATTGGCGGCCGAAGTCCAGACTCCTGATAATTGTCAAAATGACTGAAAATCAACTAAGAATACGTTTTTGCATATATTAGTGTACTGAACGCGGTTATAATTTCTACCTTTGATTTCCGGTTTTCATTAGCTTGATGCATAGCTGCAAAAGGTCGAGCCGGTAGACGAATTTTCACGGCCCGGCCCGGCCCGCCTAAAACTGTTAAAAAATTTCCAATGAAAACCTGGAGTTTTTTTTTTGAACTAAAAAAAAAATATTACATTTTGCAACAAAATTAAAAAAGTAAAATGTAGTCAAAAATAGGTAGTTTTGTCTAAATTTTTGAAAAAAAATACAAAAAAAATCAGCGTCTGTACGAACCCCGGGCCAGCCCGTGATTTTGCAACTATGGCTTGATGTGATTCGGGCTCCGACCCTCCCAATATTATATCTCAAATTGTTTGATGGTTCATCTCCTTTAATTTTAGGATTCATATTTTTTCGTGAATCGCGAATCCCCATTTTTTCTCCGAACAATTTTCTCAAGCGGCAAATGATTCGGAGGGTACAACATTCGGTGGTACCGCGCAATACAAAGAAATTTAAGGGTTGAAAACCCGCAATTCATGGGACCAAAACTCAATTTTTCAACTATTTTGAACTCCTGAATTGGGTATTTTGCAGTCCAAAATTTTTTTGGATCCCTCCAAACAATTTACCTCTTCAAATTTGTTTCAACCTTTTTATTTTCTCTGACTCCCAATTTTTCCTCCCATCCCACATGTTGCACTCGATTAATAACAAAAACCAAGAGAGCTCAAGAGCAAATGGCGGTCATTCCCGCGCTGCAAGGACCTTTGAGCGATCGTCCTCACCCAATGCGGGTGATAGGAGTATGTGGTGTCAGGTGGTAGATATGAATTGAGACGAGAAGAAGAAGAAGCTCCACGAAGGGGCAGCTAAGGAGCAGTTTGTGTGCCGGGTGAATTGTGATACGGGGCAACGAGACGGAGATTGGTTGATGAGTAGAGTGAGATGGAGAGAGAGAGAAGGACTTCTATATCTTCTTTATCTTTTTGACGGGAAAGATAGAAGAATCCGGAAACGTAACACACCAACCGTTTCGAAATGTGAAGAAGAAGCGTCTTATCATTTTCCCATGTCTCATTTGTATATATTCCGGTAGTCTTCTTTTTCTCTCATTACTTTCCATGAGAAACACCTGTTCCTTTTTTAATTTTTCCTGGTACCCATCTGTACTTTCACTCCTCCTTAACAATAGCAGCAGCTGTTCAATGCGTTAGAAAACCGGAAACTCTGTCGTTGTGGCCCACAAACCGCCTGGTTGTCCCGTCGACCCCTTCGAGCTTATCTACTGCAAGGTGTCACAAGTTTTGATGAAATTATTTTTGGAACCAACCTTTTTGTTTTTATTATTAATCACGTTGTCTCTAATTTCTTTAATGAGATGTACAGTGCCGGCCATAAACGCGTTTTTCAGTTGATTTTGGCCATTTTTAGGAGTCTAGACCTCGGTTGTCAAACTTCCGATCACTTTGAAAATTTCTGAGGTTATAAGAAAACAGACCTGAATTGAGAACATCACAAAAAATTGTTGAATTGCCCTAGTTTTTCAGGTATTCGCTAATTTCCAACTGACACCTGTTTTTCTCACGGTTCAGTAAAAAAGGAGCTTAAATAGGGTGTCCTTCAGAAATCAACTAATAGCTGAAAAACTAGGAACTTTCGAAAAATTCTGTAAAGGCAAATTTTTCAATCTAGATCTGTTTCACAACCTTCGAAATTTTTCCGAGTGATAGGAAATTTGACAGCCGAGCTCTGGAATCCTAAAGTGGTCAAAATCGACTGAAAAATGAATTGTTCATATTTATATGACCGGCACTGTATTATTCAAATAGCGAATACTGTTTTTGGAACTTAAACCTTTGAATTTTGGAAACTTTGTTTCGACGAAAACCTCAAGTAGGTTTTCTTCCTCATTTCATTTTTCGAAAAAAAAGGGAACCAAACCATCAGCAATACGCCCTCGTTGTTTTCATTTTGTTGTTTTGAGCCACTACATATTCTTCCAATATTTATGACACACTAACCATTTAAATAACCAAATTATCTCGTCACCCCTAAAACACTCAAACAAGATGTTTCTGACCAACCACATGATTTTTCAACACATGTCCTTCCTCTGCTAAAGATTCTTGGTTCTTGGTTCTAAACGGCACACACTCACTCATACACACACAACCGGCCCCTTTTTCTTTTCCCATTTTTTTCACCGCTCCTCAATTTTCAACAAGTTCCGAACACAGACTTCCCCCATATTTACTCATTGTGGTCCGTGAATTTTTCTACTGTCTTCGTCTTCTTTGCCCGCTGAGAATCTTCTTCCGAAACTAAAAGCCAACGGGGACGTCACTTCTGATTTGCGCCAACACAAATTGACATGTTGTTTGTATGTACATAATCGAACCGATTCTATAAGCAGAGCGTATGTTTATAACGTGTATTTTGGCGCCTTCAGCCTTCTGCCCCTGATATTTTCACCTTTTTCAAGACTGTTATTTTTTTCAGGAAAAGACATATAACTGGTAAAAAGGAGGGATAGAAATTTTGCTACATCTGTAGAATCAGAAAGTGATGTAAAATGATTGACGGCGTCGAGGAATCCGATGCACCATTATCTCCAAAAAGCCCGTTTGCCAGGAGGAACGGCAGGAGGTGAGCAATCTTATGATTAAAAAATTGGATTGCTAGAAAATTTTGGAAAATAATAATATCCGTTTTCGGAATTCCGAGTATCAGGTTACACTGAATAATTTAGCTTAATGTTAGCACAAACATTCGTCATTATTACGGGACAATCGATATATAAATTTGAACTACTGTAGGGACAAAAATGAGATTACTGTACTTAATGACATACGAAGAAATCTGTGCATGAATACGCCCCTCCGGTTTAAACGAAGATTCTTCAAGAAATATACAAAATCCATTCGAGAAAAAAAGGAATTTGATTGAAATATTTCCTAAAAAAGAGTTTTGGGTCAAAATTAAAGACTTATGCTGAAATGTCATGTTTTACTTCCAATGGAAGATTCCAAAAAATAGGGCCACATTCAAAATTTGATTCTCCTTTTTTTTTTCAAAAAGCCTTTTTCATTTTATATGGATTTTTTCTTTCCCATAGGACCTTTATTTGAACCGAACGACTTTTTTAGCAACGAACTTATTTTGACATAAGGATCTTTATTTTGAGAATCCCATTTTTCAAACCTTTCTTCGCAATTTATCTCTGCAAGTTTTTTTTTTCAAAAAATCAATCCACTTGCTGCAATCAGATCTTGCTCGTAAATCCCATAAATCTAATCTGCGGGACCCTGATCATTTCTCTCCTCCATTTTTTTTGCATCTATCCTTCTGCAATCAATCGTAATCTCTCTTTATCTTTATCAAATCAAATGTTTCATCACTTATCGCCTCTTGTCTATGGTCCCGGCGGTGGTGAAGGAGTGCAGATAGCGTAGGATGTCGTGAGCGTGGTATTACACACCATTCGCCGACCAAAAGAACTTGAGGCAACCGAGAGGTCTTTCCCCGTATCTATTCTACCTCAATATTTCATGTAATTGATTGAATGACTTTATTTTGGATGACGGGAGTCCCTGACTGACTTTGAGTTGGGACACTGGATGGGATGGATACCAAGCGGCAAGGGTGCGAAAAATTAATTATTTTTGATCTTGAGAGTTGATTTGAAAAATTCAGAATGCGTAGGCAAATTGCTTTGGTAAAAATTGAACTTTTAAGAAATCTTTTACACGCCTAACGCTTTTCATTCTTCTGTTAGCTATGGTTATAAAGCTTGATTACTGTAGATGCGCCTTATCATCAAAACTTTTAGAAAAAAGTAACTGATGCTATTTTTGGCTTTTAGCTATGGATATTAGAAAAATTCCATATCACAATTTGACAACTACCGTGTTTCCTTTGATAGAATCTCACCCTAACCATCAACTTTGAGCTCATTTATCTTGATTGCTGGGAAAGATATCAAAAGCGTGTCCTCTGATCAATTGTTTATCAAAATATCACCAATTTTTTAAAATGTGACAAATTTTTGATATCTTTTACAGTTTTCGAGATAATTGAGCCTAACGTTTTTTTACTGTTTGGGTGGGCTTTTATCGAAGGAACTAACTATATTAATTCCTCCAAAAAATTTTGAAAACTTCTAAAAATTATTTTCAGCCTTCGCATCCAACGTCTTGTTGATTGTCAGCACTTCCACTACACAACAGTCGAGCTGGGACCTGTCAAAGTTGTCATAATAGCAATAAACACCGATGAGAATGCAACGGAGCGGATAAAAATGCGTGTTGAGAGTGAATCAAATTCATGGTGAGTCTTTTGGTCGTCTTTCTGTTTTCAATTTGTTCATCCCCTGCTTTTTCTCATGTCTTTTCTCATGCCTTTTTTTCAAAAACAACCACGCGCTAAAAAACTACACAGAAGTTCTCCAGGGATTTGAAATGAAGTCAGGGCAGAGCTGAGCAAAAAAGAAACAAGACAGAACTTGAAAGGTTTTTCATCATTGATTCATTCAGGCTTGTCGAACGTTCTCGAGAGGATTGGGCGGTCTTCGACAGACAGCTGCATCGTTGTGTATTCGAACGAAGGCACTCGCGTCTTGACGAGCTGTTTCCTCTTATCCATCTGGAATCGGCGAAATTCGAGGTATGCAGCAGAAGGAGGGGCCTAAAATCATACGGCTTTTTTGAGTCTGATGACATTTGATGTATTTTTCAGGAAGTGCTTGTCAAGTATACGGAACGATTATCCGAGCTCACTGGCAGTATTATAACGTGCTACCCGGTTCTGAAATTTTTGGAGGTGAGATTTTTCATAGTTTATAAGCTAGAAGTATTTGGGCTGTTTTCAAGACACTCGTATCGTAAAACCTGTAATAGAAGAGCTCTAACATACCGTAAGCACTCTAATATAAGGCCACCATTCACTTGCCTTTTGAAATCAATTATCCTGGTTCCTATGAAAGATATCAAAAATGTGTCAACAGGTAAAATGGTGACAATAAGTTTGACAGAATTTATCAGTTGACAGATTTTTGTTATCTTTCAAAAAAGCTGAGAAAATTGAGTTCAATATGCAGGTATGTGATGGCCTTCTATTAGAGTGATTACGGTAATTAAATCATTTTTTCTTGACACCCTTGCAAGATATCAAAAATAAATCAACTGATAAAATGTTTATGATATTATGATAAACAGTTTATTAGTTGACAATTTATTTATATTTTTGACAGGAACCGAGATAAAATGTCCCAAAGTTGGTGGCTCTTCTGGGTTTTGTTTTCTGATTTAAAACCAACCTTTGGAACTTTCCTTTGTATTTCTTCCGCCACCCTTACATAACTGACTATTTTGAAATATTCTAAATACTGGAATATTCCATATTTCTTCCTGGATTCCCCAGAAACTTCCTCGTGTAACATTTGCGCTTGGCAGCTGCGCCAAATCTGTTCAATTTGTGCGCATCTGTTCCATTCAACACCATTTAAAAACAATTTTCCAAAAAACCGTTTTTTTCTTCGTCCAGATTGACAGTCGAGGCGGCCATTTCGAGCCAGCTGAGGAGACTTCCATCAACGTTCCAGCAATTGCGGCAGCTGTTGTGACCAAGGATTTCGAACCGACGGACAACTCACAGCTGCGATTGAGGGTATGCTGTTCTCTCCCTAAAATGGGAAGGGGATCATCTCAAGACAGACGACGGGGTAAACAAAAATAGGCGATTTGTAGGTCGGTGATATCGTTTCTATTACGGAAATGTCAACAGCGAGTCCAAACGAGCAAACATTTTGGAAAGCGAAACTGACGATATCCAACCAGAAGATTGTCGATCCACAGAATGGACATCTAGGATTTGAGGTGAGATTTTTGCTTTTTTTTAAATAAGAACCTAAAAACTTGATATTTGTATGGATAAGCTTCAGTTCCCAGTTTTCCAGTTATTTGCCGATTTCCAAAAGACACCTGATTTTTTCTCCTTCTCAGTACAAAAAGAGTCAAAGAAGGGTGTCTTAGAAATCTTTATATATGTAGCTGAAAAACTAGGAAGTTTCGAATAGTTCTGTAAATGCGAAGTTATTCATTTAAGTCTGTTTTACAACCTTTAGAATTTTCAAAATGGTCGGAAACGTAGATAGCCTAGTTCCAGAATCCTGAAAATGTTCAAAATAGCGGAAACTCAAGAAAAAATACGTTATTGGATAGTTTTTTGAACAGTGCTATCTCAGAAGGCTTGCTCTAAACTTTTTTGGTCGTATTTACCCCAAAATGTTTTTGTAGAATATTATTTTTCAAGTATTGAGAAAAATAAAATTTTAAAAAAATCTGACAACGACTTTTCGCTCAAACTTCCTTCGAAAACATCACATCTAGATGAGAACCCTATTTTTTGAACGTTGGTCTTTTATTTAAAAAATACTACCCATACCCCCAACAACTTTTTATCACAATTTCAATCTTTGTCATATTCGCTAAAAACTTTGGTCTTCAAATCTCTCATTTTTCTTAGTTTTTGTGATGCTTTCAAAAAGTTAGCCAAAATGTTGTCCAATTTCCCCTTTTTCTGAAAAAAAAAACCAATTACAAAGCAGTTCCGGTGTTGAGCAGCCCATCTTTTTTTCAGATTGGTTATTTCCCACGCGACTGCGTGATGCTAATCGATGACAAACGTTTGCCAAACCCTTTGAACACGGAACCAAAGCCAGCACCTCGAAATGCCAGAAGATACATGACGACAATGTTCCGAAATCGAAGACGGGAGCCGATTTTTGGGTTGGAGCTCACTGAGCTATTCATGAGGACAGGAAAAAGGGTTCCGGTGATTGTGGAACGGTGCTGTGCCGCTATTGAGGATCAAGGAATCGTTACGGGTATTTATAGACAATGCGGAATTCAGTCAAATATTCAGAGACTCAGGTAAGTCAATAAGATCTTCAAATACGTATTTTAGTGGTTTTTTGACCATTTTGTTCGTTTTCAGGAATCTGGGGCTCAAATGTCAAGTTTCCGATCACTTTGAAAACTTTTGAGAATGTGTAACAGAGCCAAATTGAAATTTTCGCGTTTATAATTTTTTAAAGAATCCCTAGTTATAAATTATTTGCCGATTTTTGAAAGATGCTGTTTTCACTACAAAAAAAACGGGCCAAAAAGGGTGTTTTTCAGAAATCGGAATAAAAATCTGTAAATGTAAAATTTTCAATCTAGGTCTTTTTTACCGTTTCTGGAATTTTCAAACTGATCCGAAACCTGACAGTCGAGCTCTGGACTCCTGAAAATTGTTAAAATCAACGGAACTGTATGTAGGCGGTTACACTGTAAATTTTTATTCCAGGGCAAAATTCGACAGTGGCGCCGAGCCAGATCTCCACGAGTTCGGACAACGAGATATCTATTCAGTGTCATCGCTATTAAAGCAATACTTCCGTCAACTTCCAAACCCATTGTTCACTTATCAAGCATATCCAGCACTAATCGAGACATTTGAAAAGGAGGAGAGTGTTGAGGAAAAGGTTGAATCCTTGAGATTCCTGTTGGAAGCAATGCCAGAAGCTCACTATAAAACTGCAAAATTCCTGATGGAGCATTTGTCGAGACTATGCAAATCGAAGTCTTTGACTGACATGACTTCGAAAAATTTGGCAATTGTATGGTCTCCTAATTTGTTTAGGTAAGTTTAACATACAACAAACAGTATTCTGAATATCAGGACTACTATCGTACATTCGAAAAATTAGGATTACTGTAGCATTCGTAATATCAAGATTACTGTAAAATCGAAATGCTAGGATTTTACTGTATTACTCTGGATATTAGGACTACTGTAGTATTCTTATAATAAGATTTATGTAGTATTCAAAATATTAGCATTAGTGTAGTATTCGAAATATTAGGATTACTGTAGTACTCTGGATATTAGGACTACTGTAGTATTCTTATAATTAGATTTATGTAGTATTCAGAATATTAGGATTACTGCAATATTCTGAGTATTATGATTACTGTAGTAGTTTAAATATGAGGGTAACTGTAGTATTTGAAATATTAGGATCACTGTAGTATTTTAAATTTTAGAATTACTGTAATATTCGAAATTTTAAGATTACTGTGGTATTCAAAACATTCAGATTACGGTAGTATTTGAAATATTAGGATTACTTTAGTATTTTAGATATCAGGATTACTTACTATTTGAAATATTAGGATTACTGTAGTATTCTGGATATTAGGACTATTGTAGTATTCTTATAATAAGATTTATGTAGTATTCAAAATATCAGGATTACTGCAATATTCTGAGTATTATGATTACTGCAGTAGTTTAAATATGAGGGTAACTGTAGTAATTGAAATATTAGGATCACTGTAGTATTTTAAGTTTTAGGATTACTGCAATATTCGAAATTTCAGGATTACTGTAATATTCGAAATGTTAGGATCACTATAGTATTTTAGATATCAGCATCACTGTAATGTTTTAGATTTCAGGAGTACTGTAGTATCTGAAATAACAGAATTACTGTGGTATTCAAAATATTTTGATTACTGTAGTAACCGAAATATTAGGATTACTGTAATATTTTAGATATCAGTATTACTTACTATTCGAAATTTTAGTATTGCTGTAACATTATGAATATTAGGATGACTCTGGCATTTGAATTATTAGGGTTACTGTAGCATGTCTTTTCAGACCGCCACCAACCCTCAATGGGGCTGATGCTCATCTTCTTAGTGGTCTCAATGTGCACACTGCGATTTGTGATTTCTGTATTGAGAACTCGGATTCTCTATTCATTTGTGATATTGATGAGGGTAAGCTATTCATACTATATACATTTTCATATGTATTGACCTAATCAACATGCATTATTCATCTATTCACACAAAAATCCTATTGTTGTAGAACAAAGCAAGTGCACTTCTATCGAAAATAGCTTCACCACAATCTCCAAATCAGCGACAATGTCTGACATGAGATCAGAGTCCGATTCGAGATGGCCACGATTCTTCAGAGGGAAATCTGTGGAAGGTTTCTGGAAATTCAACAGAAAGCAACAAACTTCTACTGGTGAGCTGTGCGGATCGCCACCTTCGGAGGTCAAGTGGAGGAGGTAGAGAAATGATGGCTGATCGGAAAATTTTTAAATTATGCATTTTTCAGCAGGAGCACAAGATCCCATTCGACAGATGCCACATTCCAATCGTCTCGGGCAGATTCGTTCATGCAGTTGATGCATACTGGCATGGATCAGATTCGCGAGGGAATGCGGATTTTTAGAGCTCGTGCCAGGAGCATGCGACCGACGTCACGGCCGCCACCATCGCCTAGAACTCGTAGAGCCAGATTTTCCAATGGAGGTGGAGCGAATAATGTGCAGAGAGTCAATGAGAGGGAGAGGGATATCCAAATTGTGCGTAATTATTTTCCGGGATTTGAAAAATCAGGATTACTCTAGTATTACAAATATTAGGATTAATGTATTATTTCAATTAGGATTACTGTTGTATTCTTGAACTAGGATCATTGTAGTAATAGAAATATCAGGGTTACTGTAGTATTCTGAATAATAGTTTTACTGTAACATTAGAAATACTATGATTACTGTAATGTTGTAAATAAGAAGATTGCAGTATGGTAAACATCTGGATTACTGTAGTTTTTTGAATATTAGGATTACTGTAGTATTCAATGTATTACAATTACTGTAGTATTCGAAATATTCGGTTTATATATTAGGAGTGTTAGGATCACGTATAACGAGTATTAGGGGTACTGTAGCAATCTGAATATCATGATTGCTGTAGTGTTCGAAGTATTAGGGTTACTATATTCATCTGAATTCTTAGATGATTTAGTTTTAAAGTTAGCTCCAATCCCGTTGTTTCTGATTTTCTTTAAATTAAAAGATAAATAGTGATTCCAAGAAGTTGAAAATGGCAATAACTAGCTTAAAATGCACTCCAGCATCCTTACTTTAGAATTTTTCTCAGAGAATCGTCTAGGTTGTTTACCGACTACTTGACCTGAACCGGTCATTACCTCTTCACACCCCATCTCGCTCTAACTCAAATTATTCAGGAACTTCCATTGGCCACTGCCGAATCTTCAATCACACCGGAACCACGTAGCACAATGGACTCGAACAACATCATGACCCGCACAGTCAGCGTGAACGATTCTGACGACGCGAGTTTTGAGGAGAACGGTCTCAAAGAGATTCGAGAGCGGAAAGTGATGTTTAAGGCGGCGACGCAAGGTTAATGGGTGGTCCAGAGAGCTTGTGATCTGAAAATTGTTTTTTTTTAATTTGTATTTCCAGAACACGTTGCCCCAATCCATGAAAGATCAAGCCCTGTCGAAGAGTGGTCTAGTGATTCCCGAGAGAGTCTTCACCTTGAGATGTCCCGTTATGATAATGTGTCCCCAAGCGGTACTATCACTAGAAGTGAGTTTAGATTTGAATTCTCAACTGACATTTATTCAAATTGTGAACTATTGAGTATTTCAATAACTCTCTTACCAACTCTTTGCTCTCTCCACCCCCACCTCGTCCATTAATCAAACAGAGCCAATTTTACAGGTCAACGCGAGCCCATTAGCAATCTATCGCCAGCCGCACAATTGCTCTTTTTCGAATCGTCTCGAGCCAGTCAACTCTTTTCTGCCTAACTAAATCAATTGTTGCCAGGATCTAAATTCAAATTAGGTCTCATTTTATGCCGTTTTTGACCCCTTCTCTGTCCAGTCCATCCATCCATTCACTCTTTACGATTGTCTCCCCATAATTTTCGACGACTTCCTTCCCTCGTCTCTGTCGTCGTCATCCCTTTCTTTCGTTTTCTTAGAAACCCGTGTTGCCCTCTCCCATCGGCTGTCTTCTTCTTCTTTCATCTCCCATATATTTGTCCTCGTTTTCTTATTTCTCTTCGTTTTTCTCCACAATTCCTTACAAAACTCATTCTATTTTGCTTCTTGGTCCTCCTTTTCTTTCTTTTTCTGTCTATCTATAAATTATTAATAAACTAAAATTCGAGTTTCGAAAAGACAGGAAACTTTCAAAATTCTTCAAATCATCTGAGGGTCAAACATTCCGCTCTAAACGCATTACCGTTGTTATTTAACTTGATTTACACGCTGAAACAGGTGTAATATTCCAGTAGAGGAGCTGTAAAGTTTAATCATGTGGTTCCTCTGTGCAGAAAACATTCATTGAGCTGAGAAAAAGTGTGCCAGTGACGCGTTTTTTCGTTTTTTTTTCTCTCTCTTTGCTCAAGATGAGGGAGCCAGAGCAAGTGTTTTCGATTTTTTTTCTTGAAGACTTGTGAGGATGAAAACTTTGGCGGCAAATTCATCTTGATAGATATATATCATCTTTGTGCTCGCGAGAAGGTTAAGCTGACTGAAATGTTATGCTTCGCTTTTCTCACATAGTTGGATAACAACATTTTCGTGCTACAAATCCGTTTAAGCAAAAACAAAAAGGCTTCTGATTCACTACCTAATTAGCTTAACTTTCAGAATTTTTGTTCTAGACTGAAAACTATTTCCCAAGTTTTTCCATTATCGATTTTGTTGAATTCCTTGTACCATATGTCACATTAATATGTGCAATGTAGGAATTGAATGGAAGCCCGGTGACTGCTAAAACTTTGTCTATTTTCGAGCACTTCCTTGTTTGAAGAAGCATGAACAACATTTCTTAGAAACCAGCTAACTTTAAGACGGGTTGACTTTATACGAATTTATCAAAAACGGATCAGAATATGATAATTATTTTCTTTTTGAATAACAAACACAACAGCTCTCTCTCTAACACAAATTGATATCAGGTGACCATATAAATGCCATATACGTTGATATTTCGTGAACAAAGCTTTAGGTTTGAGTTTTGAATAATAATAATAATACGATTTCAAAGTCAAGAAATCAAAATTCAGCCAGCCAATCGACTTTGATTCAGGCTGAAAACACTAGTTAGATTTCTACTATTCCCAAAATCATCCCTAAACTTTCTCGAAAAACTGAGAAGATTTGAAAATTCTAAAACTGTTCTCTGCAATCACTCAAACTAGAATTCAGGTTATCCTGTACTAGTTTTGTGTCAGGTGTTGTCATCTTTTTGTGCGAGGTACTACACCTACCTTCGCCTCGAGGACAAAAATGGTCGACGGATTTCTCAACGACCCAACAATTGTGACTACGATTGCCAAACAACGGTTTTTGTCCCCGATTTTGTTTATTTTAATCTACCGAATTTAGTTAGAAAATTCAAAACGGTTATTCTTGAAGAGTTCAAAAATATTTTCATTGTTTTTTTTTGTCTCAGAAGCTCAAATAAGCCGCAGAAAAATTTTCTAAGAATCTATACTACACTCTGATACTCTCAAAATTAAAAAAAAACGATATTGTCCTAAGTTGCCTTGAACTCGAACAATCAATTTTAAAATCCGGTTTTTCGTTTTACTTACTTTTTAAAACTTTGTATTTCTGGTTGTGATTATTTGAAAATTAGTCATTTTTCAATTTTTCGCCATAGTTCACAAGATAGCCTACATCTCTCGTGTCAGCGCCTTCACATTTTTGATTTCACGAATCTTTGAAAAACATGTCCTTTTGACCACTTAACCAGTGACATGTCTGCCGAATGCCTGTCAAAAACGATCGATTCCACTTTCCGGTTTTTCCTTCTCATTTTCGGTTTTTTTTTTTCAAACTTGAAATTGATTTTTGAGACTTTTCCTATCTCAAATCATTCTGTCAAAAACTGTAGTTCTAAGGTTAATAAAATTGAGATTTTTTTAACATAAAAATCAAAAGAGTTGAAATTCATGAAATGAAATTCATGAAATTAGGGTCATTAGAAATTTCTAGAAACTTAGAAGACCATAAACCTAATTTTCTTTAGAGAGACTTCGAATATTTTCTTTCAAATTTTCAAAATCGTTAAAAACTTTCTGACCGGTCCGGTCAATTAAAAAAAATTATTTTTGGGTCCCGGTTCAATAACTCTTCTATCTCCGGTGTTTTTTCCCACGACCTAGTATCGTGGTACATAAAATATAGGAACTTTTTCCATTTTTTCCCCCGTTCGCTCTCCAAAAAATTATCAAAATCCGTCTTTTCGGGTCCAGTTCATTTTCTCAACTTTTCTCAAAAAAGTGCCCAAATTCAGTTCCGGATTTTTTAATTCTTCCGATTTTTTTTTCTGTTCCAAAATTTCTATCTTTTCGCACTTCCCAATTCCCAACAATTCCATGTCCTTCCATCTTCTCTCCGTCGCTGTCAATCTCATTAATCTTAGGCCTCGGAGGCCCAGTTGAAAGGGGACATACGCTGTCCAGATGTTTCGTTTTCATTCTTAACCAAAGGGTCAACAATATTCGGGCATCGATGTTGTTTGGAGTGGAGTGGGGCCACGGAATAACTAAATATTTACCGATTTGGTGCGAAATTGCATTTCAGAGTCTCTTTCCCTTAAAAACCACTTTCTTTTCTTTCTTTTTCTATTATTTTCCAGCGAAAATCCCCAAATTTCTTGCCTGCTAAGACAAAGACAGTACTCTCCGGCAAGTGATGAGAAAGAGGGGACCTAGAAAAACATTACGCGCAATGACCCGACCTCCAATGTGCGCGCAGAAAAGAGGGGAAGAGGGAATGGTCCCGCATATTGTGTGTTCCCGATCAATAACTATCGGGACTCCCCCCCTTCACTCGAGACTACACAGTGATGACCTACCAATTACCCGCCACAGATATTATTGTTTTTCTTGTGTTCTCTATTCCTCTTGTTCTCTCGCAATCTATGTCATTCGGAGGGCGAGTTTTGTGTTCAGTACGGGGTTGATCCTCGTCTCTTCCTTCTACTTTTTTCTCTCTGTCGGAGTGTGTATGTGCTTCGGTTCGCTTTTTTTTCTGTCCCTCCATTTTCAATTTCTGTTTCTTTAAGCTTCTCTTTCTCTCTCTCTCTATCTCTACTTCTCTCTTTTCCCTCTCTCTTTGGCCAGCGCCCATATATGTCATCACAAAAAAAAGAGTAGGAGCGAGCGCCAGCCAAAAAAAAAAGTGTACGAGTTGGATTTTTTTGATTCTGTAGAACAATTTTTTCCAATTTTTCGAGGTAAAATTTGCCAAAAACGGGGAATTTTTTAAATGCCAAAATTTGGTACTAATCGAGCAAGGTCAAATATTACTGTTGAAAAATGTCTGAAAACTGTCATAGTCCTGCCGTTTTTAGCCTTATAATGAGTCGAATTGCAGCCACTATCTCAAAATTCTCTTCTCTCAGAATCAAATTATAGTGTTCAGAGAAAAAAGGCAAGTGCACAAAAATAACGAGTTCTCACATTTCATATCGTGTTATATTTCATAGGGGCTTCTCAGTTTCCTGTTCCCATGAAAATAAATTTCCAGAAAAAAAAAAGGAAAAAACTCACATTTCGAATCAAATCGATTTCCCATCCTTCACTTTTTCAATACACTTCCCATTCCGACTATTTGCTTTAACCTTATCTATAAAACGGCGGGCCGTTTCTCTCTCATTTTTACTCTTTTCCTTTATTCACTTGCCGTTTATGTTTTGAATTCAAAACTTCAAAACTAATTAAAAAAACGGATTTTAGGAATTACAGCAATGTCATTCCCAACGAGTTCAGCAGCAGAAGAAGAAGATGGTTTTCCGGAGCCCGGCGTCGCTTCATGGTACGACGCGCAGCCCGGTAAACGATTGCTCAGAAAGCCAAACTATCGGATGGGCACTGCTGATGTTTATGAACAACACAAGAATCAAGAAGAGGACATGTTGACAACAGAGCGACTGAAGAAAGGATATCAGGTGAGTAGCAATAGCAGGAGAGACCACAAAGGCGAGAAACTAGGAGAGAAATGTTGAATATGCAGAGTGCAGAGTAACTATGGAGGTTGGGGGTGGTGATTAGAGACCTCTCTGTGTGTTGGAGCACGCGGATATATATATATATATATATATATATATTCATTGGGGTGGGGGAGAAAAGAAAAGCACAAGAAGAAAAAAAAGAAGAAGAAGAAGAAGAAGAAGAAGAGAGTATACGAAATCACGTGTGAGATAAACAACCTGAGTTTCTGTTTCTTGCAGGTGCCCGTTACTCACTACGAACTCCAGTCGCTCATTTTCAACGCTTCTGAAAACAAACTTCTCCGCCTCGACCGGGCGCCACGGCGGACGTATTGTATGATTTCATCGGTAAGCTTTTGACTATTTCCAGTAGATATCAACGAAGACCTTTTTCTTCAGATTGTTCATAGAAGAGGGGAATACCATATGAACTTCGACAGTAATCGCAAGGTGGCCAAAGGGGAGATGCCGCGGTTCGCCAAAATACGCTTCAAGCGAATTCTGGAGGATCGTGTCAAATTCTTCTCAGCATTGTTTCGTGGGACACCTTTGCAATATCTGCAGAAGAAGGTGCCATACTATCGGCGGAAGGAGCTGCTGCTACTGGAGTTTTATGATTATCAGTGAGTTTTACACAAAAAATGCGGGCGCTTATCCTAGATTTCGATTTTTTAGAATCCGCTACGATCGTGCGATCTGGTGTGTCAAGCTGGTCAGCATCCTTGGCTTTAATTGCTCCGCCAAAGCACAGAAAAAGGCCCTTCTCGACTTGGCAACACTCGAATGGAGTCAAGCGTGCGGAAAAGTCACTTACTACCTGTTGCTAGCTCTAAGGAAAACCTACAAAAAAAGTCGGGCGGCGTTCAGAGAATCCGTGAAAATGTGGTACTATATGACTCGGTTCATGATGTACATGTTCCAGGTAAGTGATTGTTTTGTGGTCATAATATATGCTAAAGCGTATTTGTAGTTGATTTTTGGTCATTTTCAAGAATCTAGAGTTTGGCTGTCAAGTCACTCTCAAATCGTCAAAAAAGGTAAAACGGAGCTAAATTGATAACTTTGCAATAAGACAATTTTTGAAAATTCCTAGTTTTCGAACTATATGGCGATTCCAGAAAGACCCCCCCCCCTCTTTCGGCCCGTCTTTTCACTAAAAAAGAGGTTTCTTTCAGATCTCGGCCAATAGCAGGAAAAACTAGAAAATTTCTAAAAATTGTGTGAATGCAAAATTTTCAATCTAGATCTGTTTTACACCTTTCAAAATTTCCAAAGTGATTGGGAACTGTTCAGCTGAGCTCCAGAGTCCGGAACATTGTCGAAATAGCCAAAATCTACAGCTAAATAGGTTATTGACCGCTAAATACAATTCTTTCAGGATGGAGTCGTCGATAAACACGAGTTCTTAAACGACTTGACCGAAATGTTCAATGTATTTTTTATTCGAGGATCTCTTGCGAATGCGAAAATTTTGGAGTGAGAAATTTCCGAACCACATTTAATTTCAATCATGTAAACCTTGCAGACTATTCATGGAGTACTACATATTCTTCCTAGACGATCTCAGTTCCAGCTTGATATTGGCTCGCAGAGCATCAAGTTTGTTATGTAAGGCGCTTGGATTGCTCAGTGAAATCAACGAGGCTTACACGAAGACTCAAGTCTACAAAAACGAGAACAAACATGAGTTTATGGGACATCAGGATGTGTAAGTCATACTTGGAAACTTACACAGAACGTATTTCATTTAACTTCAGATGGACAATAGACGCTCAACCAAAGTTCGACTTTGAAGATTATAATAGGGACCATAAGGAGTTCATTGATCCTGATGATTTTTTCCGATTCGTTGACGAACTACCCGATGCTGCCTACTTTGAAGATTACGAAGATAAGACTGCTGAGCAGGTTGCTGAAGAAGAGCTACAAACAATGGAAGCACCGCGACGAGCTCGAAACTATATCTACAGTGCACTGAAAAGCGTTAAAACTCCAGTAAACGATCAGATACCTGTCGACTTGGGCGATGAACTTTACATTCCATCAGATGTGGAATCTCTAACGAGTCCGGAACCAGAAGAGGATCCAGAAGAGGGACCGGAAGAAGACCCACGATCACAATCGGTACCATCACCAACATTCCCTGCAGGTCCAGTATCTATGGAAGAGGCAATTCCAGCTTATTGGCGAGCACGTGGGCCAGTACTCCAGACAGTACCCCAACCAGCACCCCAACCAGTACCCAAGCCAGTACAACAAACAGTACCCAAGCCAGTACCACGACCACCTCCGAGGAACCTCAATATAAAGTCCGAGCAAGTCGATCCAGAGTACGAGAAGAATTTTGGAAATCCGGTCAAATCTAAGAACTTTAATATTAACATCAAAGCGGAACCAATGGACTATGATGAGTATTCCACGGAACCACCTCAACCACTCCAACCACCACAAACGTTCCAACAACGACCCAAATCACCAGAGAAGGAAAAAGCACCGGAACCAGCTGCTGAACCACCTCGATGGACGCTGGAAGAGCTCCCGAAAAATTTCCTCTCGAAAAATTTGGAAGTTCCTGCTCCGTGGACTCGACCGCGGGAGAACCCCATTGAGCGGAAGAGAGCCTACAATCTGTTGTGTGCCAAACGATTCCCAGTTAAGGAGGATGTCTTCGAACCATTTAAAGATCCAGACTCTCCAGATGGATCCAGGCCGGCGTCACCAATTGAGCCGATTCCCGTCAAGAAGCTTCATAAGACACCGCCCAAAAAGGTGATGACTGACGATGATGAGTTTGGTCATATACCGGCTCAAAAACGGAAGATCAATCCAAAACTGGCAAATGGAAAATATTCGGAAACACTGTTTGTGTACTACTTGATAAATGGTGGAGTTGCTTTTGATCCAAAACACGACGGCGATGAGATGGACTTCTCGAATCCAACGCCTCCAGAAGCACCACCACCACCGCCGCCAGTGGAGTTTGAGACCTCGCCAAGTGCATCACCAGCTCCAGACACTGACAAAGAGGATGAAGATGGTAAATCCAAGGAAGGAGGCGACAAAGCTGCTGAGAAATCGACTGATAAGCCTGCTGAAGAAAAGGAAGCTTCAGAAAAAGAGAAAACTGGCGAGAAGAAGGATGGTGATAAGCCAACAGAGGAGAAAAGTAAGAAGGGCGAGAAGGCGGATGGTAAAAAAGCTGTTGACGAGCATCTCAATGATCTAATCATACCGATGGATGTGGAGGCAGAGGCTGCAACAAAAAGAAATAGTGCAACTAATTCCAAAGATGATGAAGCTGAGGACGCCAATAAAGTCGCTGGTGATGCACCAGTAGTGGAAGCAACACATGCTGCTGGAACATCAGAAAAGAAACCAGAAGCTGAAGTCACTCCAATTGAAACCAACGACGTCGAAATGGAATCAGTTGATCCTGCAACCAACAAAGAATCGACGAGTGATTCAACAGCAGAAAAATCATCAGATAGTCAGGAACCAATGGAAGTGGACGATCCACAGAAAAAATTGCCAAGTCCTGCGGCTGATAAAGCCGGAGATGACGCTTCCAAGAAGACTAAAGAAGGCAAAAAGCCAGATACTCCAGCAATTGAATTGGTTGATTTGGAAGCCCTTGATGATATTCCACTCCCAACGGATGACTTAATGTTACCCGAAGAGGATGAAATTCAAGTAATCGAGAAGCCCAAACATCCAGACGCTGACTTCTGTGAAGTGGTTGAAGTTGTGGAGAAGGACAAAGACAAGACACCGGAGAAAGCAACAGAAGGAGAGAAGGAAGCGGAGAAAGATGCTGAGAAGTTGCCAGAACCTGCTCCAGTTGTCGAATCAGTTCCAGAGCCAGTGAAAACTCCCGAAAAGCCAAAGACTCCAGAACCGCCACGTCTCTACACAGCAGAAGAGATTGAACAATTGAAGAAAGATAAGCGGAGACAGAGAATGCTTGATCGATTGACCGACGCCTTCAAAATCCAAATGGAATCTGACAAAAAATACGAGGAAAACAACATACATCCATCGTTCAAAGTTTACGATCAAAGTCGAAGCTTCCGCAGGCCGCTGCACTTGTTATCGTCGATGGTTCAATATTTGGCATTCAGGACTCCAGAGAGTTTTGTCTGGAATAATCTTGAGGTTAGTTTGAAAAATTCTAAGCAAAAAAAAATCGATAAAAATTTCATTTTTAGGTCCCACGTCCCGACAAGTGCCACAAAATTCTCCCACAGCTTTGCGGTTCTCCACTTGACCACTTACCTTGTGAACTTCACGAACTGCCAGTTATGGAAGGTGAGTATTACATTCGAAAAATAAGGAAAATCAGATTAAGAAGGTAATTGAAAGCCATAACTCAAAGACAATGTTGCGTGCAAAGACGCAGACAAGAAAAAACATCATTCACGCTCTAATGCTAATATGCTAATTTCATAATTTTTTCCAGGCAATGACGGGCATGTCGAACATCTACGGCTTCGCCACCATGAAATCGTACGCAGAAGTCAAGCAGCTGACGAAAATTGGCTACCAGGTGGAGCGGATGTCTTACAATACGGAAGAATCATTGACGCTTGTGTTGATGTTATTGGACTGATGGACTGTATCAATGTCGAGAGGCCAAATTCCATTTTCAAGGTGTCCGAAAGGCTGTTCAATTTCCGTGAAAAGTTTGCCAAGGAGGAAGCTCTTTTGAGGATCAAGCTAATGTTTAAGTGGTGTATCAGTGAGGAGCGAGAAGGATCCTTCCGTCCGGTCTATTGTGCAAGAATGTTGGAATATGGATTGAACAGGAGTGATGATGGTTTGATTGGAGGATGGCAGATAATGGATCTCTTCTTCAATTTCATGGCAACCGAAGGACCGAAACCTGGAATGGCGAATTATCAAGCTAAATTCGATGCTTGTGCTGGAATTATGATTGAGATGATTCGCCATAAACTTTTCACTGTTGCCGACATCCTTAGGGAGCTCGAGAAAGATCTGGATATTGATTACACGCTACCATTGATGGCAAGACAGAGGAAACAAAAGATGCCGAAGATTTCGAAAAAAGAGAAGACTCCTGAAGAGCCAGACAACACCAAGCTCATCCACTTCACCACGGAACACACTCCAAAACGATTGTTCATGGGAAGAAAGATGGATTTGCTGGAGAGAATGATCATCATGTTGCCACAGTTTGGTAATAACAAGGATAGCGATGAATACAAGATCAGAAACCAACTACTGTTTGGATTGCGACCATCTGAGAATATCTACTTCAGAAGAGCAAAAACCATCTGTCAAGGCATTTGCAAGGAGTTTGATTCCAAGTCATACATTGAATTTAACGACTATGTGACGGCTCACAAAAAGCTCAATCAATCTCGGTTGGATGATATTCTCCGTCAGTTCCGTGCCCAAACCTACCACGATCAGCATGTGATTCTTGAGAAAATTGTGATTCATTTGACTGAAAACATTGGAAGCTTCTTGGAGAAGAAGAATGGACACTTGCCAGCTCCAGAAGTTGTCAACATCATCTGCGAAATGTACGAGTACAGTATGGACATCACATCTATCTTTGACTTCTTTGAAGTTTTGCATCCATACCTAAAGGCTGTTGACGAAAAGGTTGCCTCATTCGAAATGGATCTTGTCCCGGATATGTACCACACTGAGATTGCCTACATCTTTGTCTCGTTCTTCATGAAGCACTACCAACGTTTCTTGTTACACAAACGAAACAATCATATTGTAAATCAGCTGTACTATAGTGTCAGGAAGATGATGATGGACAAAACTCGTTTCATCACTTGCTGGGGTCGCGTAATTGCAATTTTCGTCAACCACATCCGTCCGGTTCTCATTGACGGATGTTTCCGGATTATTCATATAGAAGGAAACGAGCGGGAATTCGCAAGGGCTCACCCCAACAAGAGGCCATTCAACTTGGAGTGTAGCTATTTCAATGAGGAGTTTGCCGGTTCCAAATTGTCGCTGAGAGGTGCAACAATGAGATACGACTCGTTCGCCGATATGAAATGGATCGTGGACAATCTGAAGGTTACAGTGAAGAGGAAGAATTCGAAACCACGGACACCAAATCGATACTCATTTGTCATCAGAGCTTTCATGGAAGCACGAAAGCATGGCCAAAACTTTGATCGTATCAATGAGTTGGCCAATTACTGTGCAAATGTGACGGCTAACGATCCGCCTCTCTCTGAATACTGGATAGGAGCCATCAAAGGGCTCTGTTGCCTATGTATTGATGATTCGTCGCAACTATTCAAGGAAATGGCAAAGAAGATTGATGTAAGTTTCATTTCCATTATTTCATTTAAAACATCTGTTGTTCTTTTCAGATTTCCGACTGCTCTACTCACTACTCACTATCCACATTCATCACGTGTCTGGCTGGGAAAGCGGCATTCTACATTCCACGACTCCTTCACAAGCTCACCGAGGAAGTTTTCTCACAGATGCTCCATAACGATGGTCGTCTGACATCCCACAAGACTAAAGATGTGAAGCGAAAATCTGCTAACAAGACCACAGAAACCCGAACATTGAGTGAAGCTGAGCCGGGAGTCTGCCTCTCTCTTCTGATCATTGCTGGATTATGTTGTCCTGGAGATGAACCATTCGGACTTTCCGTTCACTATCGAGGAATTGAAAAAAAGAAGAAACGATTCCGTCAAACTGCTGATGAGCGGATAATGCACATGTTCCACTGGTTGGAAATGGATAAGTCGATGTTCCGAACTTTGGCGTCGATTTCTAAACTGCTGGAAGCTCTACAGTCCCGTTGTCGAGATGCAAATTTGGTTCTTCCACAATCCTTTCAATTGAAGCATCCAATTGTGGATCCAAATCATCCTCCACCCCACGAAAAGGCACCATATCGCCCTCAATTCTTGTTCAATATTGCTAAAGCTGTGTTCTTCACAATTTGCGAGCAAGACTGGGTTACTATTCGGATGTATCAATTTGTTCGAATCAATAAGATGGAGCCGTTCAATCAGGAGAAGTTGAAAACAAATTGCTTGGGACAACAGTTGCTCCGAATCTCATTGCGCCGCAAAACCGAACGATCCAATGTGCACAGCCTTTTTGAAGCTCACAAAATCTCCAAAAAAGCCACTGTAGACAAGGTTCTATCGTTCATGAATCTCTGGAACTTCCGTGCAACTTTATTCGACCTCATGCTCATGATCAAGGAGATTAGTCCAGATGGAAACACCAGGCACGCACAACAAGGTGCCATTGCTGCAGACGCATTGATGTCGGAAATTGGAAAATGCTGTCGTGATATGTTCCTGGCTGCTTACAAAGCTGACGCCAAAATGCCAAATGTGAAGAAGCTGATGGACTTCCGATTCGGAGATATTAGCAAGTACTGGCTCTTGGCTCCACTTGTCAGAATGTGTCCAAAACCAATCAACATCCCACCACAGTATGCTAACACTCAAGTTCAAACTGTTGCTGCCAAGTTCTTGAGAGAGGCTTCTGCTCTGATGGATACGCCACCAACAACGACTCCAAAGGAACGTCTTTTGCAATGCTCCTGGGCCATGTCCAAGCTTCCATTCATCAACATGATACTGACATGTCTGGCTTGTGAGAAGACTCAAAGTGGAAAAGACACTTTTCTCAACTCGGTCTACCAACAACTCCAACGAGAAGTATTCCGTGACCACAACAAGCGTTCCAACTGGACTAACCGTCCAGAACATCGGGATTGCACCGTCCTTCGTGTCAATTTGATCGCCTACATGTACAAGGAGATTTTGAAGCCAACGCATGTAGAGGTTTGGGGACTTCTTCTCTACCAGCTCATGTTCCACGGAATCATTAATCCATCCAGAGAACGGTAAGCTTTAAATTTCTCACTGCAAAATTTTATAACATTTTTTTTTCACAGATATGTCTTTGAAAATTGCTACGACATGCTTCAACATATGGTTTTATGGACGCTGGTCAACGGCGACAACATGAACAGTCACGATCGCTATGGATCCATCCGAGTTCGTTGGCCAAACTACGCAGGTTTGATGAAGAAGATTCGGAAAGAAATTCAAGATCGCCACGTACATCCATCTCGCACATGCCTCCTTCGATTCTTGCCGATTGGAAAGCTTCAAACTAGTACAATCTCTTACAAGAAGTACCATAAGAGAACTATCAGACCATCAGCAACAAAGTCTAAGAAGTTCATGTCTAATGAAGGAATCAGATCTGGAAAGTACGTTTATCTTCCGGAAGAAAAGGTCAAAACCAACGCCTACGATCATATGAAGAATATTCCTGATGGTATTCAGAAGGGAGGATGGAAGTTCCGAATGTTCCAGACAACTCGTCTTGACAAGGTTGCAAAAAGTGCTCTACACCAACTTCGAGCCAAGATTCCTCATACACATATTGGTGAATTCAAGAGGCCTTGTAACATTATGCTGGACAACATGTCGGAGGACTTTTATTTGAGACCACCAGAGGTTGAAATTACAAAGACTGTCGAACCAGTTGCAGACGACGAGGAGACAGCCGCTGTAAAGAAGCCAGAAGAAGAAACTGCCGAGAAGAAGAAGGACGAGGCGAAAAAGGCTGATGAAAAGACAACCAAAGCAGATGACGAGAAGAAAAAGGATGAAACGGCGGATGCCAAAAAAGATAATGAGAAGCAGAAGGAGGAAAAGGACAAGCCCGAAGATAGCGCCAAGGCAAAAACTGATGATGTCACAGCTAAGGACACCGAAAAGGACACTGCGGCACCAACCGATGCAGCTAAAGCGGCGGCTGCGCCAGTCGCTGCTGCTCCAGACGCCAATAAAGAAATGGATACATCTACTCCGAAGCGTAAGTGATTATTAATATTGAGAAAAAAATATTTTCAAATTTTTCAGCTGCTCCAGTAACCCGCGAAACATCAACGACACGTGGAAGAGGTGGTGGAAGGAAACGAAACTCTGGTGGACGTGCTGCAGGAGGTTCCCGAGCCAAACGCACCAACTCTCGTGCCAACGCCAACGCTGAAACTGCCGCTGCTGCCGAGACATCTTCAACAACCAAGGCTGGTCCATCTGGTGGTGGTTCAAGTAACTATCATGCTGCAATGCGTGCCAATCAGCCCCCAATGAGTAATGGATCCAGTGATGAGACCAAAGCCAACATTCGCAATTTGTTGAATCGCAAACAGGAGAAACGGAATAGTCGTGAGTTTATACTAAAATTGTTTAAGGCAAAAAACCAAAAAAAAAAGGGGAAAATGATATCTATAAACAAACCATTTTTTCAGTCGCCGACGCCAACGCAGCTGCCGCAGTAGCTGCTGCAGCCGCTGCCGCTGCCGCCGCCGCTGGGAATATTGCTCCGGCTCTTGCTCCAATTGTACAACCTGGAATTCCTTCCGCTGGTGCGTCATCAACGATGCCTGGGGTACCACCACAACAACAGCCACATCCTGGTATGCAGCACCAATCTGGCATGCAGCATCAAGGAATGGGTGCTGGAATGGGTGGAATGAATCCAACAATGCATGCTCCACCACCATACAGCTCGTCTTCAATGAATCGTGAGTTTTCTTTTCCAAAGGAACATTTTTAAAAATTGAATTTACAGCTTTTGCCAACCAGCCACACTTTGCTGCTCCAAACCAAGTGCCAATCACCAACATGGCTCATCGATCGACTGCCGCTGTCACTCCTGAAGAGCGTAAACGTATCATGGAAGAGCAAATGCATCAAAAGCTTGCTCAGCAACAGCTACTCATTGAAAACCAGAACCGCCAACGCGAGGCTCGTGAGCGTGAAGCTAGAGAGCACCAGGAACGTCTTCACAAGATTCGTGAGGAGCAGATGCAAAAAGAGGCTAAGATTCGTGAGGAGCAGATGCAACTTGAACGTCAACGTGCTATCGAGGAAAATAATAGGATAATGGAGGAACAACGAATTCTTCGAGAGAAGGAGGAGGCTCGTCGTCGAATGGAGGAAGAGCAAAGGCGGCGAGAAGAAGAAGCTCGTTTGGCTTACCATGTTGAGCAGGAACGAATTCGTAAGGAGCAGGAACGCCAAGCTATACTCGAAGCCGAACGTTTGAAACGGGAAGAGGAGCGTGAACGCGAACGTCAACGTCTGGAACAAGAACGACTCCAGCGTGAGATGGAGGAGAAAGCTCGTCGGGAAAAGGAGGAACAGGCTCGCATAGAACGAGAACGGCTTGAGCGTGAGCGTGTAGCTCGTGAAGCCCTCGCTGCTCAACAAGCTCAACAAGCTCAACAAGCTCAACAAGCTCAACAAGCTCAACAACAACGTCATCGTGCGATGCTGGAGCAGCAGCAAAGGCAGCAAATGATAAACCAGCAGCAACAGCAGCAAGCTCCATATGGCCAACAACCACCACAAGGACAGCCACCGAGCTATCAGCAGAGCTCCTATCAAAACCCATCTGGTTATCAACAAGGACAACAATCCGGTCAGAACCAACCACCCAACTACCAACAGACGAGCCATACGAATCCAGCTATCCAGCAAACCCAACAACCACCAGCGTACCAGCAAGATAATGCTCAGATGCACATGCAGAATCGACAACAGCAGCCTGGCCAACAGTATGGAAACCAACCTCAACAGCAACAGTCGCAACAAGCTCAACAGGGTCAATATCCTCAGCAATATCCTCAGCAGTTGAGTCAGAACCAGCAGATGAATCAGCAAAATCAGCAGAGGAATCCATTCGGTGCTCAACCTGAGATGCAAATCGGTGGACCCAAGGTGCTCATGCAAGCCAAGCCAGACGAGGCCCACGCTCAGCAGTATCAGCATACTCAAGCTCAGTTGGCATTGTCTCAGATGGAGAAAGAGAAGCAGTACTTAAAAGCGAAGAACCTTCAAGCTGGTCAAGCCGCCGGTCAACAACAACCACGTTTTGGTGAGAACCCTCAACAAAATGCACCTGGTTTCAATGGGAACCTACCATATCCCCAACAACAGCAGCAGCAGCCCCAGCAACCCGGTAAGTTGATTATTTTTGTCAGAATAGAGGCTTGCAACGCTTGATAGTAAAAATTCTAGGAACATCTCAAATTCCAAACACGACGCCAACAAGACCAGCTAATCCCATGCAAGGCCAACAGCAGCAGGCTGGTATGCAAAACTATCAAAACCAGCCAGTACTTGGACAACCTGGACCAATGCAACCTGGCGGACAAGCTGGGCAACAGCAACAGAATCAGTTCCAACGCCAGGGAATGCACACAACTCCTACCAAGAATGATATGGCAATGCGGCAAGGGCAAATGGGAGGCCAAATGGGTCAACAACAAGGACAAATGGGACAACAGATGCAAAATCGACCTGCTCAAGGATTGAACCAACAGAGCCAAGGCTTCCAACAGCAAGGTGGTCAGCAATCTGCTCAAGCATCCTTTAACCAGCCACAGAACCAATTTTCTGGTGGTCAACAACAACAACAAATGGGTCAGAACCAAGGTCAAAACCTTCAACAAGGACAGAATCAGTTTGGACGTCAAGCTGCGCCAAATCAAGAGAACTTCCAACAACAACCAGGATTCAATCAGAACGCTGCAGGACAAAACTATCAGCGTCCTGAGCAACAGCAGCAGAGCCAGAATCAGTGGAATCAACTGAACCAACAGATGCGTCCTCAACAACCTCAGCAGCCTTCTCAACAGCAGCAGAACCTTCCATTCGGACGTACTGAGCAAAGTCAACAGTTCCAGCAGCAGCAGCAGCAGCCACAACATCAGCAGCAAAATAAGCCAGCCATGGGACAACAGGGATTCAATTACCAAGGACAGCAGCAGGGACAAGGATTTGATCAATCCTCTCAGCAAACTCAACAGCATCCGAATCCCCACCAGCAACAAGGTCATATGCAGCAGACTCATCAGCAAAATGCTTCACAGCAGCAGCAGCAGTACAACCAAGCTCAGCAGCAATCTCAACAGCAGGGCAACCAGTTCCCTGGATTCTCTGGTAGTTCCAATCAAGCCCGAGCATCTAACATTTTGAATCAATCAATGGAAGATGCTGGTTTGAATCAAGGATTCTCATCTGGCAATAGTTAGTTTTTAAATTTCAGAATTATTATTAAAAATTGTAAATAATTTTTAGCTTCGAATCAACAAGCTAGCTCCACAAACCAACAAGGCAACTACGGTATGCAGCAGGGCCAACAAAACCCAATGCATGGCCAGATGCACCATCAGCAAGGCCAGCAAAACCAGAACCAGCAACAAAGGCCAGGAATGGGTCAGCAAGGTATGGGCCAGCAAGGTATGGGCCAGCAAGGAGGCATGGGACAGTCTGGAAGGGGACAACCTGGAATGGGTGGCCAATCCGCTATGGGTCAGCACCAACACGGCATGGGACGGCCGACAATGGGACAGCCAGGAATGCAGCAGTCTGGAATGCAACAGCAACACGGAATGCAGCAACAACAACCTGGAGCTCAACAATCCGGACTACAACAGGCTGGTATGCAACAGCAGCATGGTGGTATAGGAATGGGTGGCATGCAACAACAAGGTCGGAATAACTATGGCTCCATGGGTCAGCAGGGTCAGCAATCCGGGCAACAACAAGCTCAACAACATCAGCAGATGTCTCAGCAAGCCCAGCCACGACAAATGCCTGGAGGAGGAGTCCAACTTCCACCGTATTCCATGGGACAGCAACAGCAAACCCAACAGCAGCAGCCCAACCAACAGCAAATGGACCATCTCCGCCGACAGCAGCAGATGCAGCAAATGGCTCGGCAACAAGCTATGCAACAACAACAGCAAGGTGGAGTTCAGCAAGGTCAACCACAGATGCAGGGTTACGGTAACCAGGGCCAACAGCAGCAACAGCAGTTCCCACAAATGCAACAACATCGTGGACAAGGGCAACAGGGTCATGGAATGGGAGGAGCTGGCCAGCAACACCAACAAGTTCCGCAACAACAGCAAAACCAATACTTTCAACCTCAACAGCAGCAGGATCAGAGGTAGGATTTTTGTGAGATTACTGTAAGATTACTGTAGGAATGTAGCCAAAGTAAGACGATCCAAAATGTTGCTACAGGTCAATAAGATATACAAAACTGTGTTTTTGAAAACATTTTCAAGAGTCTGGAGCACCGCTGTCAAGCATCCGATCAGCTTGAAAATTTTGAAAAGTGTAAAACAGGTCTAGATCGAAAACATTGCGTTTACAGAATTTTTCGAAAGTACCTATCGTTTCAGTTATTTGCTGACTTCTGAAAAAGGCCGGCTTTTCATTTGGTCTTGTACTGAAAACGTCACAAAACAGGTTTATTTCAGAAATTGGCAAATGTCTGAAAAACTGAGAATTTCCGAAAAATTCTGTGAATGCAAAGTTTTCAATCTAGGTCTCTTTTAGATCCTTCAAAGTTTTCACAGTGATCGGAAACTTGAAAACGGAGCTCTAGATCTTTTCAGGTTCTGTACTTGCAATATTAGTCACCTTTTATATCATTAGAACCGATTTTCAACGCTCTCAAAGTTTCCAGAATGCAACAACAGCCTGGTGGTCAGCAGCAGCAGCAGCAGGGTCAATCTGGCCAACAACAAAATAACCAACACTACAACAACATGGGACAGTTCCCGAATCAGCAACAGTACTAACACACCCTGCAATATTACTTCATTTTGTCATTAACTAAAAATTCCCGATTGTAAATTTTCCCCTTATATTTTACAAATTGTCATATAACTTCGAACCTGTCAAATTTCTATCTTCTGTCACTTGAGCCCTCTTTTAACTTGATATTTCCCAAAACGGATATTGTTTAGTTTATTTTAACATTATTTTTGGCGTACAACTTGATTTGCAAAATGAAGTATATTTTTTGCAAAATTTCTCTTTTTTTTGTTATTTTCCAGGTACCAGAGATGAGCATCTTGTGGACCAGATACTGGTCACCTATTTTGTAAAAAAAACACAACAAGAACAGAAAAATTGGGATGTCTGTTTCGAAATCTTGTTTTTGATCACTAGAAAGAAGGGTGAGCAATATTCTGATTAGCATATAAATGGGGGAATGTGTTTTCTTGGTAGACACGTTTTTAATTTTTGGAGCAATTGCTCAGATTTTATTGTAGCTTTGGATAATGGCGGGGCTTGTAGAATTTGAATTCGCTAGAGACCGCGAATAACGAGCGTCTGTCTCTTTCTGTCCATTATTCTTCTCTTGTTGTGTCACCAAATTTTGGGACACGATTTTTTCGTGGGGAGACATTTTTTCTCGTTTTCCTATGCTTTGAAACATCATCTCAGCGTCCCCGCGCCGGAACTCATTCGCTCACGCTGCTCGCACTCGCTTCCATCACATGCCAAATATCCTTTTTTCTTCTCTCCTTTCTTTCCGTTTAAGAAAAAAACGCGGCGTAGCTCAGAAAAGAGCTCCGCCCACTCCTAGAGAGCTCCCAAAATTTTTATCTCTGGTGCTCACTGTCGCGCATCTACTCTGAAAAGGAGAAAGAGGAGAAGAGCCAGGGGCATTCATTCATTCGCATCTCATCAGGACGTTTTCATCCATCACTCGGGGCGCTCCAATGTCATTTCCAAATCCGCCGGCTTATGATCGTAAGTGAAAAATTTAATTAAAAAAGGAAGTTTTGGTGCAAAATTCAACAAGTACAACAATTCGGGAGCACTAGGAGGTACAAAGTGATTTAGCGGCACAAAATCCATTATTTGATGGTTGAAAATTAAAATTTTTCACGCATTTTGTACCCCCTTTTTTGATTAGGGATTTTGTACACCACTAACCCCAAAAATTGATATACCCTCAGAATTATTTTCCGGAAGTTTTGCATGTCGTATTTTAGGATCTCAAATGCTAACACACATCATAAGGGATTACCAAGAAAGTTATGAGATCTGGATGAGTCATAATAACATTTTTTTTAATTTCCAAATATCCAGCAGTTAGATTACTGTACCATTTCCTGAATGAACAAAACTGACGCTAAATGTAAGTTCTTGGGACTTAGACGTTGTAAATCGAATTCTGTGCCCGAATCAAAAAAAAAATGGAATAACAATGATTGGGTTTTCAAAATAACAACGTGGCAATTTTTAGAGGCTCTTGGGAAAGGAAGCATTAATAGACTCTAACATATTAGACAATAACATATTAGTGGACTATGATACAGTAATCTTTTAGTGGACTAGAGTACAGCATTCTCTTAATGATTTATGCATTGAGGAAATTAAACTTTTAGAGTTTGAGATTTCGAAATTACAAATCTAGAGTTCCAGGGAAAATTGAATTCTCTTGAAAAAAAACGAATTCAATTTCTTTTCTTTCCAAAAAAAAACAGAGAAATAAAATTGCAGAAGTGGTCCCACCGGCCTACAATCCGGATTACGCGCCCACCCAACCAGTCTACCACACCAACAACCATACAACCGCTCCACCTTACAACTTTCATGATAACGGAGGATTCGAGAACGTCGCAGATGTTCACTCTCCAGGTACTCTATAAAACCTGTAATAGAAGGGCTCCCTAACTTAGTTTTGAGCCATTTTATCTCAATTCTTGTCAAAGACATTAGAACGTTGTCAATAAACTAATTTATCATAATACCAGAAACATTTCATTAGTTGACACATTTTTGATATCTTGCACATCAGCCAAGAAAAATGAGCTCAAAGTTAACAGTATGAGGTTCTATTACAGGTTTTTATTTATTTATTTATTTCAACGAAGTTTTACTGTAACTTCTTTCAAACTTTCGTCGGTCCAAAAATTGTTTTTCAGTCTACACAACCATCGCATCTGGACCAATGCCATGCTCAACAATCATTATCCGGCTTGAGCCCCATGCAACCAAACTGCAGTGTCCATATTGTCGAACGGACGTGAGTTGTGAATATTCAACATATGAAATTAGGTTGCCCGAGGGTCCGCAGACATTTTTTCCTCTCATTATCTGGTTGAAAAATGAAAGATAGAGGAACAGAGTAAACAGAAAAACTCATCAAAAATTGGTCCGAGTTTTTATAATGAGCTTTCTGAAGAACGCATTCCGATGATGTTTGTTTTGGGTTCATAAGGATGATTCTAGAGAATTGAGTTTGGTGTTTTTCCTTTTGAGAATTGAGTTCAGTCTAAGCTTGGCTTCGGGGAACCTGACTAAAAAAATGTTTAATTTTTTTCTGTGAAGAGTACGTAATCAGAATTTCTCGAATTGTTTGATGGCTGGGATGATGTGTAATTGAGAAATATAGGAACTGAAATTCCAATTTATCTGAAATGTCGTATTTCCTTTAATAGAAGCCTACCTTTTTTAATTATAGAACACAACCCAAATCTTCAATTTTGAGCTCAATTATCTCGGTTGTTATGAAAGATATCAAAAATATATCAACATAGGAAATATTGGTGATATTAAGATAAATAATTTATCAGTTGACCAAATTTTGGTATTTGTTATAGGAACTCAGATAATTGAGCACGAAGTCAATGCTTGTTCAAAAAGAGGGAAAGTATCGTGTTCGTCTGTCAACTGATAAAATGTTCATCATAATATCATCAACATTTTAATAGTTGTCAAACTTTTGATATTTTTGATAGGAACAGAGATAACTGAGCTCAAAGTGCACGTACAAAGTAAATATTAACGCATTTACGGAATTTTCCAACTCAGAAAAAAGGCTCCGCGACGTTTCGAAAGACGGCGTTTCGAAAGTGTGACGTTTCGCAAGTGTGACGTTTCGCAAGTGTGACGTTTCGAAAGTGACAGCTTTGCACTTTTATGCATGGAAGAAAAAGCAAAAACTTGTATTTGAGTATTTAAATGGTTTTTGGAATATAGTTTTGTATATTTGAAGCTTTCAAAGCATTAATTGCCGTACTTTCGAAACGTCGTACTTTCGAAACGTCATACTTGCGAAACGTCACACTTTCGAAACGTCGTCTTTCGAATCGTCGCGGAGCCAAAAAAGGGAGTTGGAGAACAGACACTTTGTAACTCTTTGAAGAGCTTCTTGGCCAAATTAGGCAATTTTTTAGGGAACAACTGTCTACGGTCTTAAAAATTAAATTATGTTCAAAGGACTACATTTTTCTAAACCACGTATATCTGAAAATATAATTATTTTTAAATATGTTCCTTTATTGCTCATGCTTCTTCTAGGTTGTCACTCGCACAAAGTCAGTCTATGGTTTGTTGACCTGGATATTCTTCGCGGCTCTTTTCCTTTTTGGGTGAGTAACACTTTCGTTTTGAACACTAATTCTCCTCCACACGTCCAATTAAAAAAGTCTAGCCCCATTCATGTCTGTCCCATGTTTTTCGTGCTCAGCGAGCTGTGCAACTCCTGTCCGGCGGTTAACTACTTTTTCTCTATTTTTTTCTTTTTTTCAGATGTTGGTGCTGTTGTTTTGTGCCATTCTGTCTCCGCTCGTGCAAAGACATCATTCACACGTGTCCCAACTGCCGAGCCATGATTGGCATCCATCGACGGATCTAATTTGAAATGTTTTTGAATGAAAAAAAGTTCTCTTTTCTTGAAAAATGGTTCATTTATCATACACGTGACTTAATTGAATATGAACGAGTTGTTATTCAAGTCAGGAAGATAGGGAAGTTGACGAAAAATGAGAAAAAATAGAGAGATGTGAGATGGACGCGGGGATAGAAGACGTGAAAAATACGTGGGAAGAAGAGAAAAGAGATGTGAAGATATGATTGTCAATGAGCGGATGCATAATAGCTGCCTGCAAAAGTTGAGCATAAAAAGTTTTTCTTTTGACGAATGATGCGTGAGTCGCTCAACCGCATAAAAAACATTTACTTGCAAAACTAGGGCTCTAGATGCACCCGATCAGAGGGATATTCACGAAATCAACTTTTTTTTAGAATATTTAGAATATGGGAGAAGATATTGCAATTTGTTTTGATAAACGTTGTGTAGAGAATTGGTCGCTATTGAGTGGGTGTGTTTGGTTGATTATGGAGCTTGATCCCATGCTTGTTTCATGTATACGAACCAATAAATAAAATTGTAGAATGTGAAGACTACTGTAATTTTGAAAATAAGAGAATTTTCTAAAAACCTGGAGGGTCCTACCTGGAAACATCAGCCTAGATGTGTTATCCAGTCGTTCACAGTAGAGGATGTTTTTGGACTTTCGCTGGTTATCATTCTTGCAGATGCTGGGTTGTTGCCAACGTGCAGAGCTGAAATTTTAGAATAAAAATCTTTAAACCAAAAAATCAAGAACTTACTTTTTAGTTATCCTTGTTGTAGACTTGGTCGCCGGTTTTCCTTCATTTCGCATCAGGAAGCCTATAGTGGCAAGTTCAAAGAGAGAAGCGAAAACGAAGCATATGCCGCTGAAAGGAAAGCTGTGAAAATTTGGGGGGGGGGGGGGGGTGGAGGTTATGAATAATTGTAGAGGTGTGGAAAATGAGGTAGAAGAATAGAGGGGCGGGGAGAAAAAGGAAACAAACTAACCTCACATCCAGACGTCGATGGCTTTGATATACGACACTCTTGGTAAATTTCGGATTATGTTACCAAACTGGAAGGTAAGGGCCAGTAGGGCATTGACACCTGAAAATAACAGAAAAGGAGAATATATATATATATATATATATGTGAATATTTGAGAAAAAGAAGGTTAGGAGTAAAGGTCATAGTAAACACAGAATAAGAAGTGAGGTTTCGTGGATACTATATGCTTGCCACGGAGCTTAAAAATGTGATCTACTTGCAGAGCTCAATACATCGAAAAAAAGATCTTGAGTTTTCAAATATTAGGTTAGCAGTATGCACCGTTCTGATCCACGACATGTTGGCAATGTTCTGATAACTTGTGGATACAATACCTTCAAAAGCCAGCCAGCCGCGAATCAAAGTATTCATTTTTCCCTGTTTTTCACATAAATGGTGCAAATTTTCGTATTCTCTAGATGAGGTTGTATCTCTCCGAATATTTAATAATCTCATAGAGCTCAGTCGGGACTATAAGTAGGTGAGGGAGAACGGTCCCACTGAAGCTGCTCAGGTCTGACTTGACTGCAGGTAAAAAATGAAAAAAACCTCATGTTCACGGAAAGTCACGCCGTATCTGAGCCGCTTTGGCTGGACGGTTCTCCTTTACCCCCGTTAAAGCCCTGATTCAGCTCTATCAGATCATTGGTTATTCAAAAATATACGACGTTATCTGGAGCTTAAGGACTTTAACACACTTGATGCCTGAAAAAATGGAATGGAGGGAATTTTTTGACTTGCCACTAGCTGGCTTTTGGAGGGATGGTACCCTCAAGTTACCTGAACATTGCCAACATGTTGTGGATCACGACGGTGCATATTACTAATTCTGGATTATTCTTGTGTTTGTGTTATTTACTAATAGAAAAATGGACAGTTACTTTCCTGCCAACCTAATATTTCGAAAATAATTTCAAAAAATTTATTTTTGTATGTCAGGAACTGCTTGAAATTGTATGAAAACTTCACTCATGGATGAAAAAAGATATTTGGCGGTCAAACAGTTATAAGGATGTTTTTTATAAACAGTTTTTCAAATTTTAGAAACCCGGAGAGAAAACTGGCAGGTCTAGAATAGCATGATAAGTCTGAAAGTAAGCATATTGCATGTTATATGAACCTACAAACCTCTTAAAATCAGCAGACAACATTATATAATACATTATATAACATTGTATATTATATACATCATATGTAACTGCCCTGTACATTTACTTTGCGCTCAATTATCTTGGTTCCTCCAAATGCTATCAAAAATTTGCCAATTGATAAAATTTTTATCACAATATCACCAACATTTATTCAATTGACAAATTTTTGATATCTCTCATAGGAACCAAGATACCGTAAACATTCTAATAGAACGCCACCCGGACCGTCTTTTTTGAGCCTATTCATCACATTTCTTTTGAAAGATGTCAAAAAGTTGTCAATTGACAAAATGTTCATCATGATATCAGCAACATTTTATCAGTTAACTACTTTTTGATCTCTCTAACAGAAAATGAGAAACATAGGCTCAAATCTGACGAATCAGATGACGTTCTATTGAAGTCTTTACTTTTTGTAATTGAGCTCGAAGTTCACTTATAGACTTGGCTTTTATCAGAGCCCTTACGATACTTTAAAATTGTCCAATAAATTTCTGCGATCTTCGTCTAAAAATTCGCAACTGAAAAATTCTGATCCAACAAAAAGTAGTATATCTTTTTCGCTGGCTTATGCGGTCTTAACTGGGATTAATTTTAGAAACATCTGCTCGACTCCTTTTGCGTTCTTTTCCCTTTTTTGTTATAAACATTTCTTAGGAAAAATGAGAAACAGGAAACGGAAAAAAATCCAGAAAAAAAAAACAAATGGTAAGATTACTGGAGATTAGTGAAACGGCTCCTTTTCTTTCCCCCGCAAACCATTACTTTTACTATAACCGAATTCTAATTTTCCCTTCACTCCAAGTTTTTCAGTATCAAAGGATGCGGAGGGAGGAGGGGGATTGATGGTGACGCACAAAATCTGATCAGGCGTCTTTGAAATTGAATTACGGGATGGGAAGATTTGCAACGCGGGTTGGAAAACGTAGGATGCTACACTGACCTATCATTGTGCGAGCTGGTATTGCCTTGGGACCCAAATAAAACGGAATCCAGGAAATGAAGACTGTCATATACGTTGGAATGTATCCCTGGAGCAGGTACCATCCAGATCGCCGGCGGAACAAAAAGTTGACATTTAGCTCACTCCAATAACCAGCAGCGTAGAGCTGAAAAAGCTAGCTTTGATGTGTAAAAGATGAAGAACCGGTTCATAAGACATACAAAGTCGAGGTTTTTATTAAATTTTGTCATTTTTCAGGGGTCTAGAGCTCCGCTGTGTCCGATAACTATGAAAATTTTGGAGGTTATAAAACACATCAAGACTGGAATCTTTGCATATGAATTGTTTTTGGAAAAAACCTAGTTTTTCAGCTATTCGCCGATTCTTGAAGGACATCCTTCTGTAGATGTTAATGCACTAAAAACGGCGAGTCCTTCAGAAATCGGCGAATAGCTGAAAAACTGAATACTTGAAAAAATTCTGTAAATGCAACGTCTTGAATATAGGTCTGTTTTATAACCTTCAAAATTTTCAGATTGATCTAGCTCTAGACTCCTGAAAATTGTCTAAATCAACGGAAAAACACGTGTTTTCAAATATTTATGGCCAGCTCTGTACCATACCTGAAACTTATTGGAAGTGCTGAAATTGGTCATTGTGAAATCCGGCAACTCGATGGGTTTGAAGATGGTTAATGGTGGATCGCCCCATCGCATGAAAACTTCGTCCTGTAAAGATGGCAGATTCAAAATAAATACTTCGCTATGAGAATTAAAAAAACTAGTCACAAAAAAAGAAAAGTGGTTATAATTGGATGGCAACCTTGTTGTAGTTGAATGATTCGAAAGTCAAAGAACACTCGATACTGTCCATGGGGAATTTGGTGAGATCCATGACACACGGTCCGGTACTTTTGATGCGCCAATTCGACCAGACGGATCCTGGAAAAAGGTGAGTACACACATACACTCTACTACACAATTATTCACGCTCATTGTTTCTGTTCTCCCTGGTGATCAATTATTCATTGTGCTACCTTTTGTCTTGATCTTTTCGCTAGCTTGTAACAAAAACCCTACAGGAAGAAGCTAGAACGGAAACACTGTATCCTATATCATTCCCCATTTCCTTCCGACACAATTTTTTTCTTTTTTTTTGTTGGCTTTCCGATTCTCATCAAGTTTCAGGAAGCTTTGTGACGACTACAACGGCCAACTACCCAATCCTACAAATTCCAAAATTTCCAAGACTTTCAAATTTAATTTGTAGTCCTCCCCTCCCCCTCCTTCCCTCGCTTCACCCAAAAATTTTGCATAAGCGAATCAGCATAAGTCACTACACACTTAACGAGCAACGCTTCAAAACGTACCATTCGGGAAAACCATCAAGAAGACGTTGGTGAATGGAGAGCTGTGAAGCTGTGCCTTTTTGGAATTGATGAAGCATGTATTGGGCGTCCAGATGTTTTGCATGACAGCCCAATCAAAGGATAAATTGCCCTATACACGGAAACTGAGGAGGAGATCATTTGAGTGACAAATTACCTGACACGGATTGAGAATGTCGTATGCTAGGCCGGGGTCCGTCCAGTATTCGTTCATGTACAAGTCTGGAAAAAAAGCGTGAAGGTGTTGTTTGTTGCCAAAAGAAGACAAAAATTGTAAACACACCTATTTCGAAATCCTGTGTTAGCTCAGAAACCGATGATACTTCTTGAACCCACATCTCGATTCGAACGTCTACTTGAGGAGATGGTAGTTTGTGTTTGTTGTAGTATAGGGCACTTTCGAAAAGGAGATGGTCGATGATTTCAGTGTCATTTGCGCAGCTGGAAATATAATGTACAGAACCGAGCAAGGAGATATACAAAAAAAAAGTGTTGTTGAGTTGATTTTCGGGGCATTCTAATTACATTCAGAAGTCGGCTGTAACGTATCCAATCTTTTGAAAACTTTGGAGGGTGTAAAAGAGACCTAAGTTGAAGAACACCCCTTTTTTCCTGATTTTGGACTGAAAACAATAAAAAAGGGATGTCTGTCAGATATTGGCGAATAGCTGAAAAACTAGGAACTTTTTTAAACTTTTGTAAATGCAAAGTTTTTAATTTGGGTCTGTTTTACAACTTCCAAGATTTTCAAGATTATCGAAAACTTGACGGCGGACTCTAGTCTTTCAAAAATTGTCGTAATGCCAAATAGCAACTAAAAACACATTTCTGTGAATTTATTGATCGTTACTGTAGATGCAACTCACCCTTTATCCAACAAGTACGATACCGTAGGACTGATCTCCGCCGTGAGCGCATGTACCGTTTCCCGCGTAGCATACAGTAACAAAAACAGCGTGGAGAGCATGGCAATACTGAAAATTGTCCCCGGTCATACAAAAATCACGGAACATAATTCGAAGGGTACAAAGTGATTTATGGGTTAAAAATCCACAATTCCAGGGTACAAATCTCAGATTTTCAGGTTGTTGTACCTTTGAATTGGGGATTTTTAACCCTTAAATTGCTTGTAGCCAAATGACTCCAAAACTTTCGTACCCTTCGAATATTTTGCCATAAATCACCAAGAATCTGTTTAGTTTTCAATCAGAACGCCGTTTGTCATCCCGACTCCCCTTCTATCTTTGCAGGATCCGGACCACTATGTGCTCATTTCCCATGGGACCTTGGGTAAGATAAATGATGAGAAGAAGCGACAAGGAGACTGAATTTTCTACTGCGCGAGAGAAGAAGTCGTTTGGAAAAATTTCCTTTTTATGGACTTCAGCGAAAAAAAAATGGAAATTGAATGGGAAAAGAAAAGGAAAACGGCCGTTGCAAAGGAAGAAAAAGGAGTAGAAGCAAATTGAAAACGACAACGCTCTTTTTTCTAAGCCAGGAAAAGAATTGAAATTGACTTTAAAAAACACGAATAGGTTAACTCACGTGCGGGGTCGCCGTCGCTGTCAAGTCGTCACCTATGGATCCTGGCGATCTTGGTATTGTGTGCGACGAGTGATGGTGGCATCAATATTCGACGTAGACGACGTCGCCGCTGTCGTGCATGCCCTGAGGCGACCGACTCGAAGACGCCGAACTGAAGCACCGCCCCATTGTTGTTGGAAGGGGGTGTGTGCTTCTTGCGACTCCTCCGTCACCGCCGTCGCCGGCAACGAAGAAGACTCGCACCCCTCCCTATTGCCTCTACTTCTGAAGCATGAAAAAGGATGAAAAACTCAATTCTTATCTCTCTTTTTTTTTGAACTGAACATCTGACAAAGGAGTGAGGGTCCCTCTCTAGTAGCACATAAAAAGAAAAAACGGATTTGAACGAAGAAGAAAAAAATGTTGAAAAAAAATATGATGAAAAACGAAGGGAGTCCTCGGCTGATTGCTTTGTGTCCACGCGCTGTCTTCTATGGATTTTAGAATACTAGAGAAAAAATATGGGAAACAAACGAATAGAATCTGCTTACATTTAGTTGTCAAGGGACCAAGCCAACCAACCAAAACAGGAATACGGAGAAACAATTGGCAAGAAGGGAACTAGGAGCAACTGAAAGAGAAAAGACTGGGCCTGTGCCATTGCATAGCAATAAGGAGACTAAGTGAGAGCCAGTTTCGGCCATGGAGAACCAGAGAGTGAATTGGTGCAGGAGGCGAACCACACGAAGCGTACGCTCCATACACACGCATAGAAGACTGACAGAGGAGGAAAAAGAAGGAAAATGAAAGAAAAAGTTGCGAAAGTCTAAACAGAGAAAATTGGCAAATTGCCTCTAACTGAATGGACTTCTTGGCTAGATCCACGTGATGTCCAATTCTGGAGGAATTAAAAAATGTGACTAAAGAGAGAATTCCAAGAAAATGGGAAGTTTTGGACTCATGGGGGATAATTGAACCTATTCATCGAGATTGGCTAAAATTAAGAAAAAGAGCAGGAGGAAATGAGTCAACAGAATTATGAGCAATGCACCAGTCATAAGCCATAATTAGATGTGAAGTTGGGTCTGTGAAAAACGAGAAATTGAGAATACAACAATAATCTGCAATTTGAATTTTGAACCTTGGCGGAAAAAGATACCTTCAATAGAAGCCCACTCTATACAAACTCAATTATCTCGATTCCTGTGAGCGGAATCAAAATTTTGCAAACTGATAAAATATTGGTGATATTATGACAAACAATTTAAAAGTTGACAAGTTTTTGATACCTTTCACAGGAAACGAGATAATTGAGCTCGAAGTTGGAAGTTTTGGTGGGCTTCTTGGAAAGCTCAAATATCTCAATTCATATGATAGATATGAAAAATCTGTCAACTAATAAAATGTTGGTATTATTATGATAAACATTTTATCAGTTAACAAATTTTTGTAATCTTTCACAAGAATCGAGATATTGAAGTCAAAAGTAACAATTTGAGTGAACGTTTAAATTTTTAAATGAAATTAAAAAAAATAATAATTTTTCACATGAAAATTCAAAAAATTGGTGTTCCTAGTAAATTCTAAAGCAAAAAGTTCAAATTTTCAAAACAAAATTAAGATGCAAACAATATTTAGGTATATATGATTCCAAAAAAGACTGAACCATTCGATTCCAACAAAACACACTTTTTTAGAAATTTTATTGGTTTCTGAAAACATTTAATACAAAAAAGTAGCGCTTTCTGGCTTAAAAACTAGATCTGAGAAAAATTTCTCAGTGTGATTACTTCAAGAAAAATTATGTGTATTTCTTTGTGGAAAGTTCTGGAATTCCTAACGTTTTAGGTCCTTTGAGAAATTCCCATTTTCACAAAAGCATTAGCAAATCTGGAATTGCCTTATGATCATTTTTTCGATATTTTTCCTACCCTAGTCGTACAAATATGTCTAAACTGAACAGAGCAATTATGCAATAGGGCCTAATAAATCAGGTGACGATTATATACATTTGATTTTGTGGATTATATACATTTGATTTTTGAACAGTGTTCTGTAGACTGAAGACAAAAAGTGCATTGAAAATGCATTATTTTTTTTCTTGTCTCATTTTTTGTTCTTTTTCAATTTATGTTTTTTCAAATTTGGAAACAAAAAAGTGAGTAATTTGATCTATCTGGTTTGAAACAGATACCCATTGTTCTAGAGAAGTTGCACTTTATTCTTTTTTTTTCTTTTTTTTTTCAAATTCCTACTCATTAGTGCGGTCAATTTCTTAAACTTCATGTACTATGATGTATCATTTCCACGCGCTCTCAGTCTTCTTCTTATCAGATGTCTCTCTCCCTGCCTTTTCCCCGTTTATCAGTCTCATTTGTTCCTTCTCTCCCTTTTTGTCCCAGCCTAATACTCCATAGTTTTGCTCTCACATTCAGTTTTCCCTTTTTCCAGGAAAACGGCACCGTCGTTCCAACTAGTAATTTTAAAAGACATTTGACAAAAAAAGTGTGTGGTTGGTTGAGCAAAAAAAACGACTAGATGTGTTGTTGGCAGCACTTTTCGTTTTTTTTCCTCGTCTTTTTTCTGCCGAATAGCGCTTTGCACTTTTCACTGCGTCTCTCCAGTTATATTGCCCACTTTTTCTGATTAATCTTTTCGTTTTTTGTTCTGTCGTTTCGAGAGGAAGAAGACAGATGGTTTTGCCAAAGTTTTCAGAGATAGGAAAGGCCAAAAAATGTGTTTCTGGAGAAGATTGAACGATTTGTGCTTTGGGAGAAAAGCAGAAAAGAAGCCAAAAAGCTTTTTTGTCGTTTTTGTTTAAATGTCTGAGTGCTCAAAAAGTTATTTTGTCCCTTTTAGTGGTTCTTTGAGCAGTTCGAAACTTCAATTTCACCTTGTGACTCTAATATGTTTGTTGCTTGAAAAAAATTTCCAGAAAACCAAATGAGTTCCGTGGAATACGACATTCTTGAAAATCCAGAGCCCAGCAGCCATCTTTGGAAACAATGGAAGCATTTGGTGGATACGGAGGGCTGGACCTCAGATGATAACTCGGTAACAGCACTGACCCCATCATTGGATTCGACTCGTAGTGTTTGGGCGGTTTCCAAAACTCGTAAGTCTTCATAATTTCATAATTTTGCTAATTTTTATTTCATAATTTTGCAAACGTACAGATCAAAATAGCGTATGTGCTTTGATAGAAGCTTACCCAAACAGTCGGCTTTGAGCTTAACTATCTCGCTTTCTGTGAAAGATATTCGAAATTCGTCAACTGATAAAATATTAATGATGTTATGATAAATATTTTATCAGTTGACAAATTTTTCATATCTTGAACAGAAATCGAGATAATTGAACTCAAAGTTGACGCTTTGAGTATGCTTTTAGAGCAAATACGGTAATCCGTTGAATGCTTTAACTGTTCACTTGAAGCTCACAAGGGAAGGTTTTTCAGACAACGGTTGAGAATTTGCTCAAAACTTGTATACTTATAGTTTAAGACATGCTCTATACGATGACGAAAAAATTTTTAGCCCGTTCTCACTCGCAGGCCGAAAAACTTTGTCTGAAAATTTTGCCCGATTTCTCCACGCAGCCGATTTCGGCTTCTCCCTCCCTCCTCTACCAAATCCGCGTGAGAAGAAAATGTCGGTTGGGTGGTGTTGTGGTAAGAGATGGCTCATTAGGAGTAACTATGGTGGTTCGAACCCCACTGTGGTAAAACTTTTTTCTTTGTTTTTTTAGTCGGGCTGTCAAATTTTGTCAGAAGTTGGGCTGTCAAATTTTGTCAGAGTGATATTTTTATCGTTTCTGAGTAATTGGGACATTTTTTCGAACTTTTCAAAAAATTTTCAAAAAATAATTTTCAAAGTATGGGGGAGATTTTTTTCCCCATGGAGATTTTTTTCAAAAATTTTTTTAAAAAATGTTTTTTCTTGAAAATGTTCAAAAACTGTCCCAGAAGATAGGAAAATGTTTAAAAATTAGTTTCGCACTTAAAAAAACCCTATAAAACTAATTTTTAGCCTCGAAATATGCATGTTTTTGGTTAAAATTTAGTACTGAAAACACTTTCAGAGGCCATATTTTGACTCTTTCTGAGAACGGGCTAAAAATTCTTTTGAGTTCAAATTCAGCACGTTCGAAAGTACCTTTGTACAAATTTTGAGCAAATTCTCAACCGTTGTCTGAAAAGCCTTCCCTTGTCAATTAGCTCGATTCTTGTAAAAGATATCAAAATTTTGTCAACTGATAAATTATTTATCATAACATCACCAACAATTTATTTGTTGACAAATTTTCTATATCTTTCACGGGAAACGAGATAATTGAAATCAATGTTGACAGATTGGATGGGGCTTCTGTTAGCGGAATACGGTAGTTTCAGCTTCATAAACGTTTCAGCAGAGAAAGATTTTGTTGGATGCGTGATTTGGAATCAGTATGACAAAATTTGCTTCCTCGGATTTTTCCTATTGGCTCCGGAGCATCGTGGAAAAGGCGTGGGATCAGTGATTTGGGATCTTGCTATGGCTCTCATGCCAAGTGATCATGTTTTGGGGCTCAGAGGAGGTAATCATGCAAAATGTAAAAATTTTTTAGCCTATTCCGTTAATTTCAGTTCCAAGCATGGTGGATAAATACAGAAAGAAAGCGACGCCAGTCGTTGGAGCCACACTGGAGAACTACAAAATGAAAGTGGCAGAGTATCACGCTTCCATGGAGAAACTGACTGGAGATGTGAGTTGAAATTTGAAGGCAGCGTCAATCAGAAAAAATGTATATTCCCATTAGAATCTCCGTATTGATTTATCATAAAATTTAAAACCACAAAAAGTAATTTGCCTTGCGGCTTTTCCTTTGTTGGCATTTCTCAAACTTGGCGTCTCAGCTCACAGGCCGATCTATACGCCGCCTACCCTGGCTATCCGCGACAGCCAGCCGGCCCAAAAACGGTGGAAAACGACGACGATGATATAGGGTCCCCCTAGCGAGCGGCCGACATTTCCCGGGTTACACCGCCCGCTATTTTTATAACGTGAGACAAGAGAGAAGGCGATATAGGAGGAGACGCAGCGTAAAAGGGGACATTATAGCTGAAAAACGACGATAACGACCGTTTAAGACAAAGAAAAATTGTTCTCAAGGGTAAATTAGAGTGAACAACATGATATGATAATTATTTTAAAAAATCGAAGGATTTTCAAGAATAAGAGCAAAGAACATGTTAACTGTTGAAGAAGCAGCGTAAAGGAAAGATGAATAGCTAGAGAATGGCTGTCTGGATGGTTTGGGAAGCACGAAAACTGTTGTCGAAGGGTAATCGTAGCTGAAAAACGCGGTTTTATATTTGCTTTCACCTGGAAATGACCAGGAAATTGAGAAAAAGTAAAATTTTTTTGAGAATATTTTCAAAATTGTTGTTAAAAATGTGATAATCGATTAATTATTATGACAGTTTGAGAAAGAATAATATATTTCAATTTTTGAAAGTTCGAATACTATGCAGTACCGACCAATGAGTTATACACAAAATGTTTTCCAGTGGATTTCGGCCATTAAACAAAATATCCGATTTTTGTAAGACACCACTTTTTCATGTTTTCAGTACGATACAAGCCAAAAAAAGGTGTCTATCAGAATTCGGAAAATCGCTGAAAAGCTGGAAAATTTCGAAAAAATTCTGTGAATGCAAGATCTAGATGTAGATCCATTTAGATGTATTTTACACCCTCCAAAGGTTTCAAAGTGATCGGAAACTTGACCGCCGAGATTCAGACTTCTGAAAATGGTAAAAATCAACTAAAAATACGTATCTGCATATTTTATTGACCGTTACTGTTAAAGGAGCCCAAACATAAAGAAAAAACGTTTTCCTGATATTTAGCCTAGAGAACCACCATGAGGGGTTGAACTCGAAACAGGCAGCTCAGGGGTACAGCGCCGCTACCGGCTGAGCTACGAGGGCGCGAAGGCGGCTGCCGACATATGCGCGGCGCGATTTTGTCCTCCAAATGGTTCCCCAAAACTTATTCTGTCTCGCCTCCTTAAACAAAAATTTTTAGCTTTGCGGCACTTTACGCTCTGTCACAACCTTCGATTACTCATATCACCCTCCTTTTAGAATTTCAAACTCGTAAACCATTTGACACCTTCCGAATGGGAACAATTGGTTAAATACGATGTTGATGTGAACGGAAGACAACGTCGCGAATTTTTGGAGCTCTACTACAAACTCGACTGCGTTTTCGGAATCGTTTTGTTTGATGGCCATCATAAAATCATTGCTCACATTTCAGCAGTCAAGACATCTCATAAAGGTTCGCCTCTCAATGTCAATCACAAAAACTTCCGTTCGCTTTTCAGAAGAGAACGTCTTCAAAGTGGCGCCTCTGTACGCTGACTCACCCAGCATTGCCATGTCAGCGCTTCGAGTTTTCTCGGGAGTGATGTACGAATTGCATCCGGATGCGGACGTCATCTTCCATCTGCTTGACATTGGAAGCGGGCCGTTCCTTCAGTCCTTTTTCCAAAGCCTCGAAATCATACCGGCAGTGAGTGGAGTCACTCTGTTCAGCGGTGACTATCCGCATAAGGGTGATTTGTCAAAGGTGTTCATTGCTCATAACAACTCATGCCATTATGACTATTAATTAATTTTTGAAATTCCATTTTTTGGTAAGGCAATTTAAAACTTTTGCCTATGATTTTATTTCCGTGTTAGTGCAGCTAGACCAAAAAAGAATTAATCTAAACCACAGAGTTGTCTCATTTTTTCATTCTCAATAAATCATAAGAACAAACATTTCTCTGTCTTCTCCGCCAAATGCAATCATATGGTTTTGTTGAAGAAGCTTTTTTCATACAGTTATTTTCATGGGAAATGGGGGAATGAATAGAAAAAAGACTATTATAAATAATATGTGTTGTTAGTTCTGGGCGTTTTCTACAGTGACTACTGTCAAAAAATACATTAAACATGAATATATTTGATTTCTCATTTTTTATCTTTAAAAAAACCTCAAAAAGTGGCCAAAGCAAACAGAGAGCTACTTCAATTGTGCTATTTTTGTTTTCAAATCAAAATTGTTTGCATTAAAATTGAAAAGTTACTATTATTTATTTATAAGCAGTAGCTTTTGCAGCAAATTCTGTGTTTTTGTACCTACATTTTTTTTAATTCGTGGTGTTATAAGTTTGCAGTTTTTATGATCAAGACTTTAGAAAAAAAATTCTCTCCTGACCAATTTTTGGGGGATGTAGATATAATTTATGTTTTGTCTATAGATACCGGATACTGGTTAGGAAATCAAACAACTCGATATTTTAGCCGCCTAGAAGATAAAATGATATCATTTGTGATCAGCTAAATCTCTTGAATAATTTTTTCTCTATTTTTTTAGAACAATATTTCTTATAATTCTCTCAAGACAATATTCGTTAAGAAGTTAGGAGACTATTCCTAAAATCCAGCATTCTAGTTTCTAGACGTCATGACCTAGAAATACAATTTTGACGTTTTCCTCGGTTACACATTATCTACAGTACCGGTCAATAAAATACACAAAACTAAATTTATAAGTGGATTTTGGCTATTTTGACTATTTTCAAAGGTTTGGAGCTCAGGGGTCAAATTTCCGATCTCTTTGAAAACTTTGGAGGCTGTGAAAGAAATCTAGATGGAGAATTTTTTTCACCTATTTTTTTGAAAATTCCTATTCTTTTTCACATTTTTGACAAAAAACGGAAAAAAGGGGTTTTTTTTCAGAAATTGAGACATATCTGAAAAACTAGGAATTCTGGAAGAATTTTGTGAATGCGAAGTTTCTCATCTAGGTCTGTTTTACATCCTCCAAACCTTTGAAAGTGATCGAAAACTTGACAGCTGAGTCAGACTCCTGAAAATAGTCAGAATGATGGAAAATCAATTCAAAAATTTTCTTTTTGTAAAATGTATCGAAGTTTTGACTGGAAATCGGACCACGTGGAATGGCCTAAAAATCCAATTAGCAAGTCAAAACTTCGATATTTTGTAATATTTCAAAAAGGAACATAATCAGTATTTCACTAAAAACCGCACTGCTTCAAAAGCTAAATTAGCAAGCCTGTTCAAAAAAAGAATACCGCATTCGTTTCTATCATTCAAGGTTATTACTAACTTTCTTCCCTCTTCTCATTTCTCGATTTGTTTGATTTGCAATCATTCATGCATTTAAATTGGGATGTCACGGACGCATCAGTCGACGAAATAGAAGAAAACGAGTAGACTTAGTTACTGCTGCTGCCTTATCACTAATTCCTTTTTTGTACTACCTATTAGTTCCCGGAACCTTTTCATCTGAAGAAAAAATGTTTTCTTACCCCCCCCCCCCCTAATCATAACATTTCGCCTTTTTTTCCTATTCGCCAATCCAGTTCTCTCTCTCTCCCGCGCTCCCTCTCCGCCAACACCTCTGCTTTTTCTTTTTCACGTTTTCTCTTCAACCTCCCCTCGCTTATTCATGTGTCCGACTGTAAAACTAACGTTGTTTTATTCTTATTTTAATGTAACACCCACAATCAACCCATCACCGAAAAAAAAGAAGAGACCCTTCAATCATCATTGATAAGAATGAAGGACAGAAGAGTCCATCATCCTATCATGTACATATCCTTTTTCTTGTCCTCCTTCTCTACTCCACCCATCAAGACCCGTATATGTCCTGTAAGCCGTCATAATCATATCTCTCTTTTGTGCGGGATGGCGGCAAAAAGGCGTCCGATTCGTTTTGTGTTGTCAATCCACCACCATCCTTTCAATCACTGTTTTACGATTATTCTATCATTCATCTCGCTCGCCTCCCGCGAAAACACATATGATCCAAAAATTTCTTTTCTCTATAGATATCGCCGTTTTTAGTTTAGTTCTTGTTGTTAGTTCGTCAGCGAACATTTGTTGAAAATTACGTTTATAGGCTGAATTTGGATTTTTGATAGTTCAGATTTTTTTCATTTTCTACTCAAAATTGATATTCCTCATGCTGAATAACGCATTTAGCGCATTCAGCGTATTTTCCGTATTTTCTGTATCACGTGAATAATTTGAAGCTTTATGGTTTTTCAAAAATTCTTCCCCCGAATTTCAAAACACAGTAACGGTCAACGAGAGACGCAGAAACTTATTTTCAGTTGGTTTTTGGTTGTTTCACCATTTTTAGGAGTCTGGAGTTTGCATAATAAGTGTCCAAACGCTTTGAAAATTTTGGAGAATGTACAACATACTTAGACTAAAATTTTGCATTTGCAGATTTTTTTTTTAAATTTCTAGTTTTTCAGCTATTTGCGGATTTCTGAAACAACAGTTTTTTCACGTTTTTAGTATTTTTAGTTGATTTTCTCTTATTTCGACCATTTTGGTCCCGTCTTTTTTACTGAACACGTAAAAAACAGATGTCTTTCAGAAATCGGCAAATAGCTGAAAAACTAAGAATATTCAAAAATTTTGTGACTGCAAAATTTTCAATCTAGGTCTGTTTTACCTTTTCCAGAGTTTTGAACAATCGGAAACTTGACTGCCGAGCAGAAGACTTCAGAAAAAGGTTAAAATTTGATGAGAAACAAGTTTTTTGTATACCGTACAGTATTTTAGTTTAAAGGGTAAACTTAAATTTTTGATGATTACGATTTTTTGTATCTAGCAAAGTATGAAATTCAATCTACATTTTGACCAAAAATGACGAGATCAACATTAATTCGAAGCCCTCTGATTTCTCAGAATCATGATATTACTCATAAAATTTTCAATATTTTCTATCCGACCCATTGACTTTTATTTCAAAAATCCTAGAGGAAAATTTCTGAATCAACAATAATCCATTCTCCAATCGCCGCCCTTTGTTGTCTACATGCTCAGTTCCATGCCGTTTGTCCACAAAAAGCCTGTTTTTACTTGTAGTATACAATTCGATTGTTGGCGTTTTTGAGAAGGAGAAGGAGAAGACGAAATACAGATATATTATATTACTCATACGCGAAAGAAAACAACTATACAAATCATTTTTTTTTGGATAGGCGGTGGCCCATTTTCGGTTATTTTTTTGGTTAGCATAGTTCTATGGCGCCCCACTTTACACAAACAAAACTTGTGAACAAATTGGTTGGAGCTCTCTTAGAAGGCAAACACCGATTTTCTGTGTTCTGGTAGTTTATTTTTGCCTCCATCCATTATTTTTTTTTCCTTTTTTTAAGTCATAATTTCTAAATAAATTCGATTCGACAAGCCAAAGGTATACACATCCCCTACCTATTATACTATTCTCTTCGTCTCCCTTCCAAACCTTTTTTCCAGAGACAATCTGTACGAGTAGCTGGATTGGGACACTCCCGTTTCATTCTTCTTTCATATTCCTCCCCTTCCACCAAGGGCAACAACAGATTTCCCCCATAAACTTCGTATGCAATCACTCATTCTCTTTCTTCCTACGTTTTTCTTTGAAACATTAAGAAGACACCCATTCCCTTCCTTGTGTTTTTAGCAATGAAAAAAATTTTAAGACAAACATTTTGTCCTTATCTCTAAAAAATGTCTTGGTCGTTTTTCTTCAAGTCTCTTAAGGTAAACTTTGTGATAAATACATTTCTTGTCCCTCCTCTTAACGTCTTATCGTCTTTTAGTTCTTCTCGACACTCCATTTTTTGTGTTTAGAATTTTTTCTAGAACGTTTCAGGTACTTTTTCAGCAAACTTGGTAGAAAGAATATGGATTCTGAAACCGATACTGATACGATATCATTTTCGGAAGTTTCCAGGGAAAATTATAAGGTAATTTTTTTTATTAAGTCGAAGTACCTAGAAATATCTACAGTAAGATTTACAAAAACGTGTTTGTCAGTTGGTTTTGACTTTTTTCTAGTGTGTGGAGCTCGGCTGTCAAGTTTCGGATCCTTTTGAAAACTTTTGAGGATCTAAAACAGATCTAAAGTAAAACATTTGCATTCATAAAATGTTTTGAAATATCCTAGTTTTTCAGCTATCCGCCGATTTCTGAAACACACCCATTTTTCGCGCTGAAAACGTAAAAAAAGATCTCTCAGGAATCGGCGAATAGTTCAAAAACTAGGAACTTTCGATTAATTCTGTAAATCCAATGTTTGCAATCTAGATCTGCTTTATACCCTTAAAAGTTATCAAAGTGATCCGACACTTGATAGCCAAGCTTCAAGCTTTTGAAAATAACCAAAATCGACTGACTGGTACTGTATGTTCAAAAATTTAAACAACTAGCTGATTTCCAGAGCCCTGAAAGTTCGGATTGTGAAGGATATGCTACACCATTGGCTTCCAGTCTAACCGATATCCCGCAGAGCCTCACAATCGACGTGCCAGAAGATACAATGGATTCTGGAGAGCGAACACCTGTGAGCACCCAGGCGATTTCCCCACCGGTAGTCAAACAGATCATCTATCTGCAGAAACCCAAAATTCTTGTCATGACGCAACGGGAAATTGTGGACGAGAGCAGCGAGGAGGAGTTCTATGATGTTGATGATGTTCAGATTCGTGACGTGGCACAGCAGTTGTTGAATGGAGTGGATGACGTCATTGATGAACGACCAGATACACCAATTGTGGAAGAGGAGTCTGAAACACACATGGAAACTGAAGACATGCTTACTGAGGAGGAAGAGGAGAGACTGACACCAATTTTGGTCAAGGTGATTTCTGATTCTGAAGCTCTGAATGATACAGACCAAGGTCCAGAAAATCAAGCAGACGTACTCCAAGATTCAGAAAATCAAGAAGCAGATCAAGAAGAGCATGAAAAACCCCAAGGAAATCAGCAGAAAACACTAGAAGATCCGGAATTCCTTGATGAATTGGAAATTGAAATTGAGATGGAATCTGAAGAGGAACAAAATCAATTTTTGGAAGTGTTAACATCAGATGTCGATCAGGGAAACGTTATGGATGTTTTGGAGCCTATTGAAGCTTCAGCTATAGTTTTGGAAATGGAACCTGAGCTTCTTTCTGCTACTGAAGTCGAAGCCGATATTTCCGAAATTGTTGAAGCTGCAGCTGATCCAGCTTCAACTAAAGTTGACTCAGTGAGAAGCGCTTCAGAAGTCGAAGCTGTGCTACTACCCCCTGTAAAAATTGCAGCCGATATTCCTGAAAAAGTGAATCTTTCTTCTGATGTTCCGGAGCTTGTGACCGATCAGAAAGAATCCCCTGAGCTTCCTATCCATACCAAACTTCCCGAACACCACGAAGCGGAAATTCTCAAGACCGATAATGCACCAATTGTTCACACATCATTTGAGACTTGTGACAACAGCAATTCCGAAACTGCAAACAATGTTATCACCACCAGCGCCGAGTGTGTTCATAATAGCCAAACAGTGCCTGAGAAACAAGTTGGAGTTTTGGTGGAAAAGTTCGAGGAGCTAGCGAAAGGCGTCAGAGATTCACTGGGACAAGCTGAAAATGTTAAGAAGTGCTTCCAAGCTCTGGTTTTAACAGATTTGAAGTTGGAAGATAACTTGGAAGTCCAGCAGACTTTCCAAACTCCAGAAGTTGAAGACGTCGAGAATGTTGTCCAGGAAATTCAGGAGCCAAGCTCTCCAGTTTCATTAGTCCCTGATAGACCGGAACTTTGCCTTGAAGAAATGCCAGATTCGTTCTCTGAAATTGTAGTTGCTCAAACACCAACAGCCTCCGAACAGCCGCCTACTATCAACCAGGAAATAGAAGCAGTCGTTATTCTGAACGAGGTGAAAACGTCGTCTCCATCTGATGATGACGTTCTCTCAACACATAAACCAGTGAAAGTCGATTTTGATGGTTACTCATCTGGAAGAGAAGAAAGCCTGTCCTCATCGACGTCATCAGAAAGTTTCGAGTTTGCCGAGCCGGTTTTTACAGTTCTCGACGAACACAAGCAAGCATTACGGAACTCCATTATCGAGAGGTATCCATCTAACGAGACTGATGAAGATGATTCGGATAGCGTCGATGAATACGACGACGGACTGCTTGCAGTTCAACAGATATCTGCAGAAGTTGAACAGTTGGTCGCCGCTTGCAATTCGTTTGGGTGAGTGTAATGGAGAACAGGACCTTATTTTTTTTGACCATCAAGTTGTGTCTCTTATGAGATGGGATATATGGGTGTGGTTGATGACAACTGTGACTGATAGGGGATTTTTTCTGGCCAAAAACGGGGAAGGACAGGGGAATCTCATGAACGAAATGGCAAATATTGATAATGGGATAGGTTGATAGAATGATAAGGTCATACATTTTTCTCTGAAGGAGTACTGTATCAACCACTCCCTTGTTGGTATTTTCCCCCACGTTCAACTAAATGTACAGTAAACCCAACAAATTTTTAATTAAACTGTTCTTAATTCACTCCCGTTAAGAGGGACACAGAGGCCAGATAAATATAAAACGGGCAACGCCTTCCTTCTGAGTCATGGTCAGTCCTCAAAATAGTACTATTTCTTCAGACGAGACGAAGAACAACAGATGAGTGCCTATCTCGTTGGTAAAAAGATGGCCGCCGAGAAAAAGAGGAAAAGTGCGATGGACATGGCGGCGGTGACCTCCACCAACACTTGGTCGTCGTCGTGTCATCATGACCAAACCGTTCAGGTATGGTTATGATTTTTTTCGTTTACTTTTTGTTTTTGAACGTTTAGGTCTTGTCAGAATGACTGCCGCAGGTTTTTTCTTTAAAGAATCAATGTATTCGAAAAGCATCAATTACTGTGAACATTCTTATAAAATGCGCTTGAGACTGTCAATTTTGAGGTTAATTATCTCGATTCCTGGGAGAGATATGAAAACTTTGTCAACTGATAAATTGTTTTTTTTTTTCGAAATCGGCAACATTTTATCAGTTGACAAATGTTTCGTATCTTTCACAGGAATCGAGATAAATTGGCTTAAATTAGAAAATGAGGGGAGGCATTTAATTACAGTGTTTATGGTATAAGTTGATTCTTAATTGGAAGATTAGCCAATCAAAGAGTCGAAGCTCACATTTTGCTTACGATGTTGTTATTTCTACATAAATTCTGAGGGAAAGTAGATATTGTAATCATACCAGACGGATTTTAGGCAAAGATTACTTGAGAGAGTTGAGATAATAAAATTATGAAGTCACAATATTAAACTTCTGGATAGAATATCGTTGTTGCTCTAATAGTCCACCATGAAGTGCACTTTGAGCTTAATTACTTAGATCTAGCTTAATTGTTTAGATCCATTTTTTGACGTCATCTGTATTAATTGAGATAATTGAGCTTGAACGTACCAGTATGGCGAACCTTTTGATTACAGGTTTTACGGATTTCCAAACTTGAAAAATATTGATTGAACTCTAATTTGACGCAAACAAAAAACAAGGCAAAATAAAGCAAAATAGTGCTTGTCGAAAAAATTTAACAAAGTTTTTATAACAATAAATATTTGCATATTGCACTTGAAAGCAAAATTCAGAGAAAAACAAACATCAAGGGAATTTCTTCTTCTCTGATTTTTTTTTCTTCTCTGCCCATGATAGTGATACGGTCCCGCTTTCCCTGATAAATCACTTCCACTTAATTAAACCAACTTGCCTTCGCATCTTCCTTCTCATCAGTTTAGTAAACTTCTTAGTTTTGGTGGTTACGCCCTGATACTTCTTTTTCATTTGGATTTATTTTGATTTGCCTCTGTTTTTCATTTTTCAAGAAATTCAATATCTCGGCATTTTCAAGTGTTTCGCTTTTGAAATTAAAAAATCGCAAGCTGAGATTGTATATGCCACTGTTTCTTGTTTATTGCCATCCTCCCCCGCAAGGTTTATGATTGTCATAAACCGATAAAATACTGTTTCAAAAATCGTTTCGTTTGGTATGTGAAAAGCTATTCCTCCTTTGACACAGTAAGCAAGTTTTCTCTTCAGAACCATATGATTCTTTTTACAAATCAAACAAATAAGAAGAAGCAGTTCTGCTAATCCATGTCAATAATTATAGAAAAGAGAACAAAACTGTTCCCCTCGCGGAGTTTAGTTTTCTTTTAATCATTCAACATTATGTGTACATTTCTCGGGTAACCCTTTCCCATTTCCACCTAGTTTTTTCACTTTTTCTTGTCCTTTTCTTTTCAAAATTTTGCCTCTTTTCAACTTCAATTAGTTCTGAACTACTGAATTGAGAGAAGTGGTTTCGAAATGAGAAAAAAATCATTTTGATTTTTGAGACCTTACAGAAGAAAATGAAAGGTTTTATTTTCATTTTATTTTATTTTACGATCACCGGCCGGACGCGGCGACTTAATTTCGTTTCGAATTTCTCAATCCCCGGTGGTGACAACCCTAAATAGTCATGCTTCGGAATTCATCTCGTCGTCGCCCCAGGACACAACACCTTCGAAATTTTCCTCCACTAATAAACAGCGAAGGCCACTTGTTCACGAATATTTTGTTTTTCGCGCGCTTTTTTTTCTCACTATTTGAACTATTTTCTGCTGCATTTTCGTGTGTGACTCGAACTGAGCAAGTGGGTATACATATATGTAGGCTTATGAGTTTCTGAGCGCGTCTGTGTTCCCATAGCACATTTTCGATTGCGATTTTTTTTTCTTTCGGCGAAATTTGTTTTCCACTAGTCTTGGTAGTTTATTTGTCTGTTAGTGTTCGACAGTTTTATATAGTACGGTGACATTTGTGACTACTGTATTTTCAGATCTTTTAAGTTTCATACACATATTCCTATAATAGAAGACCACCCTATACGATAACTTTGAGCTCAATTATCTCTGTTGCTATGAGAGATATCAAAAAGCCGTCAATTGATAAAATATTGGTGATAATATGATAAATAATTGATCTGTCGAAATCGTTTTCTATCTTTCATAAGAACCGAGATAATTAAGCTCAAAGTGCAGAGGGGTTTATATTAAAGTGAATACGTTAGCATTTTTTAAATGTTTTGCATTCCGTAAGATTTTATTTTTTGTGAAGTTTGAAATTCAAGGCTAAAATTGAGAAGTTTGTTTCCTCCTACTGAAAAATTCGTCGAATTAAAGCTACAAAAACAACAATTTTTGATCTACCATTCAACCTGGTACAGTAAACCTGCAAGCATTTTAAACTTTAACATATTTATCTTGGTTCCTAACAGAGATATCAAGTAATTATCAATTAACAAAATATTTATCAAAATATCAATGACATTTTATTGTTAATTGAATTTCTAGACAGGAAGCGAGATAATTTGAGAATAGGTGCCCTTTCAATATTCACCGAAAACACCCTGATACATTCAACTCCAAACCTCCAGCTTTGAACTTTTATATCTCAGTTCCTATTGAAAATATCAAAAAGTCTTCAACTGATAAAAGATTTATCATAATTTAACCAGTATCTTATCAGTTTACCACTTTTTTGATAACTCTCACAGAAACCTAGATAAATCGGCTCAAAGTTAACAGTTAGTGATGTCGATCTATTATAGTGTCTACCTTTGTTTTACGGTATCTACTTTCTGATATTATATCTATTTTCAAGAACAAAACGATTTTGTTTGAAGTGACAGCTTAGAAACTAACAAGAACTTTCTGTACTGATTTGTATGTAGGAGTATTTTTTTCCTTTACAAAAAAGTTTTTATTCACATTTTTTCCTAGTTGCCTCACACAAAACGTTTTATTCCTTCAGTTGTGTCCAGTAGTTTGTAACAAACTGTACAGTCACATTCTTCAAGCCTCTACGCTTCATACTTCTCGCTTCTTGTAATAACTAGCCATCGGAATCACTATACACTTCTTCTCCGAACAGTAGTATGATCAGAAAAACAGTTTTCCGGACGCATTTCTCACTTTTCACCCCTTTTTCTTTCTGCCAACCAGCCGGTGTGTCATTATCCGCCACCCACGGGTTTCGTTCACCTTTAAATGAAACTAATTCCTATTATCTACACACATTTCTTTCTTTTTTCTTTTTCCAATCAATGTTCCGCGACAAGCGAGTAGTTTCTGTCTTCCTTTTCCCCCTTGAACACCCAACACAACGATTATGCAAATTTTTGAGTCTTTGGTTTTCAAACCTCCCGCCATTCTCTCCAACATCTAAAAAAGTTCTTGTTTTTGTCACATCTATCCTCTCTTTTTTTTTGACTTTTTTCCTAAAGTGAAAAGAATAAAAAAATCGCATAAAAACGTCAAGTTGAATAAGTTTGATGAATGGGTTTTCTTTCCTTTCTGACATAGCGGAAAACTGTAACAAGCCAAAAAAAACCTGGGGAGAAGGAAGCAGAAGCTATTGTTTGATTTTCTCATCATGACTTTTTTTTGCCTGCTACCTCATGTTGAGACCCCGCCACCGCGCAACAGTAGCAATGTACATTTTTGTAGGTTATAATATTCGAATTAGTTGTTTGGTGTAGATACCCCGCCCTATTGCCAGTGTCGTTATGTAACCATGTTGATATCTGTATGGTGTCAGTGGTAGTTCAAAAACTTTTGACCTTCTATTCTCAGTGAACTATCTTTTTTACCCTCTGGTCTCCCCCAAATGATCCGTGACGCATATTTTTTTTTCTAAGACGGATCATGGTGTGTTCTCCGTTCTCCTTATCCTTATTCGCATTTTCTTGTTTTTCCTCCACTCATCATTATCATGTCATCCTCCAGGTCTAATTGACAGTTTTCTGAAGCATTCCTTTTTTCGTGGTCGGCTAACGCTGGTGAAATTATTTCAAGGAATTTTCCAGCTGATAAGAAACTCACCCACTGTTGACTGATAAATTTTTTATTAGTTTATTAGTTTCGCCACCTCCTCCGACACTTTTTTTTTCAAAATTTCAAAGCGTTATTGAACATATGTTTCTTTCCGTTTGACCTGTTTTTGAGCACCTGCCCTTGTCAATCGGGGGGCGGGGCGCCAGATGGTTTATGTTAAATTTGAAAATTGACATCGGGTAAATATTAAAATTTTGAATTCTTTTCTAGACGGACAACGATTCGCTCATTCTGGTCGACCGACACCTTCCGGAAGTGATGGAGAGTCTTCAAGTGGAAATTGATAAACTTCAGGCCGACCTGGATAAGGTTAAGAATGGCGAGAAGGTGAGTAATAGGATGATTCATTGATTTAATAAATTTTTTAATTTTCAGGAACTCCTGAAAATCAATGCCAAGCTGAAGGAGGACCTTGAAGAGTCTCAACAAACTATTGATGGAATCGAAGTTGAAGCTGAGCAGGTAGACTTTAATTTTTTATAATTTTTTGAAAATCTTTAATGATAAGGAAATGGTAGCCAGGCGCCAGCGCCGGAAGCTGTTCTAAAACTTATGGTCTAAAACCAATTATTTACCTAATGATATCACTTTCAGCAATACACTGAACTCACTGGTGAAATTGATGAGCTTTGCGAAATTGTGCAAAAGAAAGATCAGGAGCTGGCAATGCTCAAGGAGAGGATTGCCAATTTGTCAATGAACGAGGCTAATTTGAGGGATGATGTGGACACTCAAAGAATGATTGGACAACGGCAAAAGGAGATTATTGAGAGCTTGAGGTACAGTAGCTGTCATTTTTTGACCATTTTCAAGGGTCTGGAGCTCGGGTGTCAAATTTCCAATCACTTTGAAAATTTCGGAGGGTGTGGAATAGACCTGGATTGAAAACTTTGCGTTTACATAATTTTTTAAAAATTCCTAGTTTTTCTGCTATCTGCCGATTTCCAAAAGATACCTGTTTTTTTGACGATTTTAGCACAAAAACAGGCCGAAAAAGCGTCTGCCAAAAATCGGCAAATAACTGAAAAACTAGAAACTTTAAAAAATTCCGTTTATGCAATTCCTCAAATCTAGGTCTGTTTTAAACCCTCTAATGTTTTTAAGAAGGTCCGACACTTGACAGCCGAGCTTCAGCCTCCTGAAAATGATCGAAATCAAATGAAAAATACGCTTTTGTATATCTTAGCTCTTCTCTTGCTCATAGGTTATATCGTTTTTTCTCAGAGAGGAGTTGGATACCATCACTAAGAAACTGAGTGATGTGACTAAACTCCGAGATAAGGCGATTGAAGAAGTCACAGTGCTCAAGATGAAAAACATGGAACGTGACCGATTCCTATCCAGAGAGGCTCAGATGTCCATGGAGATTGAGGATTTGCAGCGCGAGTTGAACAAACAAAAACTGATCTTGAATCAGACGAGTATGGCAAAACTGGCAGATACCGTAAGACATGAAAAGTCCTATACAAACTAAAAAAAGACTTTCAGTTCGATAGAAAAGTTCTCCACCTTGAGAACGAGCTGCGGGAGAGAGATATGCTTATTTGTAAGCAAAATCAGATCATCAACAGTCATCGAAAGTCGCCGACCGGATCCGTTATGACCAGTCGCAAAATGCAACGTAAGCGGATTTGTATTTATACGTATTTTTATTACCCATAACGACCTTTTTTTTTCCAGCACGTGCCTCGGTTCTTGCCGCTTCAGGGAATTCTCCAAGCGCCGGAAGTAGTTCAGAATCCTTCCAACAGGGATTGGACGCTGAATCCAAAGAAGCTCTATTCAACTTTATCATGAGGTAAGAGTGTTTTGTTTAGAATTTCGAAACCAAAAATGAACCTTAAGAGGTTTCAGCAATGATCGTCACAACCAGTTGGCCAATATCTATAATATCGGAAGGATTTTGGATTTGACACCACAGGAGGAGCGTACGCTAGAGAGGCATCTGACAAAGGATCGATATGTTGTCTGATTTTTTTTCTAATTTATAAGAATCCCCGAATTGTATATATTTTCTTTTCTTTTTCGAAATCTCCCAAACCTCAATAACGCCATATTGGTGTTATTCCCCACTCGATATTTTCTGTAGATTAGAGCTTTAGGTCTTGAGAAAAGTCCTACCAATCTTTTCTGTCTTTTTTTGTACCCGGTATAATTAAGTTCTATTTTTCACTCCCAAATTATACCCCAAAGTTACCGAACCTTTCCTAAAAGAAACTTCACATTCCTTTTCCCCTTAAAAGCATACACTTGAACTACTTTAGTTTATTATTTGTTGTCTCAATGAAAAAAATGCTACGGAAAAGCACTATAAGAAAAAGGACGGACTGGCTAAGAAACAATGAATAAAAAGAAAAGAATAGAGAAAGACAATTTTACAGCGTTTGACGGTTTTACAACGGATCATTCGACCACTCGGCAGCGTCTTCCTCCTCTATCACTACCTTTGGTGACAATGAGGACAGCTTTTTTTTGAATTCGCTAGATAGTGTATCATTTGGTGTCAGTTCGGTACGCGGACTTTGGAGAGGGAATGCTGAAAAAATTGTTTTTCGGGTCATAAAGTTTTGTTTTAACGACACTTACTAGCTGATGTGCTCGCTGTTGGCACTTGAGGTGGCACCAAAGAGTATTCAGGGAGCGCTGATAACATACAGGGAAAGGTCCGGGTTGCGGCGTCCCGCATGGGTAGAACGTACCTGGAATCAAAAGTTAGAGTACGGTATTTTGTGGCAGGTCACAAGCTTGTTATCTTTTTCATTGTTCGGCTTGATAGTAATAAAAAAAAAGTATCAAGAAGAGTATGATTGGATTAAATGTCTACTATACGATTTTGAGAAAAAATAGTACTTATTTTTTTCAACTTATAACAATAATACTCACCAGACTAGGTATAGTGGATGGGCGAAAGATATCATCAATGGTAAAATCACGAAGGCAAGTTCCAGAATGAGCACAGCGCACTGAAAAACTTTTTTGAACTTTTTGGAGATTAATTAGTTGGATTTGGAATCAAAAATATTACAGTGGGGCATTTGAAGTTTGAAAATCTGCCGATATGCTTTAAAATAATAACTTGAAGATATCTACAAAAAATTGTATTTTTCAGTTAACTTTTGGCGATTTTTACCGTTTTCAGAAGTCCGGCGGGCGGCAATCAAGCTTCTGATTAATTTGAAAATTATGGAGGGCGTTAACCAGACCTAGATAAAAAATTCTCATTTACAGGATTTTTCGAAAATTCCTTGTTTTTTATCTAATTGCCAATTTCTGAAAGACATTGTTTTTTTTCATTTTTTAAGTAGAAAACAAGCCAAAAAGATGTCCTTTCAAAATCGGCAACTAGCTGAAAAATTAGGAATTTTCAAAAAATTCTGTAAATCCATAGTTTTGAATCTAGGTTTGTTTGAAAGCCTCCTAAATTGTCGAAGTGGTCGGAAATTTGATAGCCGAGCTCCAGACTTCTGATAGCGGTCAAATGGGCAAAAATTAACTGAAAAAATATGTTGTTGTATACTACTCTTGTCCGAAACCGCATCACGTGGAAAGGATATCTCCTTGAATTTTTTCAAAAAGCGCGAGAGCGAATGCTACCGTACTTTGATTCTATTTTGACTAGCATTCCCTTATTTTCCAAGTTTTTCAATGACTTAAACAATGAAAATTGTCAAAAAAAACTTCGAAATTTGTCAACCATTTTCAAAAATAGGAAAACAAAATGAACTTTAAAAACGGTGGTTTGCTCTTGCGGGTTTAAATGCTCCAATAATGGGACCCTCGCTTTCAGCAATTATTTATTGCTGATAAAAGTATATTTTTGTGATTACTATACAGATATAAAAAAATAAAAATTTTGAAACTTTTTCACTCAAAATTTTTCTAGCAGTTCACCATCTTTAATTTCCACTCACCTCATCACAAGTTTCTCTCAAAACGTGTCTATACAAAACAACACATCCCGACACGAACAATGAAGTTTGCCAAACCAACGTCTCGTACTGTATGATCTCTTTTAGAGAGAAAATTGTGAACGCTATCCAGCTTTTTCTGAAATCTCAATTTTCAATGCTTGAGGTTTTCTTTCATCTCACTTGTTTCTCTGCAACAGCGATGCAAGGACGATGAACACTAAGCCAAAAGCATGGAGAAGAATGAGGATGGTCAGTAGAGTGAAAGTTAAGAATGACTGAGAAACGGCAAGCAGAATAGAGCATTTGTTCATGGGCTCATTTTCAAGATCCTGGTCAAAAGCGGTGAAGAGCAAGGACAAGGCTACGCTGGCTGCGGCGATCAATGTTTGCCACACTGAACAAGTCAGATACCATTTCATCGGTGACTTGTCTACTGGTTTTCTGGAATTTCTTCTTATTTTTTAGTAATAATGAATCTAGAAAATATGAAAAACTTACAACTTCAAAAAATTGGATTGAATGCCAAGTAAGAAATATGTGGCAGCACAGTGAATGTAGCAGAATATTAATGGAAACTCCTGGAGCTTGCATGACACTGTGGTCACTTGGCTAAGACATGGTTGTTGCATCACTAGGAAAAGGAAGAAATTCCGAGCAAGTTGAAATCCGGATAGGATGGCAAAGTTGATAGATATGGAAGCCTAGAAGGGGTATTCGCCTTAGGCTTAATTTGATTAGATATGCAAAATCGTATATTTCTGTTGATTTCCGGCCATTTCGGTCATTTTTCCGGATACTAAAACCCGACTGTCAAGTTTCTGGTAACTTTCAAAAATTTGGAGCGTGTAAAACAAACTCAGATCAAAAACTTTGAATTTGCAGAATTCTACGGAAATCCCCAGTTCTTCGGCTTTTTTCCGATTTCAGACAGTCACCCCTTTTTGGCCTATTGTTTTACTGAAAATGTGAAAAAAACACGTGTTTTTTTCGAAATTGAAAATTATGTCGGTTTTATAACCTCCGAAATTCCCAAAGCTATCGGAAGCTAGACAGCCATGCTCTAGACTCCTGGAAATGGCCAAAAATCGACTAAAATTGACCGGTACTGTAAGTTGAAATACTCACCAACAGCCTTCTTTGGGGATGAGGCATTGGGGACGCTTTATGACATATTACAGTAATAACTGTGTTCATTACTAAGCCGCCAACTGATAAAATAATCTCCACGAGTGTGAAAAACCATTGTGATGGTTCTATAAACGGTTCGACACATGTATCCGGATTTTGTGTTGTTATCATTAGACCTGAATTAGTAAAAATCTAAAGTGAAAACAACGCAATGAAAATTTTCTGGGACAAGAATCTGCTGCAAAAACGAAAAGCTAAAATAAGGCATTGTTGTGTCTGGAGGACGAGAAGGAGGAGCAGTATGTCGTATCTTTGTTTCCGGAGAATCTATTAAGAAATGCAGACACGCTATCTCTGTTTCTTTCCCGAAGAAAATCCGGAGAACTCTTCCTTTTCCTCTTCGTGCACACATAAGCCACAACAACAACAGAACAGAAAAATAAATTGGTGAAAACTTCAATATATGAAGACTAGTGGGAAAATGTTTTTTTTTTTGAAAAAAAAACACACACACTATCTGGAAAAAACTAGTAAGAGATGCATATTTTGGAGAAAATTGGATTGTCGGTTTTTGGAAAAAAAAAACTCTCAGCTCCTCGAAAAAGATGTTGTTGTATGTGAGAGTTAAAAAGGAGGGAAGAGGATATTCAGTAACAATTGAAAGAAAATTCGATTCATTCTTTGAATTTGTGGAATAATATAACGGTTTCATGAACTAAATAAACTTTGAATCAACAATGAGAAGACAGTGAACAACTAGAAATTGGTTTTTCAGGTGATATTGATCGTGAGGTTCAATTTTTTAAAATTTCAGTTTGAATATTAAACAACTTTTAGCAAAGAAAAATACGATTGAAATGACTTACAAGGGAACCTCACTATTTTGTAATCCCAAAATTTGATGAAAATAATTGCATGTTCTGAAACGCCCTATATGTTGAGAAATTATTTTAAAATTGCTGTTTTGGGCTGAAAATGCGATTTCCGGTACTGAAACCGAGCGGCTTCTTTTTATAAGTGTCTATATATGCTATTCTCAACCTATCCTTAAAAACCTTATAAAAATCTGGATATACGCGGTGCCGAAATTCTCTTGTTACGTACATAAACTTGAAAACATTATCACTAAAAAGTTTATGTCAAAAATCTCTTATTACATCTCATTTGAAGTTACATTCTTCAATTTTTCTTCATTTTACTGTTTTCAATGCATTTTGAATTGACTTATTTGTCACCAAAATGCTTATAATGACTCAGTGGATCTATTTTCCGTCTTATTTTCGGCGTCGTATCTTTTTCTGGAGTTTGCATAAAAAAGTGTTTTCAGACTCGCGTTTTATTTTTGCCCCACCTCTCGCGCGCACAATCGTCATTCTCTGCGTCTCACACTCTCTCGTTCTCCACCGTCCCTCTCCTCCCCGTTCATTAGTACCCCTCACAGTGGCCCGCTTGGTTTGCATGGTCCGTTTGCTCTGCTCTCACTGTTCATTCTCCTCCTTTCGCACGCTCTCTCATCTCATCCCTCTTTTAGTAACGGTCCGCTTGCCAGTTTTCATTTTTAATGCGATTTCTGTTGGATTTTCGATATTTTTCCAAGAACGCAATCGATTTCGACTATTTTCGTTCGCTCCTTGCTTTATAGAAATTTTTTACCAGGCCTCACATTTTTAAAACCAGCTGATTTGGAGTAAAAATGGCCTGTCGTTTTCTGAAGAATCATTTTATTGGAGCTGTTGTGAAAAAGCTATTTTTAAGTGTCTCAATTTTTTAATAGCTAGAAAAACTTTTACAAGCAGAAAAGCTATCTCGAGTTTTCGCAAAATTCAAAAAGATCTCCTTTCTTATTTTTTGTCCAAACATTGCGATCCGCCGAGAACATTTTTTCCAGGAAAATAGTTGATTTCATTTTTTCTCGACTTTTCTTTCTTTCAGCTATCTCAACCTCTCTTTTCACTTTTGGTCTGTTCAAAAATTTCTCGCTTATTAAGATCCAATGTTTCCTTTTTTCAGAAAATGAAGACTTTCTAAACCTAATTTTTTAGGTAATTCGAATATAATAAGCGCAGCAGCTAAAACAACTACATAAGCGGAGATCTCAAAATGACTAAGGCAATAGAGAATCCGAGTGATACGGAATCAATCGATGAGAGCGATCAGTTGTCACAAGATGGGAGTGAACGTCAAAAAGAAGCTAATCAGCAGGTATTTATTTTTGCTTTAAAATGATGCGAAGCTCATCCAGAGAGTTGAGGTAAGGAAAGTGTTGGAAAATAGTTTTCACAATTTTTGAAATCTATATTTTGATGATCATACTTGTTCTTTTTCAGAAAACTCAAGTCCCGGAACAAGTGAGCGAAGAGGAATACTGGAATCGTTGGATCAATTGGGGACGCGAGGAAAATGAAACTACGACTCCAGAGAAACAACAAGTTCCAAATGATCTGACCCCAGAGCTTCATTCCTCAACATCCTCTGTCGTCCAGGCTCCTTCGGCACACCAGCAACCAGTTCAAATCCCTTGTCAGATCTCAAAACCTGGATCTAATCTCTCAGGAAAATCAACCTCCAATCTCCTGAACATACCGGAGAAAACTTTGGTGGATGAGTCGATAAAAAATTCGATTCAAGGACAGATGAGTGGTGGGAACGCGCCTCTTGCAATTTCATTAACAACACAAAAGGGAGCAGAGATGCAGTTGAGTCAGCCAGCCTTTCATCCACAGAAAGTACAGCAACCAGTAGTGTCGCAGCAGCCGGTTGTTCAGAAGCCAATCCAGCAGCAACATGAAAAGCCGCGACCAGTGTCAATTGAATTACAAAAGGTAGACTTTCCGCCTCCAAGTACGACTACTGCTCTTGGAACGGCGACAACTACTTCTGAAGTCACACGTCCACGAGCATCTCCGGCTCCTGAGAATCTGAAAGTTTCTGCGCCAGCTCCAATCGCTCCAACAACCACCACTGCTAATACCTCAGCTTCATCAGTTGTGACAAGACGATCCACCGAGACCATCACCATGTCTGAAGAAAATCGTCGATCTAGAATAATGCAAGACGTTGCATCAACACTTCCATCTCCCGGTGCTTCACTTTGTGGATCGAATTCTACTTCGGCTTCGCCAACCACTACAGCACAAACTTATGTGAAAGATCTATCAGTGGTCGCTCGTGTGAAGCTGTCTCAGGCTCAGCCGACAATGCCTCCAAAGAATACGTCGGAGCCGATCCTCTCACCGGAAGTTCTTCAGCCAACCCCATTGCCAAGTGCTGCATCTGCACCGAAGCCAGTGTCGCAGCCAATTCCAGCTCACAGACCACTGGAAAATCCATCTCCACCAGTTTTTCAAACCCGGCTGGCCGAGAAGAAACAAGCTAACCCACTTGTTCAGAGCTTCAAAGTCCCTCCCTTAAACATCACCAAGTCAGGCATGTACACATATCTGAACAGCTATCCAAATTACGGGAATGGTTACCAACCGTATGGTTATGGAATGAATTTTAATCCATGTAAATTCGCATTTAATTTTTTTGAAAATTCTAAAGCAATTTGTTTTCAGGTCACTCAGGAATACAAGGATACAATACATACGCCAGTGGGATGGGACCACTGGCTCTGACGAACCAAACAGTCAATTCATCGCCAGAAATAGTTCTTTCGGAGAATCGCTTCTCAGGGTCAGCTCAACCACAGGACGAGTCCGCTATCAACCAATTTCTTGAATCACAACATTGCCAAGCAGCGTTTTGCATGAATCCAGCACAAACTGCTTCAGTGCTCTTTCCATATGCTCCCTCCTCTGCCTACAATAATCTGTCTGGGTGAGTTTTTTTTGTTTATTGCAACAACCTCGATATCTTTGAAAGGCCTCAAAGAAGTAAAAAAAAAGTGTCAAAAATTATTTGGGTTTCTGGTTATAATTTTGACAGGTGACAACTGTTTGATGCCAATTGAGGTTTTTCAAAAAAATTTCGATGAAAAATAAATTGAAATCTGTTTCAGATCTGAAAAATGCGACGCCCTGATTGCTGAATGCAAGAAGAACACAAAACTGGCGAACAAGATCATTGATCTTGTGAAAACGTATTTTCTGTTACTGGACGTGAAAGGCGATTACCAACAAGAGATCCAAAGCCGTCAAAAAGATCTGGAATCTATCATCCAATTTTTAAGACAATGATTTGAATTCGTAAACGGTCTTCTATACTGGTATATATTTTGATTACTTTCCCCAATTTTGTTCTCAACACAGTAATAAAATTAATCTCGTAGTTTACACCTTTTAAACAGCCCTGTGAAAATGAGTGCAAAAACTTTTCAGGTGAAAGTTTGTAGTTTGAGGCTTTCAATTTGCCTCTATTCCTGTGGGGCTTTTGCTCCACATTCAGAAAGTGAAATGTTCTCCTGGCCAGCTCTCCCTTCTAGATTTTCCACTTTATCGATATGTGTATTTAGAAAAATTTAATTATTTAGTCATCCGCTTCCACACAGCCTCCCATTTCTCTCAGAAGACTTTTGTTCCAGTGACATTCTTCTTGTTACTGGTTTTTTGTCATTTACTTTCCCGCCTCCCGTCACTTCACATTGAGCTCAAATTGTGAATATGCTAAAGACCATCCCAGTCCTCCTTCTTGTTCAAAAAATTTCCCACCGACCTTCCAGTGAGGCATGATACGTTTTATAATGATACTGTTTTTTATTTTTAATTAATACAATAATATGAATGAAATGTTGAGAATGAAAACGTGGCAGTTTGTTATTAACACCAGAGGTTTGCCAACTATGCTATGTTGGAGATTCTTTCTGCTAGAATCGATGATTTGGAGCATTGGTACGTTGGAACACTGGTGCTTTTGCATTTCGCAGACATTTTAGATCATTCTGCTGTTTGTTTAGTCGTATTTTTACGCAGTACTGGATTTGCCATAGAAGCAAGACTTGTTATTTGGGTTGACTTGAAAATATTATTCAAGAAAATCGTCTCTCAATTGGCTCGACTCTTTTTCGCTGAAGCGTTGCTTCAAAGTAAGGAAATGTTACAGTGGAAATTTCTTGAGGAGAGAATCTATTGGAATCTGTGGGAATTTCAGTATTACTTTTGGCTTTCTCGTTTTTTGAAATCTAATTAAATTTATTTTCCCTAACCTGTTCATAGACACTTGCAATTCGAATTTACATTGTTGAATAAGACCAATTTTGCGAATGTTATCGATACTCAGAAAGCAACGTCGCAGCTTGTATGATGTAGCTTTTTCTCGTCGTTTTAAAATTTTATTTTGGTCTATACAATACAAAATATTCTGCATTGTATAGAAAAAGCTCCGACGCCACAAACTACAGTCACCGTGCCATTTCCGAAACTGCTCACCAGTTTTTCAATCCGCGGAATCTCGTTGAAGGGAAATTTAAATTTGGTTGGAAGATCGTTAATACAGGAGTTTTAAAGATTTTGCAGGTATAGGAGAATTGACTTTGATACAGTTTGTTCCACATCTAACATTAATCATAAAAAATCTAACTTAATAGCGGTTCAGCGGCAGAAATCGACAGCAACTTACCGTAACCACTCTTATATAATGCCACCCGGACTGTCCACTTTGAACCTATACAGTGCGTTCAATAAGGATAGGACCCCCCCCCCTCGATTCCGAGGGTTCCAGCAAAAGTAGATGATATCAAAAATCTGTGAAAAATTTTCATGTCTCTAGCACTTTTGGTACTAGAGTTATACCAAATGTCATTTTTGCAACCGTTCAATAAGGATAGGACCACCCCGGAAAATGAAAAATCTCCAGTTTTTCATTGCACTTAGTAAATTGTACGACAAAGTGGTTTTGACTTATAAAACCAAGTTGTTTTTACGAAAACCAGATACTCCGAACTTCGAGTCCAGTTTTGAAAATTTCAGGTTTGTCTAAATTACAAACAATCGCTCAAAACGTTATTACAACAAAACGTAGATAATTCAGATTACTACAAGAGTATTTCCTGAAAATTTGAGCTCAAAATGTTACCCAGAACTAGAGTTATTCACGATTGTTCTCAAAAACCCTAAAAATGTCAAAAATTTCTGAATATAAAATTTTCTAAAACTTGAAGAGAGGAAGCAATTTTTGAGTAAACTGCCGAAACATTCTGTGTTGAGACCATTTTAACAGTTTCCAACGGGACAAAGTTCAATTTTGTACCCTAAAAAACTGGAGATTTTCCATTTTCCGGGGTGGTCCTATCCTTATTGAACGGTTGCAAAAGTGACATTTCGGTATAACTCAAGTACCAAAAGCGCTAGAGACATGAAAATTTGTAGGTTATTTTGTATTCTGCATCTAATGACAGTCACAGATTTTTGATATCATTTCTACTTTTCCTGGAACCCTCGGAATCGAGGGGGGTCCTATCCTTATTGAAATGTATATCTCACTTCTTTTGAAAGATATCAAACAATTGTCAACTCATAAAATATTAATCATGATATCAGCAACAGTTTTTTTAGTGAACCACTTTTTGATATCTTTCACAGAAGATGAGGTACATGGGCTCAAATTTGACGTTTCGGGAGGCGCTCTATTAGAGTGGTTAGGTAGGTTTGGACGGCATAAGTGGGCGTTTCAAATTTGGTTTGAAGACTGTGAAGCTGGTGTAGAACGTTTTTCTTTCTTTCACACATTGGCAGTGAGGAGCAACAACCTAAAAACCAATTTTTAGCGTATAATCTCTGGACCGTCCCGGACCCCTTCCCCCTTCCCCTTACCCGCGTCTCGTACTCTCTCGTCCTTCGCGTTTGTTCTACCTGTGCGCGCTCAAAATGGTCCGTTTTCTGCTTGGGTTCTCTGCGTCTCATGCTCTCTCATGCCCCCCCCCCCTCTCTCTTATCCTCATTGTCCTCAATTGGCCCAGTTCAGTCTGACGACCGCTCCTTTTTTTCTCTTTCTTCTCTTTTTTAGTAGACCATTTTGTTCATCTGTTTAGAAATTCAACACTTTGAATACCTTCCCTAGATTAATAATAATAATTCGAAATTAGATCTGAGAGGTAAAATGTGAGTGATCTGATAAAGTTTCAACTAATGTGATCTATGTAAAGTACGTTAAGTTTTTTGCTTCTAAAGAGATTCTTGTTGTTTGTGCAATATCGAGAGGATGAAGTGAAATCGATGCGAATATCGAAAAGATTCAAGCTACACACTAATACGACAAACACATCTCGCAGCGAGGTATGAACATTTCAGATTTGTGTCTTATAGCTATATTAGAGAATTTCAGGTACCTCGCCATGGACCGTCGTCTCACGTCTGTCTCCATTTCATTATTATGCCCCGACCAGACCGATTACAAACTTCTGAATTAAGCTCAATTATGAAAAGAGATGATACAACTTGATTTATCCACAATCTGCATGGTTTTTTTGGGATTAAGATCGATAGAGAAATTGCTAATCAGAATTTAAGTCCGTTGTGAGGTGAGTGATTTTGCAATTTGAAGGTTCAATTTTATGGAATTTCAGTTTCCCAGAACAAACAGGAACTGAAAACCGTTGCATTCAAGATCCGAGAAACATTAAAACTAATAGGAGACGTTTCAAGCCAACTACCAAATGCACTTCAAAACCAATACTTTCATCTATAGATTGCTCGGCAATAGCGATTTTTTTTCTCTTTGAAACTGATGGTGAATTTGAGATTTCAGACTCGCACAGTCAGGATAAAAACGATTCGCATCGGAAACATCTAGATTTCCACCAAAAATGAAAAGTTAGAAAAATCGATTTGAAAGTAAATAAGAATGAGTTCCTGAAAAGTCGCTAAGGAAAAGTTGCGGAGAGTCCGGATTTTCCTGCAGAAGAAACTGCGGAAAAGCTGATGGCTGCCATGCGGACCAATCAATCGGATTTGGACTCAAAACAGTCATTGACACCTCAAATGTTTTGACCAAAGCGATTTCTGCTATTGGTGGTTCTACCACCTATAGAAAGTGAGTTTTAGTACTTTTTCCAAAGATTTATCAACGATCTGTTGGTTTTCAGTCAAGCCGCCGCTCCAATCGTATTTTGTCCGCCACCTAAATCTAGATAAACCATCACTTGCTGATGCTTTTCCTTGCCTGAAAAATTGACCATGGGAGTGCTCTGGAGCAGGAGTAAAGATTATCATAAACGCAACTGGAAAACGGATATCCCAAGCAAGGAAAATTGCAACTTCAGCAGATTTTCCTTGACACCGCTGACATCAACGGACTCGTCGATCGCGATAACAACTTTTTAGACAATAAGAGTTCCTTAGGAGCAACCACGGATAATCGAACACTCCCGCTAGACGCCCTTCTTGCTTTTCGTGTTTAGAGCACACCAGAGTTGTGAGTTCTTGTGACCTTAGAATTATGGAGAATTTTACTGATTTCCAGCTATTTCATCGCCGGTGATTGCTCGGAACAGTGTGGTTACGCTCTATGTCATCACTAGATCAATTTATGACGAACGACAAGTTGGAGTTTTTGAAGATTAGAAACAAGATGATACGTCCGCCACTGATCTGTTTCACTGGTATTATCAAGAATAAAGAAATGGCCGTCAGAGAATCAATTGAAATTGTGGGAAGTCCTCGAAAAGTCTCTTAAGGCCAACATTGTGAAAATTTGCGGACGATCATAAATTTGAAATGCTCCAAAAAATCTTTGAGCTAACATCCTGACTTGAGATATTTAACGGATTATTTATTATGTGACTGACACGATTCCTTTGTCGGGGAACCATCGAAAGTTGCGTGGAGTACACCTACAAAATGCTGGATTTAATGTTTCCTTTTCCTAAAAGGTGAGTTGTTTTCTCTAAAGATACCGACACCTGCCGGAATCTAGCACTGGAAATTATGCAGAAAAATAAACAACTACTTGTTTAACGGTTCTATCTAGCAGTATTTCAGCACGTCAACGTGAACTGTCTATATATTTACTGAACACAGCGCGACGAAATTCAAAAAGTTCAAGAAAATAACGTTTTCCAAATTTTGGAATATGAAGCCAAGATGTTCGGAAATATCAGAAATCAGAAAACCTTGAGAATTTGATCAGCTTCGGATCGTTTGCGGCCATTCTGATTATAGTTATCAAGAATATTTTGAAGAATCAGACTAGATGAAAAGAATTAGAAGAAGCCCTCGACGAAGACCTTCAAAGATATCGAGCTCGTTTGTGATTTGGGACACGCGAAGGATGTACTGAAAAGAAGAATTGATCGAAAAAACAATCATGGAAATCCTCTGGAGAAGAAACAGGAATTCACCTTTTGCATACTTAAAAAGTAAAAGATAGGAGAAGCCCAAACAGCAACAGACTCTCTAGGCAGCTGATATCAACGTATTAGTTAATATTGATACGAACAGGATGACTGCTATCGCTATTTCTATCACAACAAAATTGTTAGTGCTTGCGATTCCCGGATTTTTTTTAAATCAATCGCTAATTTTCAGGCAGTCCGTCGTCGTTGCTACAGCTGTCGTTCATCGTTTATTAGTCACACAAGAGTCTATTTACAATTCGGAAAAAAACCTTTGGCACCAATAGATAAACATGAACACCCGAAAATTCAAATTCCCATTTCTCGTCCGTTAGAGGAACCTTCTAAAGTTTTCAGTAGATAATTGAGTAAGGTCCGTGGGTTCCTTGAAGTTGTGATTTACTTCCACATATTCACACGTGCATGACTTATACGACACATCTATAGTTCTTCTTGCTGTTTTTTTTCAATCTCTATCCAACTCTTTCACATAACGATTTTCTTGTTTTCTGTGGCTCCAGAAACGCTGCTCAGCCATTTAAAGCTATTTTGCTATTGTAAGCTCTAGCACTTTCAAATTTAAAACTGGGGCTTACTGTAAGTTAGGTTGTTGCGAATCACTTCCGATTTTTGATATTTCCGAACTTCTTATATTAGCCTCAGATTCCAAAATTTGGAAAACATTATTTTCTATGTGTCCGCAACACTTCTAACAATGCTAGTTTTCAACAGTCAGACTGAGTAGGTTTTTTTGATAAATCAATCGAACACTTTTGAAACGTCTTACTTTACTCCGCATTCTGTGTCTTACAATTTCATGACAAGATCTCGTTAGTAACCCGTAGAGTATTCTGTCTTTCTGTAAAATTTCCATTCGTTGCCTTCTTGTTACTTGGTTGGTCCTCACTGGTTCACATATTAATCTTCATCTCTCTAGTAATATGCTATTCATGAATCCGCTGCAATTATTTTTCATATTTTTAACGCAATAATTATCTTTTTTCGTTACTATTTTCAGAATTTTCGAGAGAGTCGTTTCTCTCTTTTATCTAGTTTTTCAATTTTTGTTTTTTTCAGAAACTATCGTCGTCGTGTGCAATGGGATCGATGCCTACAAATTCGAACAACCCACCAGTGCGTACTGTGACGCTGAATGCGACCGTAGCCAGAATGCTCGGTAATAATGTGATTTACTCGAGATATCCAGAGTTTTATCAATTCCTTGCCACTGATCAGCCGACTTGGTTTGTCCCACAACCATTGAAAGGAACCGTATTCCATGTGAATGATTCCAACATTACCAAGATTCCGGAATTTCACGCCGTAGATAGAATGATGAGAGAAAATCAGGCGAGAATCAAAGAACTCCAATCGTACTGTATTCGTGTAAAGAAGAGCTACAAAGAACAGTTGAGGCGTATTCGTTCCGAGAAAGTGGATCATGAGAGTGTTATTGAGAAAGCGCAAGAGTTGCTTATCAATAGGCTGATTAATCGCGTCTCTCAGATGACCGAAGCAAAACGATATTTCAAGGAAAGCATTGAGTGCATTTACAACAACGAATTTCATGACACGAACTTGAAAGAAGCTCTTCGTGCTGTCTTCTCACCAAACACGTAAGTTTTTAAAAATTTCGAGTTTTAATCGAAATCAATACATTGTTTGCAGTGATCCAACCGATACATCGACGCAACTTGACTCTCCAAATCCGATGGTCAGACCAGATCGCTCTGCTCTTCAATCTTCTAACCGAACGCCACACGCACAGTCTTCTGAAATCACCTTGCCGACTTTCAGCCAGCCAAACCGGCAAGAAAGCAGCCATCATTCCTGTAATATACAAATAATAATGCGATTTTCTAGATTTTATGTTTTACAGCTCACCGCAACTCCCTTCAATCTCCCGCTGATTTGGAAGGCCGCATTTATGTGCGGGTTCGTTCCGCCCGATCCGGTGAATTGGCTGAGTCCAACGAGAACTGATTTATTAAATGCTGAATAGGACGTTTCTTCATATTTTGTTCCCCGATTTCACCCCTTTCCAATCATTCAAATATTTCAAAGTTCTGCCAATTGTTAATGTTTCAAATTTCTACGGTTTTGATACCCTCGTTTTTAAGAAAAAAAAGGAATCTCCTGAATTTTCCATCAATCATCCCCCAGTATTAGGCGCATTTGTTAAATGTGAATCTAACACTTCCACAAGTTTTACCCACAAGTTTTATCGTCGAAAAAATGAGTATTGTGACAAGTATTATTCGAATAGATCCAGTAATATCTTTTATTCAATGAATTTTTCTCGGCTTTGATTATCAAAAATTTTTTCCTCAATACTCTGGAAGTTTACAGAACAAACACCGACAACAAGAACTAATTCCAGGGTTGCAACCGGCCGGGCCGGGCCGAGATTATTTTTTCTCCGGCCCGGCCCGGCCCGGCCGGTTCGGCCGGTTCGGCCCGTTCGAATTTAAGAAAAAACAGAAATTATTGAAGAATTATTTGAATTTATTTCTTAAAGGTGGGGGGACATGAAAAAAATAATGTTCTCGAAATTCCGTTCAAAGATGCCCCTCGAGGAGTTGAACTTGTGAGGGCGATGATTGAGGGTGCGGCGCCGCTACCGACTGAGCCACGCGGGCAAAGAGAAAGCGCACACCCGTTTGCATACATAAAGGCGAGGACGATAGCTGTACGCAGAGGGACATTAAGCGTTGTACACCGTGACGGTAGAATGCATACTCTAGCTACAAAAAATCTACGAAAAATCTCCTGTCCCCCCACCTTTAACAGGTAGCATAACAATGTAAAAACCGTATAAATGAACAAGGGGAGCCTCTCATCGATAATTTACTCGCATTCTGAACTGCTTGCAGACAGCTATCGATGTCCCATAAACATTTGATATTTGTCATCCATCTAGTCTCACACGAGAGGGTGATACCTCGTCATATCGGAGCATCGTTGCAAATAAAAATGGCGCGCGTTCAAATATTAATTAATTGCCGGCCGGCCGGGCCGGGCCGGGCCCTGGTTTTTTTCCCTCGGGCCGGCCCGCCGGCCAGCCCGTCAGATTGCAACCCTGACTAATTCCCTCCGCTCTCGTGTACATTATCTCAACCTTAAACCCACTTTTCCATCTCCCGGCCTCACTTCCAATCTTTTATTTAGCTGAACATTTGTTGCTCTTATCCCTCCTATTCAAACCTCACAATCCTATTCATTCATTCGCCCAATAAATTTATTTTTTCTCATCTCTCTTCCTTCTCCATTCGTTTGAAAAAAAAAAGGATGAAGACGACTACGTCATGTGTTTGGCGCTGGCACTGAAACGCAGAAGACGCGAAAAAACGTTCGCAAGAGAAAGAAACCCTCCTCTCTCGGACGAACCTTTTTTGTTCCCGCCAGACGCATGGGAAACTTTTTTTGCAGAAAGAAAGTGCTGCTCTGTGAGAAACCGAAGCTCTTTTTTAGAATTTTCTCCGCAGTTACCAAATCATTTCTCTTCTATTTTTTATCATTTTTATTATCTAATGTGCTAGATTTCGTTTGATAAGATAACAAAAAAACCAAAAAAAGGATAGTGACATTCTCAGTTTTTGTTATGTTTCTTGAGATGAACGGTCATTGAAATTCAAGTGATACTCTTCAAATTCCTCTAAGTATTAAAATTGCCTGAGATTTCCTCACAAATAAGGTCAATTTTGTCTGAGCTAGAGCACTTTTTTGCTCAAAATAGTATGAGTCCTTGACTGCGTCTATAAACTCTTATAATTCCCAAAAAAGGCAGAACATCTGCTATTTCCATATCCCTTCCCTTCTTCCTGTGCTCCATGCTCAACCATATAATCTGCCCTTTCCTACCATTGATTCTTCTTTTTCTTCTCCATTCTCTTTTTTTTTCGCAAATGTCAATTGTTGTATCTCTCGCGTGCAGAAAACCCCGTGAAGCGTTCAATTTCCATGGCGTTTCTGATGAGGGGCGGCCGGACGGACGCCATCTCGCCGAGCCCGTCAATGGGCTCCAATTCTGGTAAAAATGGATGTCCTTTTTCTCGTCTTCTTTTTTGTCTCGTCTCTGGTGGCGAGTGACACATTTCCGTTGTGCCATTCGTCTTCTTTTCTTTTTTGTGCCCTTGGGACGGACCCACCTCACACTGTTCGTTTTTTTCAGCTGACTCTGCTTTTGCAAATTGGGAGCGAGATGATCAACAACAATGTGCGGACTGCAAACCACGCCGTAAGTTTTTTTTCAAGGGTCGGCTTAATTATTGTATCAACAAATTTACTTGAAAAATCAATTTGAATAGCTGAAATTCCAATTTTCGCTCCATTCTTTAAAATGATTCGGAAACTCAAAGGTTCTAAGATTCCGAATTTTTGAAAATCCAAAACTCGCAGAATTTGAAATCTTGATTATTACCTTTTTTCTGAATAATCGGATATTCACAAATTTTTAAAATATGAATGTTGAGATTTTGAGGATCATAAACTCTGAAAATTCGAAACTCTAAGGTTCTGAATCTACAAGAATACGCGATTCTCAGGTTTTGAAGTATCAATTTTCTCCTTCTTTTAGGATAATGCGATATTTGAAGATTCTGAGATTCTGAGATTCTGAGATTCTGAGATTCTGAGATTCTGAGATTCTGAGATTCTGAGATTCTGAGATTCTGAGATTCTGAGATTCTGAGATTCTGAGATTCTGAGATTCTGAGATTCTGAGATTCTGAGATTCTGAGATTCTGAGATTCTGAGATTCTGAGATTCTGAGATTACAAGATTCCGAGGTTCTAAGTTTCTGAAATTTTGAGATTATGAGATTCTGAAATTCTGAGTTTCTGAGAAATTGAGAATCTGACATTCTGAGATTCTGACTATTTCTTTTAAAAGAGTGATTTTTTGTTTCTAAAAACTTGCTGATTCTGAAACAGCTACTTTCTGACAAATTGCGCCATTTCTATATTTTTCAAAAAATTGCATTTTAGCTGTCTTTTTTTTTTCGAAACAGCCACTTTTTCTCTTGGTAAGAAATTCATTCAAAAATTCAAATATCTGTGACTCTAATTTTATCGTATTTGGAGATTCTAAAATATACTGAAACTGGCTTATTACGAGGGTAAGAAGAAAGTCAGAAATGCGGAGATTCTGAGATTCTGGGATTTTGAGGTTCTGAAACCCAAAAAGTTTTTGGAATTACGAGATTCTGAAATTTCACAATTCTGTCATGCGATAATCTTGAAATTTCTAGATGCACATGTTTGAAAATCTGAGATGCCTTTGTTTCTAGAAAATCTCTCATTTTTGAAAAAAGTTTTCTTTTGAAAAACTGTCTATTTTTAATTTTTAGACACTGCCCTTCTGGTTTTTTCTAAAAATTCCCAGTTATGATTTCAGATTTTCAAACTATGGCAGTTTCCTCCTAATGACATCATAATAACCAGTTGATCACTTCTAAAACAAGCCTATACAAACACCTTAAGCCACTTTTGATTACTCATCAGTCATTCAACCCAGCCGTCTCCTCTCCGCATCACAATAGAACACTCTGTCCGCATTCGAGTGAGTGCAGTGTTTTTTTTCTTGTGTGTTTGTGTGTGTGTGTGTGTGTGCATACTCATCACACATACACTCACAATACACCGCACAAACAACGTGGCCAATCTCATCATCTCATTGCCCTCATTTGCGTTTTTTTGTGCCCTTCATCTATTTTTTTTCATCAGAAGAAACGTCTTTTTGCGAAAACTCTTTTTCCAGCGAAATGAGATTTTTTTCTCTTTTTTTTGCTACAAAAATTCTTAAAAGAAAATGTTTTGAAACGATTTTCTGATAAGCGAAATTGTTTCGTTGATGTTCACCATTTTTTGTTGCTTTTCACCGAATTCTCTTCTATCTTTCAGTTCTTTTCAATTGATTCTAACGTTTCTCTTTTTCCAATTTTTCATTTTGATCTCATGAAACAAAAAAATCCACCCAACAGCCGCGAGAAAAGAACAGCACCCCCCCCCCCTTCCTCCCCTCCCTCTTATTGTGTCCCACAACGAAAACAGCAAACGCGCCCCACCGCATACACCGATCACCCCCCCCCCCTCTTTCCGTTTTGAACGCAAACACATGCCAATGAACGGCCGTCCCGACGGCAATTTCCACTCATTTTCCCCCGTTTCTTCTTATTTTTCCCACCAATTTCTTAAATTTTCAGTATAAATATCGCATTATGGATCACTCAAGACGCTCAACTGGGAAAAATGAGGCGTTGCACATCGATCCGGCGAGCAGAGGTGATTTTGTGCGATGAATCGCGAAAAATCGATAATTTTTGGTTTTTAGGTGAATCATCGTTCTCCGTTCATCGCAGCCATTCCAGCGGACATGAACCGTTTGCGCCAAGGTGAGGAAATGAAAAACAATAAAACATGAACAGAAAATTTGCAGCCCGGGCTCTTCAATCGGCGCGAGTGTTTCGATGTTCTCGTCGCGCAACTCGGAGGCTGAGATTGTGGATCCAGAGGACTTTGAAGGTCCACGTACGATCATGATCAACATCGGGATTGGTGACATGCTGGCGGATCGGGATATCCACTCGCGCTACCCGGAGTTCTACCAATTCCTGCTCAACGAGCAGCCTTCATGGTTCGAGCCGGCTCCATACAATGGCACAGTCTATCGTGTGCACCAAACGACTCCACCGCCTGAGAACCATCGGAAGCTGCGCAAGGACCTGACCTACGAGATGCTAGATCTCATGTTCCGATTTTATCGGCAAAAGGTGAGTTTTTGTTTAATCTAGGGATAACAATACTATCCTTGGTGGGAAGGAAGCAGCAGAATACCCAGTCTACAATCTAAACAATTCATACATTTCAGCACGTCAACGCTCAGCGCAAGCGCGAGAACAAGGAGCTCCTCGAAGCCAATAAGCAACTCCGCATTGCCGCGGTCCAGATGTTCACCAAGGCCGAACAAGAAGAGGAATACATATCCAACTCTCTTCTCAAGAAAATCCAGCAGCTTAACCAGGACAAGGACTATCTTGTTAAGAAGTATCAGAAAGATGAGGAGTCGCTGACCAAATCTCTGATGGCCAACGTCGCCAAGATTCCAGACGTTCATGCTGATGAGGCAGCGGAGAAGCTCATGGCTGATAAGCAAGCGGAAATCGAACGTCTCCGGACATACTGCAGCCGTGCTGAGAAGAGCTACCAAGAAGAGCTGATGCGCCTCCGCGCCGAGAAAGTAGACCACGAGAGTGCCCTGGAGCAGGAACAGGAGTTGCTCATCAACACGCTTGGAAAGCGCATGTCGCAGATGAACGAGGAGAAGCGCAAGCTCCAACAGACTCTTGAGACCGCCTACATCAATGGATTTGTCGACTATGATGACAACGTCGAGACTGCTCTCCGTGTGTCCACCACTCAGAAGCCGTGAGTTTTCGTTCTTCCTCTGAATTCCATCAGAAATTCATTGATTTTCAGACAAGCGCCAGCCGTCGTCGCTCATCAACCAGTCGCAAGAGTCGTTGAGCAGCAACCATCCAGCTCTCGCCAGCCGGTGATCAATGAAGCCACGCACTTGCAAATCGAGAATAAGAAGCTCGTAGGGCTGTGCAATCAGGAGAAGCGTCGTGCATTGGCCACGGAGGCTGAAGTCAAGAAATGTGCGTTTATATTATATGTATAAACATTCCAACTGTATAGATTTGGTGGTCCTCTTGCAATGCTAAAATGTGGCTTCAAATTGCTCTGTTGTCATAAGTGAATCAGATTTTGAGGACTTTGGCTGAAACAAGATATTAGACGAGTCTAAGGAGCATTGGGAGATTGATTAGGGCTGATCCTCGTGCACTTTTAGTCCAAGATTGACGTCAAAGTATAATACTGATCGTCTTTAAGAGCAGATATAAAAATTAGCTCAAATCATCTTTATCGGATTTTCTTTGAAGAGCACCATACCTATTCATGAGTGCCTGGGCTGAATCCCGCCAGATAATTTTCAGGGTACGAAAATTTTGAAGCCATTGGAGTACGAAGCAGTTTAGTTGTACAAAAGCCTCCATTCGGGGGTGCAAAATACTTGGAAAATTCGACTTTCGTAATTCCGAAATGTGGACTTTGTACCTATTAATCAGTTCGTACCCCCTTGTCCCCCAGAATTGTTGTACCCTTTGCGCCTTGTGCTTTGAATACCCTGCAATCCCAATAACCCGAACATGACCTTCAACGTGTCTACTCGAAGAAACCCCGGCTTAGATTTAGTGTAGTTATCAGGATGTTAACATCATCAGGAGATATCAGAATGAGAAGAAAATTCGGGACCTCACAAACATAGGTCTCACTTTTCACTAACTTGTTCTTCTTTCAGTGAACCAGCGAATGTCCAAAATGGAGGCCATGTTTGAGGCCATCCGTGTTGAGGCTGTCCGCACTGACGGGTAAGCACCTTCTTCTTCCAAACATAACATATCTCAAATACCTATTCCAGATCACTTGCCTTGCGTCTCGCTGCATTGAGCCATGACAACGAAGAACATCCAACGCGTGCTCCAGCCGACCGTCGTGCTCACGGAGGATCCCCACCAACGGTTGTCGTTCAGCCAACCACCAGCCGCGCCGGAACCAGCAACTCTACCAACAACGATCATCCACACGTGCCAGTCGCTCCGATCCTTGCCACTGTTCATCCAACCCAGAGAACTGCTCCTGGAAGAAACGATAATCACCACTAGATATGACATCATTCTTCGTGTTTTTCTTTTGTCACAATCATTGCCTTCAAGTATTCCCATTTTGCCCCATTGCTCACTGTTTTATAAGTAATCCCGATGCTTAACTGGACACTGACCCCATTTCATTTTATTTTCACAGGTACCTTAGCCTGTTTTTCTTCTCTGAAATTAAGAAAAGTCCCATTGCTTCTCCTTATTTTTGCTGCTTTAAGCATAATGCAATTCTTCCCCCCCCCCCCTACGATTATTTGGCTTGAAGTTAAAATTTTTGTCTTCTTACTTACCCCGATTCCCATATTTGTGTGTCTTATGAAAAAGTTTGAAAAATTTTTCTCATTATTATTTTTAATAAGGGAAGTGGCACAGGTGTCACTTATAAGTTTGATCTTAATCATTGACTGGATTTCAGAAAGTTGTAAATTGGCACGCTTACCCTTCCCCGACTGATGTCAGAGATCCATTCATGGGAATCATCAACTGTAGTTCAAAAAGAAGAATCAAAAATAGAATATCTCATGGTTGCATCTCTTTGCAAAATACAACAAATTGATTGGCCACGGCGCGGGGATAACTGGTACTAATGGAACCGTGTCAAGATGGATTGACGAGATCTTGTGATGGCGTCGAGGTCAGAAAACTTGTACTCTGTAGGAAGGTACGGATTGCACTTTTCGGATTAGGAGTGCATTTGGATTGAGGTTAAATGGGGTGTTAGAGAAGTAGCGTGCCAGCAATGGGAAGTCGAAAGAGTAGAAGAATCAGAATGTGAAATTTCGGATTGTAATAAAACTTTTATGATAAAAGTCAGTTTTGCTTTAATTTGTCCTTTCAACTAGTTTAAAACAATTTTCCAAATTGAAAAAAAAAACAGAATTTCAATAATTTCATGATAACTTGTACAAATTCGATACTGAGTTTAAACTAAATTTGACATTTATGTTTTTTTGGAATTTTTTAACTTGAAATTATATTTTTGATGGCTAACATATTTTTAGATAAACTATCATCGCAAACCTCCTTTTTCCATTTATAGAAGCTTACCCATGCCGCCGACTTTGAGCCCATATATCTCATTTGCTGTTATAATTATAACAAAGTAACTAACTAACAAAATATTCATCCTAATTTCAGAAATATTTTATCAGTCAACCTCTTTTTCACATCCTTCAAAGAAATCAAGATAATTAAGCTCAAAGTTGACAGTTTGGTTTAGCTTCTATCAAAGGAAATATGATAATTAGAATTTAGGCACGTCATGATCTCATAATTTTATTTTCAGAATTTTTCAAAAACTGAGAGCCACAACTTTTGAAAATTTTTTTGAAATATACAAAAAATATAAATAATATAAACATGGTTGGTTTTATCGAAAATTGATTTTAAGAATTATTTGGAACCTTAAAATTTCAAAATCTCATAATTTAGCAAATTGTCGAATCTTAAAATCTTCAAAATTATTTAAATTTCATTCCCCCTAATTCTTTATTTCGCCACCTCAAACCATCGGATATCAATTCCTTAGCACACGTTGCATAGGCATTGATAAATGACGCGATCGAAACCTGAAATAAATCTTATCAAATTCAGGGAAAGTGTTTTTTTCCCATATCTCTCGTTGTTTGTTCAATGACTGATCATCGAATTCTGACATCACCTATTTTCCTCATTTTCCAGAACTTTTCTTTTGCTTCTAGCTCATTCTGAATGCATGGGATAACCCAATGAATTCTCTATTAGCCGCTAAAGTTTGATCTTCCAGACTAGCAAATAAGAAACCCCTTGATGAACAAACATATAAACAAAACTGTTGACCCAGCGAATGAATCTATCCTTTTTTTTTTGTTTTCACTATGACCGCTATATTCCGAAAGTTATATCCCGAAAAGATCGGGGAAAAAGGAAGACTGATTGCTTATCTTGGTAGTTGTGTCCTTTTTTTTTCATCCGAATTTTCACTTGCTTTCTCCCTTTCTTCTCTCTTATCTTCCCGCGATTTCTCTCTCCAAATACCTGGGGCTAGTAAAAGTGATATTGTCTGTTATCGTTTGGGCGAAAACTGAGTCAAGGTCGGTCCCGTATCCCTCACAAATCGCCCCAGTAACACAGTTTTTGTAGCCGGCAGTTTTCTCCTGGACGCAGTTTTCCACCGAAAACCCATTTAGTTTTAAATTCTTGACGACCGTTTCGTTTTTCTTTTTTTTTTCCTATTTTTTCTAATTTCAAAATTTTACTTTCCTCCCGAAACAAAACCAAAGGTTATCATCGCGTCTTAGTCTTAATGTGCCGACACTTTTTCTCTCAAATTGATGACTTGGTGGTAAGAATCGAAAGTCACATTTTTCTCCTTCTTATCTAACGGAACAATTGTTCGCCATATATCGAACATCGTCATTGTTTTTGAGTTCCAAGACTTTGACCCTTCTCAGAATTCTGTATAGTCAAACATCACCGATCCTCAAGGCACATGATCGTGGTATCTCAATTCGATACGTCTCAAAAATGGATAATCTTCAATCTTGCAAGAAAAGGATACATACACCACCTGGTACAGTGCCCAGATACATCCCAAACAGTATGTCAAGGACGCACACGCCCCAAAACAGCTGATCGGTATAAGGATCGGTTTCGCAACATCATATGATCCCTCCAAAAATGAAAAAGAAAACTGGTTTTGAAATAAGACGCCGCTCTAGTTTGAGGATAGATATCTTTGCTTTGGATCGGATGAGTATAAAAGAGGTGACCGGTAGAGTCAGATGGTACCTAGATGCCATCTGACCTTCTTTCTTTGTGACTAATCGTCCCCAGTAATCGCCTTGACAACACAAAAAAGTAAGCCTATCAAAAACTGAAACTTCCCTAATACTTCTATTTCTTTGTTATGGTCATCAGAGATTTTTTTTTTTGGAAAGTTTGTTACAACTGTCGCGCAGAAGAAGTCAATCGTCTCCAAGTGAACTTTTCTTTTTTCGACTTTTCCACCTCCCCCTTTCCCGTCCATCCGTAGTTTATTTGTTCCCTTTGTCGGGTTGTCGTTCTTGTCATTTTCTCTCTCTCTTCCCCTTTCACTTCTGAAAGTTTTTTGGCGCCTCCCAATAGACAGATCCATCTTCAATCTTTGCCTGGTCACATCCTTTGTTTTTGAATTTCAGTCTTTATACTTTCTACAGTTCCGTTCAATAAGATATATAAAAATATACTTTTCAGTCGAATTTCGGCCATATTCAGAAGTCTAGAGCTCGGCTGTCAAGCTTTCTATCACAGATTGAAACTTTGCATTCTCAAAACTTTCTGAAAACCCCTAGTTTTTCAGCTATTTGCCGATTTCTGAATGACACCTTTTTAGCCCGTTTCTGTACTGAAAACATGAACATCTGTTTTTCACGTTTTCATTACAAAAATGGACCGAGAATAGGATTGTTACAAAATAGCTGGAAAACTAAGAATTTTCCATTCTGTGAATGATTAGTTTTCAAGCCAGGTCTGTAGCAGGCTCTCCCCAAAAATGAAAAGTGATAAAAAACTTGACAGCGGAGCCCTAATTTCTGAGAAAAGGTCAAAATAGCCAAAATATTTCTTTTTGTATATTTTATAAATTTCCGTGTTTTTTCTCTTAATCTCAAACTATTTTTCTCCTTACCTAGAATTTTTCTAGATGAGCCAATCAAATGTGAGCCTTCAATTGGAAAGAGTCTACAATGAGCAACGTAAAGCCGCCACCCTTGCCTCCACAGCCACTGGATTCATAATGTGAGTGAGAATCCGGTTTTTCTCAGAAAAAAATTAACTTTCGAAAGTTTTCGTTCCTCCTAATTTGATAAGAAAAGTTCAAGACCAAATCTATGTTTTCGTTCCAGGTCAATTTGCTTCTTTGGCCTTCCCCTCATGTGGTCTGGATTCTTCAAAGTGATGCAAGTCCCAGCCGCCATTGTTTGCTCAAATGATCCATGGAGCGGAATTACTGATCTTTGAAATCTCTTATCTCTCCTTATCATGACTGCTTTCCTACGGTGCCTATCATCTGGTTATTCACCTTCCCATTCAGTTTCTTATGTTGTATAGCGGGTTTCAACTTTTTTACAAGTCATTTTACTTCTTTATTCATTACAAAAATTGAAAAATTAATCATGAATCATGATAAAATCTACAAAAGAATTTAATTTTTTTGTTGGTGTGGGCTGAAAAGGTTATGAAAAAGATAGGAATCAGGAAGTTGGTAGGTAAGGAAAAAATACAAAAAGGTGTTGATTTGTTTTGTTTTACAAAAAAAAGAAAAAAAAAAGAAAAGGCAGTTTGATTTGTTGGAAAGAAATATTTTGAAAAAAAAAGAGGTTAATTATATTTCTAAAATTTAAGGCAATCGTAGAAAAAAAGTATATAGGTTCAGACAGAAAACATCTACATATCTAATTGTAATTTTCGTTTCGTTTTTGTTAAATGGAAGGATAATTTTCAATGACTTGGCATCACGGACTCAAAGAAAAAACGTCTTTAGGAGGAACAGGTGAAATTTAAGAATGGAGAGGAGATACAGATAAAATGGGGTGGCTGTTTAGGATCTTCTTCTTTTAGCACAGGAACTATAATATTGAACGGCTTTTTCAAGCTCTGGATCGATTTTCTTGCGATACAAACCACCATATACAACATTTCCCAGGCGCCATCTGAAAATTCGGAATTTCGTGATACGTTTTTAGACATACAGTGTTGGCTGTAGCTCTATGACTGAAAATGTTTTTCAGTTGATTTTAAGCATCTTCAGGAGTCCTGAGCTCTGCTGACAGGTGTCGGATCACTTTGAAAATGTTGGAGGTTCTAGAACAGACCTAGATTGAATACAATCTCTCGAAAGTGCTTAGTTTTTCAGATATTTGTCGCTTTCTGGAGGACACCCCTTTTTTCTAATTTTGTACTGAAAACGTGAAAAACGCAGGTGTCTTATAGAAATCGGCCAGTAACTGAAAAACTAGGAATTTTTCGAAAATTCTGTTTATGCAAAGTTTTCAATCTAGGGTTTTTTACACCCTCCAACAATTTGAAAGCAATCCTACACTTGACAACCGAGCTCCAGACTCCTGAAAATGGTCACAGTTCACTGTAAAACACGTTTTTTTATTTATTTAGGGCCAGCACTGCCGGATTACTGTACTCACCGCTCAGTTGTAGGTAGCCCAGTCGCGCGCAAATCCAGAGTATAAGCTATGGAGCGCCGAATGTCCGACCGATTTGTCAGTCGATGATCTTCCATACTGGGAGGTGTATACGGGCTGAAAAGTGGAATCGGTTAGAAATCGAAAAAAAAAGTTTATTACACACACTAGGTAGTGTCGTTAATGCTACACTAAGAAGTGTTATAAACTTACAGCACCTGTAAGATGTACAAAAACCTATTTTTAGTTGGGTTTTGGCCATTTTGTCCATTTTCAGAAGTCTAAAGATCGGCTGTCAAAGTTTCGATCCCTTGGAAACTCTTGGAGAATTTGAAACAAATCTGGATGGACAAGTTTGCATTCACAGAGTTTTTCGAAAGTTCCTAGTTATTCAGGTATTTGCCGATTTTTGAATGACTTCAAACTTTGAGCTCACTTATCTCCACTCCTTTAGAAAATATCAAAAGTAGGTCAGTCGATAAAATGTTAAACAAATTCAAAAACTGACCATAAAAGGATTTTTTTCAGAAATCGGCAAACAGTTGAAAAACTAGGATTTTTCAAAAATTCTAAAAATGCAAAATTTTCAATCTAGGTCAATTTTACACTTTCCGAAGTTTTCAATTTGATCCGAATCTTTAAAGCCGAGCTCCAGGCTTCTGAATGGGAGTAGAATGATCAAAATGACCAAACATTCATTGAAAAATGGACTCTTGTATAACTTATTCACTGGTACTGTATAAGGTAAATATTAAATTTTAGATAATGGGGTGTGGTCTCTAGAAGTTTAAATTTGAAACATATAAGTGGAACAGAAAAACATGAAGGTTTCACATGCACACACACAGAACACACAACTTACATTCTCTTACCTTATTGATTGATAGAAAGGATAAGGAGAAGAAAAATAGGGATGCGGATAGGAAAATAGAGAAGAGTTGTACTTTGAGGGCCAAAACTCCTGGGGAATCAGGAGTGAAGAATCAAGAGCGATTCGAACTTTTGCGAAAAGTTACAAAATGTGTTTTTTGGGAAGAAAAATAGTAGAAGAAAAACATGACAGTTTGATTTTTGGGAGTATGGATGCAGTAGTGGCTAATGAGTCTAAATTAGGGGATATTATAATTGAGAAGACATTTAATAGTGCGGATAGAAGTGGGAGTAGACGCTAGTGCGGGGAAGTGATTGTCCACGATAGCTGCTGTATGAGTTAGACCTGAGCAATTCCATTTGACGGACAGCCTGGTCAAGTTTCGATGACAACTGTTGGTACTCGGAGCGCAACTGAATGATTTTTACATATAGATAGACATATATAGGGACTTTACTTTACTTTACGATAGAAAAAATATAGAAAAGGACAAGAAAAACAAAAACATACTCTGTCTTTCTGGATCACCTCACGAGACAGCGATCTTTCGAGTTGTCCGATGCGTCCCTGAAATCAGACGGTAACACATTTTGGCTTTCCCCGGAAGAAGCATGCATTCCGGTTAGTTTTTGGTTCACTAAAACGGGACTGGTTAGACGAGGACGTTATAGTTTTGGGACATGGTGAAAAAAGTAGGGTCTTGATTCTCTGACCTCATACATGCTGCGGACCATTGCCGGGCTGGTTTCTCTCTGGTATCTTGTGGATGGGGTATAGGCCTGGAATCGGTGGGTGGTGAGGAAATGAACGGGAGGGAGAGAGGTTATTGTGGAGAACACTGGTATCCAATTTTTTTCGATTTTTGAATTTTGAAAACTATGTTATTTTCGGCGTTGGTTAAGAAAATCAAAATATTGATTCTTACGGAATTTTCCCACAGAAAATGTTTTTCGCGTCAGTACACTTACAGTACCGGTCAATAAGTCATACAACAATCTATTTTTCAGTTAATTTTCGGCATTTCTAGGTTTTTAGCTCAGCTCTCAAGTTTCCTATCATTTTTAAAAGATTTCGGAGAATGTAATACAGACATAAATTGAAAATAATTAACAGAATGTTTAAAAAATCCTTATTTTTCATCTACCATAAAATTTATAATAGAATGACCTACTAACTTCAAACTTTGAGCTCACTTATCTTCACTCCTTTAGAAAATATCAAAAGTAGGTCAGTCGATAAAATGTTAAACAAAATATCAGCAACTTTTTATCAGTTGACAACTTTTTCTTATCTTTTACAGTAAACGAGATATATAGGCTCAAAGTTACAGGGGGCCCTTCTAATACAAGTTTTCACAGTATTTGCCAATTTCTAAAAAATACCCTTTTTGCCCCGTTTTCGTATTTACATATAACTTAGAAAAAAATAGTGTTTTTCAGAAATCGGCAAATAACTGAAAATCTAGAAAACTTTTAAAAAATCTGTAAATGCAAATTTTTTAAAGGTGGGGGGACAGGAGATTTTTCGTAGTTTTTTTTGTAGCTAGAGTATGCATTCTACCGTCACAGTGTACAACGCTTAATGTCACTCTGCATACAACTGTCATCCTCGCCTTAATGTATGTAATCGGGGGTGCGCTTTCTCTTTGCCCGCGTGGCTCAGCTGGTAGCGGCGCCGCACCCTCAATCATCGCCCTCACAAGTTCAACTCCTCGAGGGGCACTTTGGAACGGAATTTCGAGAACATTATTTTTTTCAGGTCCCCCCACCTTTAATCTATATCTGTTTTACATCCTCCTAGATTTTGAAAGTGATCAGAATTCCAGGAAATGGTCAAAATGATCAAAACGCTACTGAAAAATAAACTTTTGTGTATCTTATTAACCGGTAATGTTCTTAATTTTGAAATTTTGATCTTATGATTTCCGATAAGTTAAGGGTAAGAGGTTATGTTCAAGCTCATATGCTCTGCATTCTCATTGCTCATCGCGTCAAAAAAAAAACTCACAAGGTCGAATTTCTGTCTGAATATACGCTTTTTCGAGAAGAGATACATGGTTAAATTTGGGAGAAAAAATGACCAAATGAGATCTGACAACGGGAAGCTGCTGGGCCTAGACCAAGTCAATAGAAAACTATCTGACAAGACTAGCGGAAAAGTGGCTGGATTGTGGGAGGATAAGGATGTGTTTTAGGTGAAGTGTCCCTGGGCAAGCCGGGGAGAATGAAAAATATGTGGGAACGCTCTGGCGAAACCCAACGCGGAGATGAAACGCAACAATTGGTTGGTTGGGGAATGGTTTGAGATGCTTGTGGGCTCTGATGAGCAGCGCAAAAAACGACTTGACTATTTTTTCTACGGGCTCATGAGTGGTGGTGTGCTCTATTCCGCTTGACTCGCAAAGTACGTGTATTTTTCGCCTCGAGTTACTGTTAGTTACCCCTTCTTCTGTTTGTGTGTTTGCCACTTCAGCCATTATATCTTTTTCGCCTTGTTTCTCAAGGAAGAAAAGAAAGAGGCAAAAAAGTATATCACTCAAAAAACTAAACTGATGCATCAAACATCTCAAACATCTCAAATAAGCCATTAAGCATTTGCGAGCCATTTAAAATAAAAAATTGGATGCAAAAGAAACTCAAAAAAAAAACGAAAAAATTATAAGCGAGCGATCATTCTGCACCACTTGAGACAATTCATTTTTTGACAAATAGACCCTATGGAGGACACCAGTGTTTCACACAAAAAAATCGGAAATATTGACTCACAGTATATCCAGTAGAATAAGAAGATGGTCCACGGGAAGATGAGCGGTATCTCTCGTAAGTTGATGGAACCTAGAAGTTGATATGAAAACCCAAAAATATTAAAAGGGCGGATAAAAGGTTTTGATGTCGCAATTCAATATTATTTACTTTGCACTTCTCCCCAACTCTCACCTCGTACTCGTATGGAGTGTGGATATCACGAACGTAGCTATCAACACGAGAAAGTCTTCCACCACCCAAATAGGCATCAACGTTGGCGCGAGATGTGCTTCTGGACAGGGAGTCTCCGTAGATGGAGGTGCGAGAGGCGGCACGGGAGAGCTCTCCTTGCTTGGAATCCGAGTAGTCGAGGAAGGAGATGAAGCTGGAGTTGCGGCTTGGTGGACGGCTGATAGCGCGGGTTGGTGGGGTGGAGTACTCACGAGCACGGGTTGGTGCTGGGTATTGGGAAACGTATCTGTAAGGGAATATTGATTTTAAAGGATCTTAAGTTATGCCGCGTCCAATATGCCTAAGTCTGCGATTTCTGGGCAAGTCCAAAGTGTTTAAAAAAAAGTCAATTTTTGTAAAAAATCCTAGCAGGTAGAAACGTTTGGTCTCGATGTGCCAGGGGTGTGCGGTCGCACTGATTTCAACTTTAAAAATCTTGGGAGTTGGGAATCTTGGGAATCTGTGCGTGACTTTTGACCGCTTTCTGGGCCCAGAAATCCCAGATTTGGGAACTTTGGACGCGCCCTCACGGTACCGGCTCATGAAATATAAAACAAAATATTTTTCACTTGATTTTCGTTCCATTTTCAGGAATCTCAGGATCGAATGTCAATTTTCCGATCAATTTAGAAATTTGAGAGGGTTTATAAAAAACCTAGATTGAAAACTTTGCATTCACAGAGTTTTCTGAGAACTCTCAGTTTTTCAGCTATCTGTCAGTTTCTGAAAGACACCGTTTCTTAGTCAGTTTTTGTACCGATTATTATAAAAATCGATTGTTTCCAAAATTTCAAAATTTTCAAAGTTTTCGAAAACTGAACAGCCGAGCTACATACTCTTTATAAGAATAAAAATGACCAAAAATCAACCTATAAATTTTTTAAATGTTTTTTTTAATCCTCAAAAAAATTAAAATAAGTCGAGATAATAATAATGGCTAACTTTTTACCTGTAATAGTTGGAAGCAGATCTCTGTGATCTCATAGCTTGTTTGCGTTCACGAGTACGACTACGCGATCTCTCAATCAAACGGGTTGTGGAATAAAGTGCCGATGAGAAAGCTCCAGTAGCCACAATATCGTCGAAATGAGAAGTGTAGATGTTGCTTGGGCGGTAGCTGGTACCCGAGGTATACTCGTTGCGGTATTTGTTGGCAGTGCTGACGAATGGGCTAAAAAAAGAAACTATGTGTTCAGTGTTCATTGAAATTCAATACCTGATTGGGGTGTAGGTCTGCTTGTCTGGTGGACTCCACGAGGAGAACGAAGTGGCCGCTGGGATTCTTAATGGTGGAACGGTTCTGTACGAGTCCTCATCATAGCTGGTGATGTCACGGTCGGCATGACGAGACTGGCGTTTTCGTTCCGGAGATGGTGATTGGGCGCGACGGCGAGCTGGTGGTGGAGATGGAGACGACTGACGAGCGGCTGCTGGTGGAGCAGATTCTTCTTCAGTGACCTCGGTCTTTTCGATTGGCTCCTCGACAGCTTCTGGCTCTGGAGCGGCCTCCTCGGCGACTGGCTCTGGCTCTTGTCGTTCCTCAGCGGCTTCTGGCTCGGCTTCCTCAGCAACTGGTTCTGGTTCTGGAGCGGCTTCTTCAGCTGCTGGCTCTGGCTCTGGCTCTGGCTCTGCGGCTGGCTCCTCCTCGACTGCTTCTGGTTCTGGCTCTGGCTCAGCACTGAATGATTTCAATTATATTCTTGCAGTTTAATTTCGCCCAAATTGATTAAACAAGGATCTAAGAATTTCAAAACATAAGGTTTTTTTTCCAATAGAAACTTACACAAACCGTCAACTCTATTACCGTAAACGCTCTAATAGAAGGCCACCCAACCCGGCAAAATTTAGTCCGAATATCTCGGTTATTCTTCTTTTGGGAAGTCACGGTATTTCTATTTTTGAAAGTGTAGAAGTTGAACACAAAAATAGAGAAGTGGTGCAAAAATAAGCGATAGAAGAAGTGTAACTGAAAGTTTCCAAAAAACCTACACTGCCGGAGTTTTTGGTGTTTTTGGAGTGCGTGGCGTGCGTGGGGTACGTGGGGTTTTGGGTGTCTTTGGTGTCTTTGGTGCAGCTGGAGTGGTCAAGTTGGAATCAATTGGTGTCGCTGGTACGCTAGACTTTGGAGTGGCTGGAGTCTCCTCAAAGTTGAAAGCAGTGTTAGCTTTTGGAGTTCCAGTAGCTGCTGGGGTAGCCGTGGCGGCTGGAGTGGCCGTAGCAGCTGGTGTGGCTGCTGGAGTAGCCTTGGCGCTGAAATGGTGCTGTTATAGTGAAAAGAGGAAAGGTTAGTGGGAGATAATGCTGTGGAGGATAGAAGAACAATAGTGATGACGTGCATAGAAGACATTCTAGGAAACAAAATATTTAAAAAAACAGAAAAATACCTTTCTTGAGCAACCGATGGTGTTCCTGGGATGCTTCCATTAGCGATATGTCCATTGCTCTTCGGAGTTGGTGGCACATCTGATGGAGCAGCAGACTTTGGAGTTGGTGGGACCTCCGATGGCGCAGCTGATTTTGGGGTTGGTGGAACCTCTGATGGAGCTGCCGATTTCGGAGTTGGTGGCACTTCCGATGGTGCCGCAGACTTTGGAGTTGGTGGAACCTCCGATGGAGCAGCTGATTTTGGTGTAGCTGGAACCTCGGATGGCACAGCCGATCTTGGTGTGGCTGGGACTGATTGCTTCTCTGAAAACGAATTTTTAATTTAAAATCAAAGTAAACAAAAACATACCAGAAGCAGCAGTCTTTGGAGTTGGTGGCACCTCGGAAGCGGCATCAGCCTCTTCGGCAACTGGCTCCTCATCAGCAGCTGGAGTGTCCAAGTCATTTGGAGTGCGTGGACGCTTTCCCTCTGGTGGAGCTTGAAGCTCGAACTCTTGCTTCTCAGCTTCTGGCTCAGTCTCCTCAGCTGGAGCTGGCTCATCAGCCGGAGCTTCCTCAACAGCGACCTCCACAACTGGCTCCTCAGCCGGAGCAGCTTCCTCAGCTGGAGCATCTTCGGCTGGAGCAGCTTCCTCAGCAACTGGCTCCTCGGCTGGAGCAGCTTCCTCAGCTGGAGCTGCTTCTTCGGCAACTGGCTCCTCAGCTGGGGCCTCCTCAGCTGGAGCAGCTTCTTCAGCTGGAGCAGCCTCCTCTGGTGCAGCTTCCTCAGCTGAAGCATCCTCGGCTGGAGCAGCTTCCTCCGCGGCTGGCTCGTCAGCAGCTGGAGCTGATTCTTCGACCTGAGTAGGTAGACTTGTTTAGGAAGATTTTTAATATGGCAAACTTAAAACGGATTGATTAGCAAAGTGTTGATAAGTAAATGTTGATTGTTTTAAACTTACTGGTTCGCTTTCCTCAATCTCTTCCTCCTCAATTATTTCCTCTTCGATAACGGAGGAAATAACCTCTGAGCGCGGCTCCTGATGTTCCGCTGACTCTAGCTGATCGGGGAGTTCGTCTTCCTCGATGATTGTGTCTTCGAACTGATTAGTAGGAGATTAGATAATGGATAAACCGAGAAATATTAGGGGTTTTTTTTTTCATTATTGGAATCTGCTTGTTAGATCTACAATACCGGTCAAGAAGATACGAAAATGTGTTTTTCTAGGTGATTTTTGGCCAATTTGATCATTTTCCAAAGTCTGGAGCTTGGCTGTCAAGTGTCGGATCACTTTCAAAATAATGGAGAATGCAAAACAGACCAAGGCTAAAAAATTGTATTTACAGAATTTCGTGAACATTTCTAGTTTTTCAGATATTCGCTGATTTCTGAAAGAGCCCTTCTTTTTCACGTTTTCAGCTCAAAATCAGGCTCAAATGAGGTGTCTTTCGGAAATCGGCAATAACAGGAATTTTCAAATAGTTCTGTACATGCGAAATTCTCGATCTAGGTGTATTTGGCCCAGTCCAGAACTTTCAAAGTTACTGGATACTTCAGCACCAAGCTCCAGACTTTTGAAAATGGGCAGAATTCACTGAAAACACGTTTTTGTATATTTTACTGACCGGTACTGTATGTTTTTGTCAAACTTTCTACAGCTAAAAAAGAAAATCACAAAAAATTTAGGTTGGCATAATGGAAAGTCTAAAATTAGATTCTCTATTAGAACTTGTTATTCAAAATGCATTTTCATTAAAATATGCCAACCTGAGTCTCCTCGTTGGCTGGAAGATCTTCAATTCCGTCCATGCTTGTTGTCATTGGGTCCACGTACTCCGTTCCAGTGATATCGGGGACCTGGAACATCACAAATCATTCTGAGGAGTAAAAAAGCGTGGCACAAGTTGCACTTAAGAGAGAACACCTCTGAACAAGTGGGTGGTGAGATGTATACCCACTCACACAAGTCAGATGGTGATTTGTTTGCTGCTACTAGCTAGAAGAGACATATCTAGGGGAGGGTGGCGATGAAATAAGCTTTGGCATCTGGTTCAAGAACATTACATATACTACACGTGGTTGAATGAATATTATAGATGCAATGAATCCGGACGCAAAATTTTGAGCGATAGAAAAATCAGTGGAAGATAAAAAATCGAATTGCAGATTTCAAAACTAAATGACTCAATATAAAGTGTTCAAAATCTCTGAATCTGTCTTAGACTGATTGGGTCGGGTGTGTTGTTTGCGTATTGCAACCGGGGGGAGCCGAGGAGGATGGGGATCCTAGGCGGCAGAAAAAATAAGGTTTGGTCGAGGCAGCTCTCGCGAAAAAAGGACTCCTACGCATTGAGCAATCTCTTGTCTTATATCACGATATCAGTCTTTGACGGGTGATGGTTGCCAGAGGGAACTTGTTTACGGGCACATAGGTTTAGAAGCAGAAGAACAAAAAATAGAAGAAGAGTTGGTACATGATAATAAGAGATGATACAGAAGTCTCTATCTTGTTTGTTCTCAAGAGGTGTCAATATCATTGGATAGAGGAGAAAGTCACAAATCAGATTTTTGTTCTATTTCACTATTTTTGCTTTGATTTGTTTCATTTTAAAAACTTTTCAAATATACAAAAAAATGTATACCTGATCTTCAGTACGGTCCTCATCAACTTGCTGAGCACTCTTCTCATCGTCGGCTTCAGCGGTCACAAGTTGCTCGTCTCCTTCCTCTGAATTATTCAAACTTGAAAATTTTACACTACCGCACCCTGGCTTACCGGCTGGTTGAGCATTGCTATTATCCTGCTCGATCTCGGCGACGAACTCTTTCTGAATTTCAATGACTGCCTCTTCCGGGGCGTCGTGAAACTCTTCTTGAGCATCCACCTCAGACATTTCGACGACGACGCTAGAATCAAGGAGATGAATGAATGATTTTTGTTTTGTACCTTTTGAAAAAGATTAAAAAAAAATCTCAGAAATATGACACGTGTCAGTCAAGCATTGTTGTTTGTAATCAGATACTATGAGTAGATAAAAGATTATTGATGAAAAAAAGAAAAATCACTATTTTAGGAGTTTCATACAGGAAAAAAAATGCACTCTATGTGTTCAAAAGTGACCGACTTGTCGTGTCGGACCTTCTCATGTTTTGTTTTGTTTTCCTGTGGAGGCGGGACCCGGTTTTTGATGATTTTGGAGCCCCCGTCGGAAAATGGCTCTCACTCTCGTAGAACAGATCCATCAGTCAATGTGACCTCAGAAGATAAAGACGAAGAAGAAGAAGAGGATAAGAGAGGAGGCGGAAAAAGATAGAAAATGAGTGGGAGGATTGGAGGATCCCCATACACACTCTCATTGCCACCGATCTTCATCAGTGTGAGGTTGGCATCGAGAGACTCAGGAAGAGCTTTAGAACAAGAAGATGAAGATGAGCACGAAGAAAAATTTTGCCACTTGTTTTCGACGAAGAAACGCGAAACAAAGGCATACTTGTTGATTGGAAGAGGGGGGACCGAACGAATGAGGCTAAAAATTGAAGAATGGGCAAAGTTCAGTGAACACATCATAACAACAATCAAGGTTGAGTTGGGGATATAGTTTGGAAAATGGGGAACGACACCTCGAGTGTGAAGAAGGTCGACAATTGTCATGGCTAATAAAATTATGATGGTTACAACACAGAGATGCTTAGAAATGTGTGAAGCTATGGGTGATGTCTTAATGAGATAAACTAGCTCTGGGAGATCAGGGATAGACTCTGGAATTCCAATCAAACTAAATTTGATCTTTGAGAACAAACCTTTGAAAATGGAGAAAAATTTTTGCCTTCTTTTTTCTCAAAAAAAAACTTGTCCTAAAATGCTAAATGCTAAAAAATGTGAGTAAATTGGTTTGGTGCAAGTTACTGTAATCACGTCAGTAGAATGACATTATTAACTTTCAGCTTTAAGCTCATAAACCTCATTTTCTGAAAAACATATCGAAAAATGGTTAACTGGCAAAATGTTTCTCATATTATGATGAACAACTTATCAGTTGACCATCTATTGATATCTTTGCCAAAAAGAGATATATGGGCTCAAAGTTGACGGTTTGGGGTCGTTCTATCAGAATTTCAACGGGCACTTGTAGCAAGTTTTCTCGAACTTTCCAGAGCATCAGTCTCCTTTTTCAAAAAATAGGTAAACTTTTATATTGACTTGTTATTCATGAATTTGGGGAAAGTTCTGTAGGAGGGATTACGGTAATTATAAAAAATTTTTGATGAAAGGAAAACAAACCCAAATATACGGTATTGGGTATCAGAGAAAATGTAGCAACGATCAAAACTACCCTATTTATTATTATTATAAGAGCAAATGCCGGCTCGAAGAATCAACAAATTGTTTTAAACTGATTTTTTTTTTCAAATTTCAACAACATTTTTAAAAACAGGTGTATATCAAAGAATAATCTGCACTGATATAAAATTACTGACACCGTAAATGCCTGAAATAGAAGCCCACTCTTTATGTGCACTTTGAGCTCAATTATCTCGGTTCCCATAGAAGATAGGAAAAGTTAAAAAACTGATAAATTTTTTATAATATTATGATTTACATTTTATCAGTTGACAACTTTTTGATATTTTTCACAGGAACTGCGATATATTGGCTCGAAGTTGAAAGCTAGGATGGCACTCTAATAGAGAATTTAAAAAATTCGTATCGGTGAAAGTAATTTTTTTTTTGTGATTCAAGAGTTTAAAACGTAGTGAGGTAATTTTTCGGGCTTCATAATCTAAATCTTAGTAATAACATGACTCCTACAAAACACAAAATCTGAAAACTTGGAAGATACACCGATAAAATTTTTTCCCAGAGCCCTACAAACATATGACACTGGGACTAGAGAAAGAAATCAACGTTTTTTTTCCAGGGTCTTATTTCAGTAAAAAGATTTATATACATTTTACACTAGGCCCAACACTGAAATGTCATCCAATGTGGTATCGATTTGAATCGATGGGAGGAGGGGGAGAATATTTGAAATGATGATAGAGAAGCGAGGGTGGTCCGGGGACTGTGTTCAGAAAAGTGTCAGAGGAGAATATGTGTGAAGAATTGAATCACAACATTGAACCAAATGCAACTTTTTGAAGAAAGCCAAAAAGCTGTGGAGGATTTTCTGAAATGAAGTTTTTGAATTTGTATTTGTGTTCTAGGGGCGGCCCCGAACATGTGTTATTTGTATGTAGTATAGTTGTTAACTAAAATTGATGAGGGGTACAAGTTGTCTTTAAGATCATTCCGCTGTGATGTTTTTGTTCCGATGTTAACACGCGTTATCCTTTTTTCTTTATCACTTCCCACCTCTTCTTCTTCAACCTGCTCACTTATTTTGAGGTCTCCGAAAGTGTTTCACGTCTTAACACACACACACACTGCCTCCCAGTGTGTAAGAGTGAAACGAGGAATAATGAAGACACACGGAAGATGGCTGATCGGTTCGATGCCTGAAGCATGGGCACCGAGGCAGGTGTCTAACCAATTGCCTCTTCATTTGTGCCAACGCACGACATGGAGGGAGAAACCGATAAGTGAGACAAGGCTTTTTCTTTGTGCCAAGAAAGACGATGAAGCAAGCCAACAGGCGCCCTATCAGCCGGCAATGTTATAGATAGAGAGATAGAGATGGCGGAAAAATGCCGAAAAAATCCGGACGATTTCTGATCGGCATGTGCGGAGGCAACTGATCTGATCTGTGGGGAAGAAGAGCTTCACTTAGTTTTTTTTTTCTTTCTCAAGGTAAAAGGGGTACAATGTCTCTAGTAAAGTTCAAAAATCTAAAGTGTCGAAAAAACACAAAAATTATTTTGGGATTTCAAAAAAGTAAAGTAGGGGATCTATTGCATTTTCCAGACCAACAGCCTTGGTATACTGTAAACATTTCAATAAGATAACTCCTAAAATTTGAGCCAATATATCTCACTTCCTGTGAAAGATGTCTAAAAGTGGTCAAGTGATAAACAACTTTTTGATATCTTTGACAGGATTCGAGATATATTAGCCCAAAGTTGATAGTTGAGAAGTTATACCATTAAAGGTATTCTGATAGATAGGATCTCTAGACTGAGTAATTGTAAAGACGTCAACCAATTTTTCAAATGATTTTTTGAGATTACAGATTATAACTGAAATCGTCATTACTTGAGAATTTGAGATTAATGAAATTACGGTATATGTAGTCTGAAAATTGCGTCATTTGGAACTAGAAATATGTCCAAACTAGAGAACTTTCAGTTTGATAAGTCTTGTATCATTCTCAATATAGAAACATTTTCCGGTCTGAAATTCAGCAGCTTTTAGTATCATTTTTCTGTTTTTCTAAAATTTACTTTTTTAGGATTTGTTTATTATCTCACCTTTTCTTCAAACCAGTCAACAAGCTCTCAATAAAAACTTTCAATTCTTGAGAATCTTTAACTACTAGGTACTTTAGAAGTTTTGAGGTTCGTAGCGTCTACTCGGATATTGACATTTTCTCAGGATTTGTAGTTTATTGCATTTTTCAGACTAACTTAATTTTTTTCAGAACTTTTTTGAGATTCCCAGATTTTTGGATTTTTCTGATTGAAACCATTTTCACTTTTAGGATTTAGTTGGATTCTCGTTTTTTAGAGATTACTCTAATTTTTCAAATAATACACTTTTCTATTTAACTTAACATTGTATTCATTCACCAAAAAATGAGATACAACAAAAGGCAGAGGGGAAAAGAAATTGAATCATGAATCGGTTTGTAACTGTAAAAATGAAAATTTTGTCAATAAATTTTTTTTTGTGTCAACACATCAACAGTGCGATATAGGGGGAAACGGAGATTTGGAAATAGAGACGATGTCTGTGGATGTAACCAAGGATCCTAGAACGGCGCCACTGAAATGTATACATTGAAGTCCCTTGAATGCTTTTGTGGATTTCAATTCTTCGTTTCTTTTCTTGTTTTAACAAAAAGTTATAAATTATTCATCTGCTAAACTCGTCAGTAATCCAAAAAAGGCCCATAAAAAGTTTCCGAGAAGAATTGAATGTTTGATGAACTTGGGATACACACTAAAGTTTCGAAGCAACCTACATTTTAGCGCTTTCCGAGTCCCATGATCAAACGACGTTTCGGGACAAAAAGTGGAGCGTAGTCCTCCTCTGCGATGTCCTCGTTGTCTGGAAATGCACTATTCACTGCCCAGAACCAACTCCCATAAGCATCAAATGTAGGATATAAAACACGCACACGTCTAGATACACATTCCTTGGCTATATAGATCTCTATAGATACTATGACATACCTATTTGGATACGAATCTGAATAGACACTGCAACCACAAATCAATATATTCACGAAGGCCAGTTGTTTTTAACTAGAAACATTTTTATTTCAAAATCCAAAAAACCTTGAAATTGAAATGACAAAAACGTTCAGCTGGTGCGATTCTGGGGTCTGGGTATGACATCGAGACAAAGAGTATATTTGTGGGAGAGGGAAATAAATATTGAGTGCTGAAATCTTCGAAATCGGAATAAAATATAAAATTGGGGAGAGAGAACGAGAGAGAAGAGATATATAGAGAGAGAGAGACTGTATTTGGTATCGTGCTGGCGACCATTTCACCCTTTTTCGGTGACATTTGGTGGTGGTGGACTTGGGGATTAGAAGGAATCGACGTCTAAATGAGAATCATATTGCATACATTAGGAGACTCACGATCACGAGTAAGCAGTTAGGGGATAAGGGGGTTAGAATCTATATAGGGGGAATGACAAGCACAAAAGCTACAAAACAAAAACACACTCACCATATTCAGCTCCAGCGGATCGTTTTCCGAAGCCCATGTTGAAGCTGCGCATTGAAGCGCGCTTTCCGAATCCCATCGCGAAGCTTCTTGGCTTGTATCGCTTCATTGGAACGTCCTCTGGCATTTCGCTCATGTCCATTGCGCTGGAAACGTTCATTTTGTTTTTGAGCCTAGCTACCGTAATAGAAGCTCGCCCAAACCGTCAACTTTGACTTCAATTATTTCCATTCTTGTGAGAGATATCAAAAATTTGTCAACTAAAGAAATTTTGGTGATATCATGATAACTAATTTATCAGTTGATAAATTTTTGATATCTTTCACGGGAAGCGAGATAATTCAGCTCGAAGTTTTTGGTTTGGGTGGGCTTCTATTGAAAGGAATACGGCAGTCGCTATAGCCTTTCAAATAGCACACTGCTAATATGGTACCTCATCCTACTAAGTACCTTCACTGTTACTATGGTACCTTCCCTACTATGCTACCTCAACCTAGCAATATATATTTTTTTAATTCAGAGCAATGATTGTCTACAGTAGGTCTGCCGAGGGTTATGGTACAATAAGTATATCGTATCTATGGTCCACCCCAAGAACTCACCGCTTTCCAAAACCGAACACCATTTGTTTTGGCGCCGCCATAGCCATGACACACGCAGAGACGAGAAGAACGAAGGCGAGTCGCGAGAAGCTGAGCATTGTACCTAGAACCTCATAAATTTTTAGGTTTTTTTAAATTTTTACTAGTCAACCCCAAAGGAGACCAGAAAGGTATAAAAGAGAGAAGAGAAAACTGGGATCCGAGATGTAAAACTGAAAACAAAATGGATGTTGTGAGGCGAGCCTCTCTCTTTTTGACAATGACTCCTCCTCTCCTCCTTTCGGCTCCATCCCAAAAAAAGGGGGAGGAGTTCGGAAGGACGTCTTCTGGCCACACCCACTTTTGACGTTTCTACTCTTTTTCTCTCGTCACCCCAAGTTGCTCTCTTCCTCTCTTCGCCTGGATGAATCCTTCAAAATGGCAATAATCGTGTGGGAGGACGATTTTGGGAATCAATCAGAAAGGATGAGCTGAGGAGAAGAAAAGCGAAAAGGGATCAAAACGAATGTCAAAAATAATGAAATCCGGAGAAAGAAGGAGAAATAGAAATTGTCTATACGAAATGCGTGGGAAATGGGAATTAATTGAAAATTTTCAAATAAGGATTTTCCAAAGGTTATTGAAATATGTATACTGTAATTTGGATATACTGTAGGGAACACATGGATGGTCTAAACTAAAGGCTGAAAAGGAAAAAATCTCCAAACTCAAAACGAAAAATAAAAAACAAATAGAGACACGTTTCAAGCGGGGTTCCTTGGAAACCGCCATTAGCTTGTCAAAATTTTTGCGAATTGTCTGTCGGATGATTTCATACGGAGTCTAATGTGTTTTGTTGGGGTCCGGCCGGCGCATTCGGGAGGTTACGGTAGTTTGTGCAAAACTATGAGAAAGCTGAAAAGTCGGGGAAACCTACAGTTCTGGCCAATATATACAAAAATAAATGTTTATTTGATTTGTAATCATTTTCAGAAGTCTGGAGCTCGACTGTACAGTTTCTGATCACTTTGAAAATTTTGCAGGCAATAAAATAGACCTAGATTGAGAACTTTGCATTCCCAAAATTATTTGAAACACCTAGTCTTTCAGCTACTTGCCGATATCTGAAGGACACCTACTATCCGTAAAAAATCCGGTAAAAAAGTAGTGTCTTTCAGAAATCTGGAAATAGTTGAAAAACTGGGAATTTTTGAGAAATAATGCATATTTTTCAATCCAGTTCTGTTTTACAACTTTCAAAACTTTCCAGAATAATTGCACAGGTAAAATGCGAGCGAGTTCGTAACGGATTGTTCGCGAATCACCTGTGTGGAAGCTTGACAGCATCTGGATAATGTCAGAATTGCTGAAAATAAACTAAAAATACGTTTTTGTATATCTTTTTGTCCAATACTGTATATATGTATTCTACTGGATGAGCTTGAAAAATAAGTTTTCAGTGAACTTATCATTTTCAATATTATGTTAAGGTTGTAGATGTGCTTAAAACATTTCAGTTAAAATTTCTTAGATTCGTCCATATAAACCCTTTGTCTCACCAGGAATTCGCGCAAAGCTACACCTCAATATTGGGCAAAAGTTGAGTTACAGGAAAATCTAGTCAACTCATTTTGAATCCTTTTTCTGGTTTTTTGAATTCACGATTTTCGATGATTAAAATAATCTTTTAAAGTCTATTTGTCTAATAATGTATTACATTTTTCAAACGAATTGAAGATTCAACAAAAAGCTTGTGACTTTCAGCGATGCAAAAAATTAGTCCCAAAAGACTTCCCTTCAAGTTAAAAATTTTCGCGCTTTAGTTCTTTTTTTTTAAAACAATAACCGCGGTATTGAAAATTTTCCGGGACTTTTTTAACCACCTCTCGACTCCTTCTTACCTGTTGAACTTGACATAACGTGATGTTTTACACATCTTCAGATCAAGTCAACCTAATTGGCTACTGGATTATGCAAAAAGTATGTCACATTGATGTTTAGTGCTGTGCATATGAAATGAAACATTTTTGGACTCCATAAAGAAAAAGTATAATCGAAATTCAAGGTTCTGTGGGGTCTGCCCTTTTCGATTTCTAAGAAACATCTCAATATTGTTTTCCCAGAACATTGGTAGTGAGGTAGACACAAAAATGGAAGCAAAAATAGGTAGAATTGGAAAGCAGTTACCTTCTATTGTGAATTTTTTACTAAAAACACATCATATGGTTTTTTGCCAGAATTGTTTTTCTGGTACCGAGGTTAGTAGGTCCATATTATTAAAATAAGCCAATAAAGCAATAAAAAGGTTCTTTTTCAAGTTATGAATTCCGAATTTCGAATTCATAACACTTTTTTCAACATCTGATCGTCACATTCTGAAGTCAGATTCTGGAGTTGTCAATCAAATGAGTTTCAATTCTCAAGGAACTACTGAATTTTGAGGAATTAAGAATGAAAAAAAATAAACTGAAGCTTTACTTTAAGGGACCTCAGGTACACAATGGTCGACGAGCGTGGGATGAGGAGCAACTAATAAAAATAAAAATGGGTTTAAAATTCACCACCAGCTGGGAGGGAATCAAGACTAAATGAATTCATCCCAAAGAATAAAGGCTAAGAGGTGAAATCTGAGATTTTCTCCTTATTCTCGGCCGTTTTTGTTGTCGCTTCGCCGTTTGACATTCAAATGAGGGATGTGACGTGGCTTGGAAAAAGACACTTCTATTTTTTTTGGAATTTTTTTTTTGCAAAATTGATATAAATCGGGAAGGAATTTCCTTTAAGGAACAGGAAAAAAGTGTTTGAAAAAAGAAAAGATAAAAAAGGAAGACGAAATTTTCGTCTGAAGTGTTTGGACACGGAAATCAGTTGAACACTTTGTGAGTCAAGAACATTCAGGTGAGAGGGGACGTCTTGAGGAGACTGCTTGTTGAGCTAAGCAGTTACCCTATCTAAAACTCGGATAAAATTGTAAAAAAAAAAGAGGCAGAAACACGGGAAAATCTATTAGAAAGATTGTACAGAGAGATATGGTTTTTGCACTTAAATCTTTGGATTGTTTGAGTCGGCATTTTTTTGAAAGTAAATGAAATATAACATGGTGACGTAAGGACTTGTTTTTCGGAACAACCAGATGGGAACTGGTGAATTCGCAGTTTTGAGAGGCGGCTTGAATTCTCAGAAGCAAGAAATTTGTCAGAAAAAGTTTTACAAGGATGTTTGGAATAGACTTTTCGGAATTTATGAAAATTCCGATTTTCGAAATTTTCGAAATTTCGGAATATTCCAGTTTTAAAAATTTCGGTATCTTGGAATATTCCAATTTAAAAAGTTACAAAATTTCGGAATTCTGGAAATTCCGATTTTGAAATTATCGAATTTCGGCAGTTTGGAATATCGGAATACTTCATTTCCAAATGTTTGGAATTTCGGGGAATTTCGATTTTTAACTTTTCGGACTTCCGGAATACTCCGATTTTGAAAATTTCCGAAAATTTGGATTCTCGGAATATTCCAATTTTGAAATTCTCGGAATTTCGGAATTCCGGGATATTCTAATTTTGAAAATCGTGGAGTTTCAAAAACTCGGAATATTCTGATTCAAAAAAATTTACAATTTCGAAATATTCCAATTTTGAAAAATTCGGTTTTTCGAAATTTCGGAATATTCTGATTTCGAAAATTTCGAAATTTCAGAAAAATCAAAATTTGTTAATATTTTGGAATTTCCGAAATATTCCAATTTCGAAGATTTCGGTGTCTCTGAATATTCCAATTTTGAAATTATCGGAATTATCGGAATTTTGGAATATTCCAGTTTTCCAATTTTCTGAAATTCGGAATATTCCATTTTTTAAAAATCCAAAATCTCAGAATATTCCGATTTTGAAAATATAGAAATTTGAAAATCTCGAAATATCCCGGTTTTAGAAATTCTTTTCTTGTAATTTTCGGAATTCCCGCTCTGAACATCCCTGAGGTTAGATCAAGATTTCTAAGTTTCAGAAAGCTCATTCAAAAACTCGTAATATCAAATTGAACTTTGAATCCTAGTACCCAAATCTTCTTTTTCTTCTTCTCCATTATTTTCTCAGACCAGTTTATATCTTCTCCGAGTATTTTTTTTTCTCTTTTTCTTTCAAAAACATCACGTAACCTGACAAAGATAATTGTATCTGGGTTGTAGTGTCACGCGATGTCGCGTATAATTGTCGTACAGCTCATCCAAAACTACTGTAGCTCATGATTTCATTTTTATGGGTCACACGACAATTTTACGTTACTCAAGGTACGAATCATCTGAATCATTCGAATCATTTTTTGTGGTTCGATGAAAAGGGGAAAAATTGGAAAACATTTTATCGTGGTTTTTGTTCTCCACTCATCCGTATCCATTTCTGGCAAAACCAGAAAAAAGAACAAAATTCGATTTCCAACTAGATTACTGCTGTTCGAATTTTCTAGAAACTCATTAACTTGAATTCAAATTTTCCAACTTTCCGGAAATTTTTCCTGGTACAGAGTGTCTCGAAAAAAAAACCAATCTTAGTGGGAAGTAGAAAAAGAGAAAACAAATTTCATCCGGAACTCAAATTAAATAGTCAAGTGTTTGCACAGGGAGAGCGATGACGACAACAGGCTCCTCTGGAAATTTGTAATATCTCTTCAAAAGCCAATTTTGGGGATTTTTGGAGAGAGAAAAGTCAACAAAAATGGTACGCGTAGTCCTACGCATTCCGCATCATCATTTTTTTCATTTCTTGGTGGTTTACAAGGACATCTTAAGCGATTTTTGGAAGGATTGAAATGAGTTGAGGCAAATAGAAAAAGGATTGAATGAATGAAATTGAAATTGGAACGAAGAGAAAAATCTACGGAGCCGACGGTTGCCAAGGCTGCTTGATGGGGGACCAATTGTGACTTTCGTATTCTTATTTATTATGCATTTCATGATGCATGACGAAAAGTATTTAGGGTTTGACCCCAAACGTTTTTGTGGAAAACGTGAAGATTTTGAAAATGAGGTATTTGATCTAATTCTAGATTTTTCAAAAACAGAGACACCAGTGGTTTCATTTGACTGTCTGTGGTGTCATCAACTTCTTGAAATTAGTAGAACTTGGCCGAATGGCTCATTTGGCAATCTGATATACATAGAACTTGACTCGAGACAGAGGATTTTTTCAAAGTTGAAAAACTTGCGGAAGTAGTTAGGTCCAGGTTTTGCGGGCCTATTGTTTTGGTTTTACTTTGTTTTGAAACGTGAAAAACGTGAAAAATGTTTCAATAGATGTCTAGGGCAAAATAATTGGTGGCGAGGCTTGAAAAATGTTGTGTAGAGCCTAGAAAAATGGGGTTAAAGGTACTAGAATTGAGTCAAATTTAATATTTACGATCCAAAGCCCTGCATTACATGACTACATACACTTCCAGGTGTTGAAAATTCTAAAAATTGGAAATTTTGAATTTTCAGAGAAATCCTAATTTAGAGTTACACCGAAAAAAGCTTGCCTGTCACGTTTTAGATTATTTTGAACACTTTGGAGAGCGTAGAAAAGACCTAGCATGAAAGATTTGGATTTACATAATTTTTAGCTAATTCTCATTTTCTCGACTACTCGCCGGTCTTCAGAAAATTGGAAATTCTGAGACCCTGAATTCCGGAAATTCAGAGACATTGATTGCCGGATTCTAAAACATATGAAATAATTTAATTTTGTCAATTTGGATCATAGGAAAAAATTTTGCTTTGGGGACGGTAACTTATATTCCAATTTTTCAATTCAGCTTCCAAGAAACCACTATTTTTTAAATTCAAACATCTGATCCTAGATACTTCATAGTTTTACGTCAATTGCTTACTGTTTATCTATACTTTGACCATCACAAAATGATGCAATTCTCTTCTGAAACTTATGACCACTGTGCATTGGTCAATATTCTGCCCAAAAACTCTGGTCACTCAACTTCAACGAACCATCCAAACTCAATTCATGTCAATATTCTAAACCCCAAAACGTCATAAGATTAATTGTGCTATTGAAATTGTCGTTTCGTACCGCTGTCTGTCATTCTATTCGTCAAAATGGAAAGTCATAAAAACTGAACAGAAAGGATATAAGGTGGAAGGGACTCGTGCGAATTTAGAGGGAAAAAGAGGGATGAGTTTGTAAAGATGGAACATATGTCTTTGTTCTTTGAAAATTCGTCTTTCGCGACATGTTAGTTAGAACAAGGTTGTTTTAAAATTACAAATTCTAGGAAGCAGCAAGATTGAAACGAAAAAGTAGTATAGCTTTGACTTTGGACTAAAAACAAACTGCCAAATTTGACAGATTTATGCATGTAGTAGTTGGTTTTGTGGTTCTACTACAAGGGGACTAGTAGTATGATTCACATTTGTCTGCCACCTGAAAGCAAAAACTGACACAATTTTCCTAAATATGATCAGTAGAAGAAGGCGACAAATATTTTCAGATGAAAATTAATTCAATCTTATTTAAGTTAACTCTTGACCCGTAGGAGTGACGTAAATTGTTTTGGGTCCTGCTAATGATTCATGTTTACCGGATTTTTTTGCTCTGGGATTGAAACCAGGGATGTGTTCAGCGAGAACTCCCTAGCTCAACCCCAAAAATAGATCGACAGACACATAAATAATCAATTTATTTCGATTTTCCGCCGTCACGTCTACTTCTAATCTTTGCTTCAATCAGCCAAGGTTTGGCATGTCTACTCGCCGTCGATTGTGCTCTAACAATGTTGAATAGGTTGTGGCGGACATACAAATTGATGAGATATATGAGAAAGAATGGGAGAAAAATAAAGAATACAATTCGGGGAATGAGGATGATGTCGGTTTTGATCTGCTCGTCAATTAGCGGCTCATTCACTTTTTTCACTGGCCACCAGTACAATAAGAGGAGGAGAAGAGTAGCGATGAAGACGTAGTTCAGAATGGATGATCTAAAAAATTAGTTGGAGTGGAAAATAAAATTTTTGAAATTTGAAGAAACATTTTTTGTTGAAATTACCATCATTAGGTTTTCTCCGAATTTTACAAATATTCAATGGTGTTTTGAATATTTTTAAAATTTTAAATTTAAGATAATTTTAAAATTAAAAAAAAAACGCCGGAGCACAAATTTCATGTGGCCTCTAAATATAAAATTCAAAACTTCGACCGAAATAGACTTTTCATTGAAAAAATCATTATTTAATTTAACTGTAAGAATGTTGTTTTTGACTACTAATAACGAAATATTTCGATTTAGGTTTTAGGAAAGTTTTATGAATAATTTTCCTTTTTTTACGTGGTCCAGATATTTCGAAAATTGTCTATTTTTTGAAAAAAAAAACTTTGAATTTCTTGCACCCTTAAAGTTCCCAGAATTTCGGAAAACAATTATTTTAGCCAATTTACTCGGTTTTCAAAAATTTCGATAGTTTTTGGGTGGTTTTCTGTGTTTCGTTAAATTTTTGCTTGTAACATCAAGAAAAATAATCTAAAAATAACAATTAACAGCAAATTTGAGAACTTCAAAGTCGGAACTTTTAGGCTAAAGACATTTTTGCTTCTGGACAAATTATGCTCCTTTAAATAATATTTTCGCACTTTGACAATATTAATAAACTCTTTCAAGATCAATTTCTAAACAAATTCCGCAATTATTCACAAAAAGAACCTGAACAAAAATGTGCGCTTCAAATTTGTTGTCAACCGTCGAAGGAGATTCATAGCAATAAAAATTCCTAATTTCAGAAGAATATTTTCTCCACTAAATCACAAAATCCATCCAAATATCTATTCCTAACACCACACCCATTTGTATTCTCTTGAGATCCGCTTACACACCTCTATCTGACTTGACACAAAAAGTAATTATACTCACAATTCTTTCGATCGTCTGTTCACAATACACAGCGACACTGCCACCAGGATAATCCCCAAAGCAATCAGAATACCATCACCGAGTCCAAATAAGTAAGCCATTTTGTAGTAAGGCTAGTAGGAAAAAGAGGAAAAATTCAATACGAGTTGCACGCGCGCCTTACGTTGCCCTGGTAACGTAAAAGGGGGACGAGCTTTTTATGAGGGGGGTCTTCACTCGAAGAGCGTTCGCCGCAAAGAACATCTTGCAAAACTGCACTCTAGGGGGAGAAAAGTGCAAATTGACAAGTAAACAAGAATATTCAAAATGCACTTTTATTGGAAAACATATGGTGGATTAGGGCAATTTGAAAAAAGCCATAATTTGCAGACTGAGATTTTTTTCCAATTTTTTCCCAACAGAACTCATTTTCCTTATAAAAGGATGGTGACAATAGGGAAATAGTAATAAAAACTGTTTTAATACAAGTCGTAAATCTTTTTTCTTCATATTCATCCCTCCTTGACATCATTATCATCCTAAAATGATCGCGAAGAAAATAAAGTGAGTTTTTAACGTGTGTCGGCCTTGGGAAGTGAATTATTGCTTTGCATGTTTGGATTTTCGGCGGTGTTTATTTGGGAAAAAGGGTATTTCAAGGTTGTAGCAGGGTAATCAGTGAAGATCAACAGGTTTAGTTTATGGGTTTGTTGTTTTTTTTTCCAATCGAATCGTCACGTGACATCAGATATATGGTTTGATATGGAATTCGCCGGAAATGAAAACTTTCAAATGAGATTCGGAACAAATATAGGGGGAGAAAATCTATACAGTCAATACCTATACGACCCCCCTCAATTTTGGGCTCACAGAATAAAACTAGAAGAGATATCAAAAAACGGTTAACGCCATTCGATTCACAATCAAGAATAACTTCTAGAAACAAAGTTTCATAGTTTTAGCACTTTCCCTGAACATGTACCATCCAAAAAACCTATTTGCAAGCGGTCAATATCTATACGACCACCTGGAAAATGAAAAATCTCAAGGTTTTTAGAGAGCAAAATTGAACTATTTTTTGTTGGAAACTGTTAAAATAGTCTTAAAACAACATATTTTCACAGTTTATACAAAAATTGATTCCTCTATTCAAGTTTTAGAAAAAATTATTTTCAGTCATTTCCGGCATTTTTTGGGTTTTTGGAATAAATCTTGAATAGCTTGGCTCCTGGGTGAGATCTCGAGCTGAAAATTATAGGAACAATTTTTGCAGTGGTCTGAATTAGTAAATAACTGTTGTTAAGCTATTCTGAGCCATTGTTTGTGATTGAAGCTGAACTGAAATTTGAAAAATTGACCTTGAAATTCGGTGATTCTGATGTTTGAAAAAAACCTGATTTAACTATTTAAATTTATTTTTAGTACAAAATAATAATTTTGATGGCTATTCGAACCACTTGGAACATCTTTCAAACATTTTAGACAGCTTTTAATAATTTTCGATTGTGTATATTTTTTCAGCTCAAAACTCGTGCTCAATTTCAAGTCCAAAGCTCAAAAATGTTTTGAACACTCAGCACGGTCATGATCACTCCTAACTTATTTCTTATCAATTTCAGCTCAAAATCTTACCCAGGAGTCAAGTTATTCAAGATTTATTCCAAAAACCCAAAAAATGCCGAAAATGACTGAAAATATTTTTTTTCTAAAACAAAAAAGAATAGAGGAATCAATTTTTGTATGAACTGTGAAAATATGTTGTTTTAGGACTATTTTAACAGTTTCCAACAGAAGATGGTTCGATTTTGCTCTCTAAAAACCTTGAGATTTTTCATTTTCCATGTGGTCGTATAGATATTGACCGCTTGCAAATGGGTTTTTTGGATGGTACATGTTCAGGGAAAGTGCTAAAGTTATGAAACTCTGTCTCTAGAGGTTATTTTTGATTGTGAATCGAATGGCGTTAACCGTTTTCAATATCTATTCTAGTTTTTCTGTGCTCCCCAAATTGAGGGGGGTCGTATAGATATTGACCGCGCTGTATTTTTAGAAAAATTACCTCAAATTTTCACAAAAAATCATTAAAAATGTATCAGAAGGGCTTACCAACTTCAATCCTATTCAGCTTCTTTTATGTGGAAGGCATCAAGAAGTGGACAACCGACGAAATATTCAGCATAATTTCAGAAACATATTTTTCACGAGGTTTCGTTTGGCTATGATTCACAAAAACTAACATAGATTAAGTTGGAGTATCTTTTACTACAGTATGAAGATTTGAAGAAACCTGACAATTTTAAGATTCAGCGTAACCAGCTGTTCAGTTGATTAGGTTTCTGGGGATGTCACTGTAAATCTAGAACATATTTTATTTGATACATAAACCGTCATTCCTAGTCTAAAGAAGCTCACCCAAGCCGTCAACGTTGAGCTCAGTCATCTGAATTTCTGTAGAAGATATCAAAATTTTGTCAAAACCAATATTTTATCAGTTGATACAATTTTGAAATCTTGCACAGAAATTTATATATTTCACCTTAACGTTGACGGTTGGGCCTATATCAGAGGAAATACGATAATCGCCAGCAACATGAGAATTAAGCTCTGAAATGCTCAAAAAATGCGCTAAACTTTTGTATTCAATCATGCTGTCAAGTTTGTGAAAACTTCAACAACGTGAGGATCAACATCATCTGAATTATATCATAAGACCCAATGAATTGTCACGTGTGTTTTCTTTCTCCCAATTAAGACATACAAGGTAATCAGAACGATACTTTTCCAATTTTATTTTTTCAATGTTTTCTACCTGTCCCACGTGCTTCCTAAAACTCGTAAAAAATTTTGAATGCTTTTACTTCCAGTCAAGTAGAACAAAGAATGAGCTGATTCAGCGTTCCCATTTTATGTCCCATGTGCTTTCCCATGCCTTCTTTGGCCGAACAACAATTTTACTGATTCTTTGGAATGTAAGCCACTTATAAGCCACTGGAAAAACTACTACTACTTGCGAATTAGTATGTGAACAGTGAACTTGCTTGCATCAGCTCATGTCGCACCACCCGGTACCTGTCGGTATCTAGAGGGGGGTTTTTCGAAAAAAAATTGAGACGCGAAAAAGATAGAAGGTTCTTTTATTTTTGATCATATATCCCTCTCCTCTCAACCTCATCCGGATTTGCCTGCAAATAGTCGCTTCTTGCGTTTTGTGTGTAAAAAGTCTCATAAGTGAAACACGTGGCGCTACACGTGAAGGTAGTTTTGCACAACGCTCATTTTTGACAAACAACACAGTAGATTGGAAAAGACTTGGAGACAGAGAGAGAAAGAGGAGGAACGAGAAGTGATAGCAAATTGTGACGATCCATCGCCACCCACGAAAGAAGAAATCGGAGAAAGATCCATTCGCGAACAAAATTATGAATGAACAGCAAAACTGACTAGTCTGGTTTTATCATTTATCCCTCTTCTATTGTCTGTGATTTTTCTTGCAAAGATCTGTTAGATTACCAAAAATGAGCTGGGACATCAAACTGACGTAAGTGTCCACTTCTGTCTATCTCGAATCATAACTCTGTTTACCCAATATTATTATCAATATGCACGGCTTGCATTACTGAACTCACTGATAACCCCCACTAATAGTCTTTAAACCCACTAAAATTTTTATTCCTGTTCCAATACTCTTTTCCGAGACAAGTAATTATAAAACTTTTGTTGTGATTATCAGAAAATAACGCCACTTTACCTAAACTTTCTATCTTAGAATCTCTGAGAAACACTAGAGAACCATCAGGTAAAATTAGAAAAGTAATAATTTATTCATCTCCTTCCTTCTCTCTTTCTCTTAGATTTTTTCTTATTTTCCTTAAAACCTGTTACTCGCTCAAACTGTTGTTAGTGATAATAGATATCTTCTTATTCCTTTTTTTATTCATTTGGGCTATAAATCAAATCTAGGGGTAGAATACGAATCTTTGATCATTGCGATCACAAAAACCCCGACTTGTTTTTATGAAAAGTGACATTGGAGTATAGAAAAAAAATACAAAATGTTCCTTGATATTCGGTGAGATGATACGATACTTGATTCTAGTAGTAGTACTGTACTATTATTACTATCTGCACGTGGTTCATTTGCACGAAGTGGAACACGTAGATTGATGATGTAGCTGCCTGTGAGTGACAATTGATAGTAGAGACGATCAAAACGTGTTAATGGATTTGTTTGTGTAGGAAAAAGAAGAAGACATCAAGTGTCAAAAACCAAAACCATCGTGTTTGGAAGTTTGGAGAAGCAGGGAAAAAATTGGCGGTCAGATAGTGATTGGACGGTTTTTTGGAGTTCAAATTTTATATGTCTTTCAAAATGTATCTATTTTATTGTTTCTCGTGACCAGAAAATAAGCACTACGCCAGATTTATAATTATTGCATATCTGATTGTGGACCGTTCTGGCTGTGGCGAGCTTCGATTGAAAACAGACAATTACTTACTGAAATTAGTCAATTAACTTATACATCGAAATTTGTTTTATTGAAATTCCTTAAAAATCAATTCCAAACTTTTCGGTGACCCTTCTATCAACCTAATCATTGTAAGAATTGAGACTGACCGTACAGCTTATCAGGTTGTCATGTTTACAATGTTTTCCATACTTTGAAATTATTATCAATTTTTCGAAGCATTTACATTTTTCTGAATTTCTGTGGTTTTGATTAATTATGCTAATCAATTTGTACATTGCAGAAAATTTGACTCTATTACAAAATGAAGTCCCTCGTTGAAAAAAGATCTTAAACCGCTTTAAAAAAATCCCTTCGCAGTATCAAGTTTTTTGAGAGAATAAAAAATCCATTTGTTTTCTGTAAAAACGTCCCAATTAGCACTTATTGATTTTTTTCCAGAATTAAGGATTTATGTTCAAATTTATATGTTTATATTATTATAGTTGTCTAAAAAAATAAAGGTTAGAGAGCGAGGTGTATACGGTAGATATCTCGAAGCGGCGACACAAAACAACATGCATTCGATGGAGACGCAGACAGTTTTGTAGAATATCTGTTTCCGTCACAACCTTCATTTTTTGGAAAACGATAATAACAAGTCATTTTAATGGAAA